CTCATAAAAAGGCCGTGTGTGACCGGCCTCAAGCAGTTGTCCCTTGGACTCTGCGGTCACGCACCCGGGTCTCTAAGTCCAACACTAATCTGTCTTCCTTTTCAGGTCCCTCAAGAAACAACCTTCCACGGTGTGGGCAGCCGAGAAGTGACAACCGCCCGCATATCCGTAACAGCACGCGAGACCAAATTGGTCAAAATCAAATCCTTCCTACACCCTCTAATACCTCTCTCATCTCCACGACTAACTCTTCTCACATTCATTTATCACAGTGCACAGCTAATGCAAACGATGCGAGTTCCCGAGAAGTTATTCCTGGTCTCCTTGAACCCCGTTCTAAACTACATGTTGGAGCATTTAATGTACGTACATTGTGTCAAATAAGGCAACAGGCATCATTAGCTAGAACTTTAAAATCTCGTGCCATCGATGTGTGCTGCGTCTCGGAAACGCGCATACAGGATTCGAGTAGCATCATTCACTTGACCTCACCATGTCAAGATAAAGAAGCAGCTCGATTTACCCTTCGTGTATCCGGTAGCCCTGACGCTGCTTCCCGGGGCCTCGCTGGTGTAGATATAGCATTGAGTCGTAGGGCTCAACTATCTCTCTTAGACTGGATTCCAGTCGATAGTCGTTTGTGCGCTGTCCGATTAAACGGGACGGTGAGAACTTGGAAGGACAGGGACACCCGCCGTTGCCTCTTCGTCATATCTGCCTATGCCCCCACTGACTGCAGTTTAGACGATGTGAAAGATGAGTTTTACAGACAGCTTTCGGACCTCCTCCAAAAAGCCAGGCGCTCCGATGTAATAATAATGGCTGGTGACTTTAATGCTCAAGTAGGTAGACTAAGTGAAAATGAAAGACACTTAGGTGGATGTTATGGTCTCGCGGCTCAAAGAACGGACAATGGCGACCGTCTGTTGCAACTGTGCTCAGATAACCGCCTATTTCTAGCAAACACTAATTTTAAACATAAGGAAAAACATCTTTTGACCTGGCGACCCCCGAAGTCGTCTCAACGTTGGACGCAACTAGATCATATCGCCATCAGCCACCGATGGAGGGGTTCAATAGAGGACTGCCGCTCGTTCTGGGGCACATATATAGATTTAGATCATGTCCTAGTGCAAGCTCGTATTTGTTTGAGGCTTACTGGACGTAGGTAAGACACCGTAAACAAGCCTCTTAGGGCTTCAGCTGATGATAATCTAGCTACGAAAAAATTTCAGGAGGAACTAGAAAAACAGTTAGGCGACCATGCAAGTGATTCCCATCCAGAGTCAGGTTGAAATCATATCAAGAAGGCTGTGGAAACAGCAGTGCTATCTACTAGCAAGGTAAAACATAAGGCAGGGATGAAGCCGTGGATTTCAGTCGCATCCACCGAACTGATGGATGCTAGAAAACGCATCCCACCTGACTCTGAACATGATGAAGAGCGTAGTCAGCTTAGGCGCACTTATAAAAAGCCTACGTAACGACCGCGAACAGTGGTGGGTGGCGAAAGCAAAAGCGATGGAAAAGGCAGCGGCGATAGGCAACTATTTAGACTCATCAAGTAAACCGGTATTAGGAACCCGAATGTGAGTGAGACTATCTCAGAAAAGGGTGGTCTTATTATTCACTCTCAACCCAGACGATTGAATCGATGGGCAGAACACTTTAGGGATCAGTTCAACTGGCCTTCAGCCACACTTCGGTTGACCACGATCCCCAGTCATCCTGAATGGCAAATCGACATAAGTCCCACGACTCTTTATGAAGTTGAGAAAGCGATAGGAAATCTAAAGCGAGGACGAACTGCAGGTCCTGATAGATTGACCCCTGAGATTTTTAAAGATGATGGTGTCGTTCTGGCGGCTAGGTTGACTGAGATCTTAGGTAGAAACTGGGAACTGGACGTAATCCCATCTGACTGGTCTCAGTCGCTAATTGTCCCAATCTACAAGAAAGGACAAAAGTCTTGTTGTGACAATCACAGGGGAATAGGTCTAACCAATAGTGTCTAAATTGTTAGCCTCGATTATACTTAGACGTCTAACTAGAGCTCGTGAAGAGCAGACTCGAGAAAACCAGGCTGGTTTTCGACCTGGACGTGGTTGTATAGACCACATCTTCACACTACGACAGGTCCTGGAACACAGACACACATTTAGACGTCCGACAATAGTCGTGTTCCTGGACCTAAAAGCGGCATTTGACTCAGTGGATCGTCAGGTTCTGTGGCAGTGTCTGTCATTGAAAGGTGTACCAGAGAAGTACATTAACCTTATACAAGCTCTCTATTCTAAAACTACAGGTCGAGTGAGAGTTTATGGCGAGCTGTCATCGGAATTCTCTACATCAAGTGGTGTCCGTCAGGGATGTCCACTCTCTCCATTCTTGTTAAACTTTGTCGTAGACATCCTCTTAGAGGTAACATTAAGCTCTTCAGATTTTTCAGGGGTTGACCTTCTACCAGGAAAGTCGCTTACTGATCTAGAATATGCCGATGATATAGTTATATTTGGTGAAGACGCCGACAAAATGCAGAGTCTTCTAACTACCCTAAGCAACAATGCTAGCATGTTCGGGATGCGGTTCTCAACCTCGAAATGCAAAACGTTGCTTCAAGACCGAGTTGCATTGGCACCTGAAGTGGTGATAGAGAGTGAAGTAGTCGAGCGTGTTGATCACTTCACTTATCTTGGGAGTCTCACCAGTGCTGATAGCCTGGGGACTAACGAAATCTCACCGCGGATACAGAAAGCTCGATTGGCTTTTGCCAGCCTGCGTCATTTATGGCGTAGGCGTGATATCCGTTCGCTAGACAAAGGACGAGTGTACTGCGCAGCAGTTCGCTCCGTTCTCTTATATGGCTGTGAAACATGGCCGTTAAGAGTAGATGTTCGTAGGTTACTAGTATTCGATCATAGATGTTTAAGAAGCATTGCTCGTATATCGTGGGACAACCGAGTAAGCAATGCTGTCGTTGGGAAACGAGTACTAGGTAAGGATGGAAAATCAATAGATGAAGTGGTGAAACTTCATCAGTTGAGGTGGTTGGGACATGTGTTACGAATGCTTAACCACCGACTGCCTCGAAGAGCTATGTTTTGTGGTGTAGGAGTAGGTTGAAAGAAAGTTAGGCGCGGCCAGACCAAAACATGGCACAAATCCATGAAGTCACTGACTAGTGGACTGAATCATGCTAGTAGATGTAGACTACCTGGTTGGGGTCCGCGAGACGAAAGTCATCAATGGTTAGAGACCTTGAACGACATGGCTCAAAATCATTTGCAATGGAGCAAGTGCATCCATTCTTTGAGCTCTCTCAAATCCTAATCTTCTGGATTCGTCAGCACCTCTACATCTGTCTTTCTAACCTTATCTCACTGAATTATACTTCTTGAATAATATCTTCGAACCCTAGCCTTCTTCATTACCATTAATACCTCTACTAACTTTATCATTATGGGATTTGATTTGACATTTGCGTCTCTGTGCTAATGTGGTATGGTAACATGAAGTTCTACGTTGTAACTGACTGACTGACCTTGAACCAGGTCCTTTAATGATACCGTCAACTTCACTTTCCGTTAACACAAGACCCAAAGTCTCATGAATCATCAACGTCCTAATTAGTTTGGACAGGACTGGAGGCTGGGTTGCCTATGTTAATGCTAGTAATGGTATTTCAGTAGATGGAAAATTCTTCAGCATGCATCGCCAGATGAAGTTTTAATCACGTCTTCAGATAACGAGTGCCACTCTAAATATTACAAAAGTGTAAATAAAACATTCACACTTAGACAGAAAAACTAGTGTGAAATCTAGCAAATTTATAAAACAAACGCAAATGTATCCAAGATCCCGGAAGCTTCCAAAGTCAAGAGTAAAATAAATTATAAAATGATTAAAAGGACTTGGAACACACTTGAAGTCAAAGTTGACTAAGTATGCTGTGGATGCTTTGAATGTAGAGAAGTAAATTTAACTACCAAAACAAAACGAAAAAAATTGAAGTAGTGGGGAAATCTCGGAAAATTTTGTGGACCATAGTACTGAGTTTAGAGAAATGTCTACTTTGCCGCATTGATGATTCTCAAAGGGAAGATAATATACATGATAATTTTCATTCTGCTACCTCTTACATTTTTAGGTGCAGATTTCTGCTCTTGACAATATAACTGTATATCTGAATGTATTTTACAACAAACTTGTAATCAGTGTTTGATGGCGACTCCAAGTGACGTTCAAATTTAGAAATCTGAGAACAAAAAAGATTCTTGAGACAGGTTAATTTGTTAAATGTTTTTGAACATACCTAGTACTTATTACTACACAATAATAAAATAAAATAAATGGAGCTGACAAGCACTAGAATACATAATATTCCATAGGAACTGATAGGTTTATTATATGTACGTAAACCTAACACATACTTTGTTTTCAGTTAATTGTTGAGGTTTCACTATTCTTCTTATGTACTTATGATTGAAAACTCATTGTGTGAAAATCGTTAGTAACATGCTCTTCGGTTAACTTATTTCCTCATTCATATAGTGTGCACTGATGAATTGTTTGGCGTGGGAAAAAAATGTGAACTTTCTAGGAGTGCTAGTACATACAGTAATAGGAAAAGTTCACTATTGAATGTTAATATAGAAAGGGAGACAAAGTGCAGATTTCGAGTAGACGATATATAGAGGAACGTTAATTTCGAAACATTTCCCCTTAAAAGAGACATTTAAAGGGAAACGTCTCACTATTTAAACCAGACTAAAAAAACTCGATGGGCAGTTGACTTTTTCACACTGAAAGATTCTTGGCGGAGTTTGCTTTTATTTCTCATTTTGGTATGTACGGATTGAGAAAAAACAAATTTGAAAATCACTACACTTCGAAACGCATATAGTGTATGAAATCACTGTTGGAACTACCGATAAAAAAGTACCATCCAGAATTATCAGCAAAAATATCCACACGGAAACCACATACAAATATAAACATACATCAAAAAATATTGGATTACCGGACTAAACCTGGATAGACTAACATTTTCGCGAAACCCAAGGTTTTGCGACGTCACGTTGACCTACAACACTCTCAATATTCAATATCTTTTTCACGAGCTAGTAAACACCAATTGAGTTCTTTGCTCTTAATCCTTGTTCTTTCAGTACCGTTCCAGGTGTTTGCTAGTAGCCAATGGACGGTTACTGAGCCGCTCGATTTCACTAGTTTTAGTCAGTTGGTGGTTGTTTGTGAGTTTGTATGTCCCGTGATTTGATTAAATACGTTTGTTTCAGGGCAGTAGGGTTAATGGGTACCAACAGCTATCACATTACCAGACCGGAAATCAGTTAGTTGCAGTGTGGAGATTAATAAGGAGGACATTGTAATATTAAGAAGAAGAAGATTTCAGAACGAAGTAAATAAACAGATAATTTAGTCTACTAATTGGTAGTGAAGACTACGAGAGGAGACGGAATTGTAAGCGAAGGAGAGGAAACAAAGGCAATAAGCGAGATCGATTAAGTTAGGGATTATCTGAAATGGCTATAATAACAACTAGGAAGTCTCAAGACATGCATCAGGCACAGCTTGTCCAAGAGGGAGATGATAATCTGTATGAGAGTATGTGTTTATCAAGTCTCTTCTGAAATCTGTCCGCTGAGGTTATGGTCACCTCGGCTGTGAGAGCATTCTAAGTTGCGACGACTCTTCATGAGAAAAAGTGTGCACGAACCCGAATACTCGCCTCAAGGGGAGTGGTGGTGATGCATCGTTAATATGCTCACGTTGGGATGGTTTAGTGTGCTTAATATGTTGTACGCCATAATCAGATCACCTCTGGTTCTCCTGTAATTTAGAGGGAATGATCCTAAGGGCTCGAGTCTGCCTTTGTAAGCTTTATTCTTTAATCCTATCACCCATTTGGTTGCTCGTCTCTGAACTCTATCCAAGAGATTTATGTCTATTTTAAGGAAAGGGAATGAGACAACTGGACTTCAAGGTGTGGGCGCACATATGTCCTAAACAGCGTTAAGAATAATTCTGGAGTTATCGCACCAAGTTTTCTTCTCATAAAGGGATGAGTTGAATTATCCTTGGCTAAGCCCCGTATATATTTCGAACTGGTGTGGAGGTTTCCAGTGATTATATAACCGAGATCGCGTTCTGAGGAAACTTCCTTTGAAGCTGTAAATCGTTAGCTTCATGTGGGGCAGAATGTACATGACTTGACATTTCGGCTGGTTTAGTTATAAATCTTTTTCCGTAGCCCATTCCTCAATAGGCTGAAGGTCCCTTTCGATCTCAGTCGAATACTCTTCGCTTCTAATGAACCTCCAGACTTTTTCATCGTAGACCTGTGCCGCTGAGATAACTGTGTGCAACTGATCGTTAATGAATATCAAGAGGAGAAGTGGACCTAAGATATTTCGCTGTGAAACTCACGATACCTTCTGAATTTGGATTGTTTAGGGTACTATGTTGATGGTTTTCGCAAAGACAAGAAATATATTGTGCACCAGTACCTATCGGTCCCAACAGGTTGTCCGACAGTCCCATTCTATGAGAAGATTGGACGATTATGACCGTTCTTTCGGAAACCCGTATTGAGCCTCATGGTGTATTTTGTCGTTATCCAGTGACGTCAAACTCCATATGAAAGTTCTGGATGGAACTATTGTCTATCTCCACTGAAAATCCGATTGTTCTACAGAAACTAATCTTTTCCTATCCTGACTAGATAATTTCATTCAGAAAATCTAGGAAGATGGGGATCTCATATCACACTTTCTACCAACTCAACTTGGAAGCCGACCAGAGGCCTGAGATAACACAGAGATGTGTGCCCTTTCCGACACCGTTATCAGCTAGCATGGAAGCTCAGTCTCGCCCTACAGTTTATTTTGTTAATTTATGGTATCGTGAGATTCACTTTTTTTAAATGACCTAATGCTGCTTCGCCTTAGTAGATTTGTATTGATTGTGTTAGTTCATGTGATCTTTAATAAGCTCGACTTTTTTGATCAACGAGGAAAATGTTGAGGTAATAAGATAGTAGCTCTATCCTACCATTATGCCAAAGAATAAGTTCATTATCTCAAAACCTATGTTCTGTTATGGTAATGCGGAGATAACCGTCGTTATCTAGTTATAAAATTTGCTGCTGTTGATTGGGATATCTACTTGTTCGCATTTCCCTCTTGTCACTTATGTTCTTGCTCATTTCATTTGTTCAGAGTTTCCACTGTTCGCTATAGACGATCATTCTGAGTAATCTCATATCATTAGTGTAGCACAAATTGCGAAACATTGATTGTTCATTTATTGTAATCAAGTAAGAGGATTATGGTTCATGCCACTGGAGAAACTAGCCATTTTTCCAAAATATCAGAAACTTTCTAAAACCAAATTGCTCAAATAAGATTGTCAAGCAATCCGAACATTTTTTAAGTGACCTCAGTAAGTTGGACGTGTCTCCAGTGATTTTAAAAGTGTCAAAACAGTAATTTTGAACGGTTAAAGCAATAAACCAAACCAAACTCAGGAAAAGGTCTAGAGATAAAAGGTGTTCATAAATAAACGCACTACATATTACCAAAATGATTTCAGCTGTCGAAAGCTGAAGTAAAAAACGTGTTAAAGAAGTAATTCACAAACTGAAATAATGCTTAAAGCCGTCAAATGATTTTACATCTAAACAAGAGTAAAAATTCACTTCCGTTCTACAAGACTCCCGGTGATTTAACATTCTTATATTTTGGACTATTAACGTAGGTAAGTACACCTAAACTGAGGCAGAAAATTCCTCTCTGTTATGAAGTACAGCACCTAGAATAGGACTCACGATTCTGAGGGTATTTTAATTTACCACGTAGAGGTACTTCATATCACCACTCTTAAATGTAACAACAATAACTTTTAAAAACTTGCAGAATAATGGCTCAGTAAATCATTATAATCACTGTAGCAGTTTCGTGACTGAAGAGATAATTCTAGACCTAATACCTATATCGGAAACACTGTTCCAGATATAGCATTCTGTGTGAAAGAAATAATAAGGATGAACTGCATTATTCGGATGATGTAGACACCTTACTTACGTAAGCTTGTTACCCCGATTAGAGAAAGGGCCACTGACCAGCATTATTCAACCTACTATGTCCTGAGCTTCTCATACCAGTTCTGTACGATACCTGTTCATTCTTCTCATGTCTATCTCCATTTCCCGGCGGAATTAGTTTATGGCCTTTCCTTTTTCCTTTAACCTATAGGGTTCCAAGTGAGAGCTTGTCTTGTGACGCGGTTGGGTGCTTTCCCTAATGTGTATCCTATCTACTTCCAGCGCTTCTTCATCATTACTTCGTCCACTGGAATCTCGTTTGTTCTTTCCCACAGTAGATTGTTGCTGATGATGTCTGGCCAACGGATCCGAATTATTTTGCGTAGACAACCGTTATTAAACACTTGCGTCTCCTGGATGATGGCTTTTGTAGTTCTCCATGTTTCCGCTGCATACAGTAGAACTTTCTAGGCATTCATATTGAAAACTGTGACTTTGGTGTTTGTCCGTAGTTGTTTTGAGCTGGTGATGCTCTCCAGTCTTAGCAGCCCTTGCTTCGCCGATCCGCTCCATCACAACTTCATCGGATCCACCTTGGTTGTCAGTGACGCTGCCCAGATATGTAGAGGTGAAAACGTCTTCCAAGGCGTGTCCATAAATAGTGATTTGGTTAGTGCATGTTGTGCAGTACCGGAGAATTTTGCTTTTTCCTTTATCTATGTTGAGACCTACTGCTGCAGAGGCTGTTGCTACACTGGTCGTCTTCTCTTTCATTTGTTGTTGCATGTGCGATAGAAGAGCCAGATCATCTGCGAAGTCCAAATCGCCCAGCTACATCCTCCAGTTTTAGACGCCTTCACAATCTAGTCGATCACCAGGAAAAAGAGAAATAGCGAGAGCAAGCAACCTTGCCTGACACCGATCTTCACCTCGAACGAGTCCTTCAGCTGTCACCCGTGCACGATTTTGCAGTTTACTCCATCACAAGAGTTCCATATGATTTTGAATATTTTCTCAGGCACGCAGTAGTGTTAAAGAAGCCTCCATAGTGCTGCCATGCCCACGCTATCAAATACTTTCTCGTAGTCAATAAAGTTGATGTAGAGTGGTGAGTTCCATTCAACTGAGTGTCCCAAAATGATACATAATGTTGCATTTTGGTCGGTACACGATACAACTTTACGAAGTCCAGCCTGTTGGTCTCGAAGTTGGGCGTCTACTAATGCCTTCATTCTGTTCAACAGTTCCTTGTTGAAGACTTTTTCTGGTATTGAGAGAAGAGTGATTTCTCAGTAGTTCTCACACTTGCTGTAGACTCCTGGCTTGTACTATTGCAACCGTTGATAAATCTTGATTAATTGCGAACAGCAAAAGAACTTAGTAACTCAGTTCAATTTACAGAGAGCACATTACTTACAGGAGACTAGTTGATCTCCATGGGCATGTTGACTGCCCTATTTTGTTGAGAATAAACGAGCCCAGTGATAACCTAGAATATCATCTGATGTCATATACCATAGTATTTACCACTACATGTGATAAGACTGAAGTTCCGGATTAGTAACGAAGCAATCCGAAAATAACTCGCCATCAGTGCACTCGAAATTAGTAGTACATAATCGTATGTTCAGTCTTGGGTGACTAAACGGTTATTAATGATTCACGTGAAATAAACAAGTTCTGGAGAAAATAATTCACCATAAAGACTTACTCAACAACCGTCTATGTGCAGATCGGAAATTAATTATATGTAGTTACCACTGAAAACAACCAATCGGGAAGCAATTAATGACCATTGTGCGGTAGGTCTAGCTGCCTCATTCAACTGCTCCTTTTCTAGTTGCTTCGGCAGCATACATACATTCACTCACTCACTCACAAACACAGCACTTCTGGACAAGTTAATGGATAGGCGGAAAGTTACTTTCTAATACGGTCAAAGGTATAATTGCAATTTCGGAGTACTTTCAGACTCTATTCCTTGTAGTTCTATTATATACTACTAAATTCTTTTTTCCTAAATCCATTTTTTGTGTGTCATGTCAGTTTTCACCTCTTAGTCTCCCTGGTATTATGTTAATTAATAAGGTCGCTAGTACATCTTACACTATAACAACCAGGAAAACCTGTAGAGGCATAGACCTCGAGGTTAATAGTGCGTCGAAAATCCCAATCTCGTGCGAACAGGTTGTTAAAAACCCAAACCGCCAGTCGATAGTATCCCTCTCAGTGTCTATACTTTGGATCACTTAACGCTAACACCACAGAGGAAGCAAGACACCACTCCCATTCCTAAAAAGACCAGTAAGCTAGTTAAGAATAGGAGAAAAAGACGTTTCAAGGCTCAGTCGACACAGTCTAATGTCCAGAAACTGCATAAGGATGACTGTTTCGCCCGCCAATTACTAGTCAAAATCAGTGACTTTGCTTTTGAATGTTACTTCTGAAATACATGGGTACATTGTCACTGCAACACTACAGAACCTAAAGAGTACTACGGATTCATGCTGAGTCACCCCTGTCCATGGTTCTGGTGTATCTGCCCTCGGTGTATAGTATCTGAGGCACTGACAAAGCCACAGGTCCCACCCAAAATCAGCCCTAAATTCCAAACGACCAAACTAAAATCGCCTGGCAGTAAACCAGCAAAACAAGTGACCAAGCCTACCAAAACCTTGCCTAACACAACGACAAAACTGCCGGTTGTTGTTAACCCCCCCCCAGTATCTGTTAGCAATACAGAACAGTGGGTGAACGTGAAGAAGGTAAATATCAAGACCTCAACTCACAAGCGGCTACCACCAGAGGACAGGGACAACAAATCAAACTCACTTATTTCATTTCATGTCCCAATATCGGAAGGAAGCTTGGTAGAAGGTAGGGCTGCCCTCGACAAAGAGCAGTGTGATAAACACTGCACAACCCTCGGAGTGTGCAACGTCCCAGCCAAAATATGCCGCCTTTTTAAATGTCAAACTGTCTCGAAAGGTAAACCCCCTCCAACGAGGGTAACTCTTGACTCGGCATGACTTACTGAAGACATCATCCTTTCATCCCAAAGACCATCGGTCAAATTGTCCTCGCCGGTTCACATCAGGCATGACAAGCCGTGGTCGGTACGAGTGGCAGCCAGAAGTACACCAGGCACCCAAGAGCAGGCCACCATGGTAGGTCACGGTGTACCTAGACTCGCTGACGGCAACCTGGATGAAGCTCACGAGCACGATGTGCAACAGTGGCGATGGCTAACGCGCAGCCTATCCCTCCACACTACTATGGCTGTTTGAATTTCTAGGTTGCCCCGCTCGTCACAACTTCCGTCCATCAAGTCACCACGCCTGATGGCTGTGACATTTAGGAACCGGAAGACCTGACTGAAGCACTCCAAGCTTGGTACAGTTCGAAGAACGATCTGTCTAGCATCATCAGGTAGTGCGAAAGCCGACCTAGATCTATGGGATAACAGCAGGGAGGCCACAATGACAGAACTGACAGTTAACCTCGGTCAACAACCCCTGGCACAAGACACCGTTGAACTCACTGCACTGGCAAAATATCTGCAGTGTCCAGTTCCCACAGAACTGGCCAACTTTGTTTGAATAACTTGTTAGAAAATCCGACTACGGCTGGTGCAGAAGTGCACTAGATGCTGTGACAAACCACCATGTGTCCATAGCAACGTAAGAGGACTAAGAGGTAAACTGTTAGATATCAGGAATATGTGCTCTAAGATGGAACTGAAGATCATAATCCTAACTGAAACATGGCTATCTCCTGACACTGCAGACGAAGAAGTGAGTCTTCTATGCATGACACTCTTCTGAAGCGATAGGGTCCACCAAACTGGATTTGGATTGGCTATATATATAAACAGCCACTCAAATGCCGAACGGCTGTACGACACCCAACTAACTAAGGTGACAGAATCATGTTGGTGTTGTTTCCAAACAACAGCCATTAGAAGCTCTGGGCTGACTGAGCACGTATGCAGTGCACCAGATGGACTGAAGAGAGAAAGCCCTCAGACCTGGATTATCTGTTAACAAATGACCAGCTCCTGGTTGAGGATGTTCACGTCCGCGCACCAATAGGTAGTAGTGACCATGGCACAGTCTTGTTTTACATGGTCATAAACGGAACACTCACACAAGACGATAACGAGCCCTATCTTTGCCACACTATGGCAAACTGTACGCGTATGAAAGAGGTCCTCCTACATGCCTTCATGGCCATGGGAGTGGTGGAGGCTGACAGTAGATGATCATTGGCAAACAGTGAGAGATATCATCCAAAACGCTGTCGTAGACAATGTACCTCAGTCACACAACACACGTGGGAATAGAAGAACCTGTGTTAGGCGCAGCACTAAACGCTTGATACAGGTGAAGATGGGAGCCTGGCACAAGTGGAAGGTCTCCTTGAATGATTCCGAACGCAGTTCTTACTTGGCATTGAGAAACAGATGCAATACCAAAGTTCGAAGCAACAGGAGACAATTCAAGACGAAGCTAGCCGCCAGAATAGAGGCAAACCCGAAATATCTGTTTAGGTTCATGTCCAAAAGAAAAGCTACTAATCAAGGGTTGTTTTCTCTCAAAGGACCAAACGGGGAAGACCTCACCAACCTAGAGATGGCCGAGATATCGCATCTTGGCTCAGAAAGTTTCGTACCAAGGTCAATAGAATGCACGCGAGCTGGCGAGTATCCAAATCGTAGGTTTCACAGGGGATCATCCTAGGCCCACTTCTCTTCCTGATATTTATTAACGACGTGTGAGGCTCAGTTAGCTCACCGGCATCGATCTAAGCAGACGATGCGAAGATCTGTAGGTCCATTAGAAGCGAATAGGAATTGACTGAGCTTCAAAAGGACCTTACATCTATTGAGAAATAGGCAGTGAAAAACGGTTTAAAACTCAACCAAACGAAGTGCCACGTCGTGCATATTCTGCCTCACACGACGCAAACGATCTATACCCTCAATGGAAGTCCGCTCACTAATGTCTCCTCAGAGCGCGATCTTAGTTTAATAACCACAGAAAGCCCCCACACCAGTCAAAACTATGTAGTAGATGCAGCCAAGGCATCTTCACTTTATGCGAAGACAGATTGGTGCTATCAACCCGAAATTATTTTTTACCCTGTTTAAGACGTACGCGCGCCCACACTTGTAGGTTCACAATGTCATCGCACCCCCTCTGCTTAAAAGAGACATTAATCTCTTGGATCGAGTGCAGAGACGAGAAACCAAATGAGTGATAGAGTTGAAGAATAAACCCTACGACGATAGACTCCAGTTCTTGGGATTATTTCCACTGAGCTACAGGAGAATCAGAGGTGATCTGATTATGGCACACAACACATTAGGCACGCCAAAGCATCCCAACGTGAGCATCTTACCGATGCATCACCACCACTCCCCTCGAGGCAATCTTCGAAAGATTGCATATCAAAGAGCGAATACTCAGATTCTTGCACACTTTTTCTCATCGCGATTTGTTGCAACCTCGAATGCTCTCACAGCCGAGGTGACCACAGCCCTCTCACTGGACAGCTTTAAGTAGAGACTTGATAATCATGTACTCACATACGGATTATCATCTCCCTCTTGGACAATCTGTGCATAATGCATTTCTTGAGATCTGCTAGATGTTATCATTGCCATCTCCTCAGATCACTCAGTTATTCTATTTTGCCTCTTATCTCTGTTTCCTCCTCATTGCTTACACTTCGGTCCTCTCTCACAATCTTCATTACCAATTAATAAACTTAGTTATCCGTATATTACTTAGTTCTGAAATCTTATTCATATTAGCATTAGAATTTTATCCTTATTATCCTTATTACAGTCCATATGGCAACTAACTGATCTCCAGTCTGATAATGTGATAGCTGCGGGTATCTAGAAACCCTACTGCCTTGAAAAAAACGTATTCACGCAAATCACGGGACATACAAACTCACAACCAACTGCCAACTGACTAGAATTAGACAGTCGAGTGGCTAGACCTCCATCCATTGGACATTACCGAACACCTGGAACCGTACCGAAAGAACAAGAATCGAGCGCGAAGAAATCAAATTGGTTTACACTAGCTCGTGAAAAAGATATTGGATATTGGATGACCTGGCGCAATTTTCAAGTGGTCTGTTGTAATATTTTCGTTTGTGTATTTTAGAATAGTGTATGTCTTTCGTCTGCCTAAACATACTCAGAGATCTGAATAATAATAAAAACATTTGTACCTCGATTCATGGAATCGATTCTATGACCTGGCTGTAATTTATTTTTCATAGAATGCCGTGGGATTGTGAGAATGTCCAACATCCAGAGTCATCCATCCTACAACAGGCTTAGCATTTTCGAAATTTCCTTATAATGGTCGGTGGGACTAGCCATACATGTTGTCTTATGAAGAAAACTGAAGACCGCAGTTCTCGTCAAGAAGAATAGTTCGGGAAACATGTGTTCATTCTCAAAGTTCGTATTACAGTGAACATTCAATTTCTTCATGAATCTGTTCACTGATGAAAATCATAAGCCATTCCCCCCATTTAGGATCCCGAAGCCATTTGCCATCATTAGTTTGGAATCTTGGTTTCTCAACTCTTAGGTCGGTCCTCAATATACACCTCCCGGTAAAACTGCTGAACGTTTACTTTTTTCACCCGAATCTTATAAACAACACATTCCACGAAAAGGCAGTGAACAGGGCTCCCCTGATTGTGCACGAGTATCCAGTTCAGGCTATCTTCGATGGCGTCGTAATTTTAGCCTGGTCCTAAAAAACCGAGTCTAAAACTTCACGATGGGCGGAGTTTCGCGATATCGAGACACTTATTTTGGTGTCTCGGGCCTGTTTCAGGAATGTTACTCGACCTACTTGCACACCGAGCTTTGTTTATAATTTTTAAGACGTTAAAGAAAACGAATAATTAATTGGTTTTCGACAATTTTGATCTCTCTAAAGAAACTATATCAGACTGCCGGTCTGTTACAACCTCAGTTTGGGTCCTAGAGATAGTGCAACTAAGACAGCTCAAAATCGCAACCAGTTGCGATCCTGCTGTAGTTTTTCTTTACATTCTTCTCATATGTGAGGGCAGCTTTAACTTATATGATCTCAGTTTTTCACCTTCATATTAAGTTGTGCGGCTCGTTCTACCTTTTGTTGCTTTTTTGTATCAGGTCATAGGTGCTTGAGTGACAATAACTATAAAAGTGGCATATGCTAGGAGTTGAGAACTTGGCGGCAGTAACCTAAGTAAAAAAAAGCTTTTCAAACATTCAAATCACGGTGTGTCATCGGTCTAAAAATATTTTAATCGTTGGTCTGATCAGTGTAAGCAAGTACGTAGTTTCTAACCAGGTTGACTCCGTTATGGCTTCACCCATTCTCTTTGTCAAAGATTTTTCTAAATCCTAACCTTTATATTGCTTTTCACACTTAGGTTTCATTCTTTGCTACTTTCCTTAAGTTTAGTTTTCTTCTATGATAGATAGTACTATTTCTTTTTTTATGTTAATTCTTTGCCTCTGTTTATGTGAATTGTGTGACTAATGCAAATATATTGTAGGCACATTGCTGAACTTGTTTCCATACAACAACATTGAAGATATTCATGTTCGATTCTCGCATTCTTTAGAATATATGTTTTACATCGTGGACTGGACTTGTACAGTCATAAAAAACCAGAAAATACTAAGTAGCTGTCTCATCATAGTATGAAATTCTCCAGTTGTGCGCAACCACAATTCCAAATGTGAGTAATGACCCAAAACGTTTAGGCTCCACTGTACGTGCTTAACATTCGAGCCTGATTTTTCCCACGATTTTCCGTAATATGCCGAGTTTAAACATTTTTAGTACACAGTGCATATATGTTTTTATATACAAATAGAAAAAAGATGTGTAAAAGGCTGTTGGGGTTCTATAGATGAGTCATTAAATGTTCGGCACCTTGTAAATGAATACAGGGATAATAAGGCTGCTACAAGGTGATCCGCGGAAAAGTACACAGAGTAAACTGCCAAACAGATTGTATTTCCAATTGGGTTTTCGTATTTTTTTGAGTCCTAATTATAATTTTCTAGTAGATTTAGACTAAATTATTGATTGTTGGTTACTAATTACTTCTTCTTGTATAACCGCAAACTTTAACTGATTTATCAACTCTCCGGATTTCAGGTAAATACATCGTTACATAAATTAAGTAATGGAATCCGTTTATAAACGGTTGAATGCAGAAATAGAAAAAGCACAAGGTATCCAAAAAGAAATACAGAAAATTTTCCAACTACATCGTCAATTGTCTGCCCAGCTTTCTGAAAATGAGAATGTTATTGAAGATCTTGGGTTTTTAAACGAATCAAATGCTATATATAAACTTGTTGGGCCAGTTTTAGTCAAACAGGATTTATCTGAAGCTAAAGAAACTGTCAATAAGAGGATAAGCTACATAACATCTGAAATGTAAGGAGTCAGTTATCGTTTTCATCTGACATTTTAGAAAACGTCATGATGACAGAATAAAAGAACTGGAGAAACAGCAAGAGAATTGCCGGGAACAGATAAGCAAATTACAACAAAAACTCCAACAAGAACACACAAAAGCAGCACTAAAGGCTTAATGCAACAAATGGCATAAACTTATGTGAATAATAAAATTCTAGATTTTTTTTGTGGCTAAAATGAGTATGTTCTTCATTAACTCTAGGGAACTATCGTTATTCTGTTCGTGGTTGATATGAGAAACAGAGTAGTCAGTCATCTAAACTTCTCGGCAACTTTAACTTCTTACATCCTAGTTTGCGTCTTCCTAGCATAAAATGGAGTCTTGGCTCTTCGAATTTGGTCGTATGTTCAATACTTGCAAGCCACGATTTGAGAATCTGATGCTATACATTCTCAGCTTTCTTCAATATGCTGAGATCTTCGGATAATGCTTTCATCGAGTTCTTTTTTCGATTTCGATGGTTTGATCAAGTTTTGGCATTTTACTTAAAATTCGGGAATGCACCTCGAAACTAATAAAAGTGGATTGTCATTTTAATTCAAGCTATGATATACTGTCAAGATCAGTTCGAAATATGAAACCGACAGCAAGACTAGTATATCTTCATCAGTTTCCGGACCACTAACTTTAGTGAGATAAAAAGCGAAAGAAGCTTATGAATGATGTAACCAAATGATCTGTGTCACAGAGACTGGAGGCCAACAAGGTCACTTTAGGCATCATCCCACGAAAATGGTTAATTTTATATTGTAACTGATCTTCATTCCAACTACTACTACTAAGTTTTAGGTGACTCAATTTTTGAGTATATATTTAGGTAATTTGCGGTCCGTCATGGTAGTACTTTCAGTAGTAAGTTTCCGTCACTATCTGTAGGGTTTCGGTTGCGATAGGTGGAATAACAAGGCCTTTTGAGGATGCATCAACTAAAAGTAAATATGTGATACCATTGGTTAATCCTTTAAAATCAATGTGAACTCTAGACTATGGGGTCTTGTGGCACTCGACCTTTGAGTTTTACTGCTTGTTAACTCTTAGCGTAGCCGCTCTCAAAGACATACTGATTTATAAAGTAGAAACAAGGAAATCTAGCAACGGATTTTTACCTAGAATTGTCGTAGGACCTGATTATGGAGGGATTAGAACACTACCTACAATGAACGCATCTAGCCTGTGATCGATCATCTTAAATCCATTACAAATAGGAATGAATTCGTTGCTGAAAATTAAGTTGTTTTACACAGCTCGCAGTTCACCAGGGCTTTTTATACTTTTTTGATTTTCCATTGTATTTTGAAGGTACGAAAGACTAGATCGATACACAACATATTTATTTATATTCAATAATTCTAGTGCATGTGATTGTCACATATTAGCCCGCTAAACACATGTTAGATATCCTAAGTCGGCAAAAATACTTTGGGTGAGTATAATTAGTTATAAGTCCACATTGGAAGTATGATAAAGTTCATGCGTTTTACTGTTAGCAAATGCTTTAATTACTGTAATACTTAGTCACCGTATGTAGTAGTTGGATGGCATGATTTAGATCTGACGTACAAAAGATAGTGTCTGGCCATTAGACGAAACGTATCAGAAGCCAACTTTATGACAGTTGACCTGAGGTGGCATACCAGCATATATAGATTTTCCAACTTCAAAGTGCTTTTTATTAAGAAGCATGTTAGTTAATATATTAGTAGAAATTGTTTTTGTCTGGCTCCACTGAGTGCGCATAAATTTTGTTCGTCGAATCGGCAGAACTAAGCATAGTCGTTTCAAACACGCAACCACTATTGTGACTGGTTTTTGAGAGGAAGTAAGAAAACTGATATTCCTATATTTTGTTACATCATAAGATGCTTTCGTAGGAGTGAGAATTCAGAGTGATCGATGAATGTTTTGTAGCCAAAAGTATACTGAACATCGTTTTCGCTTAAGTATTATCTGTCCGTTTACACCTAATAAATGAAATCAGTTATGTGCGAATAGGAGAATAGAAAGTTAGCCGGATGTAAAACCGATCCCCAACCATATTACGCAGCCATAAATGTTTAGTCGCTTTTTACTATCTGTGGTACTACAACTAATTTATTAGTTATTCTGATAGTTTCACAATGCGAGGCTTAATATTTAGGCCGATGTTCATTTATCCCGAGCTCTATGTTGATTATAACCAACCGACCTACAAATCCGAACGAATGGCACATTCCACACAGTTTGTCCTCTATGTTAACCTAGTTGGATCCTTATTAATTTAGTGGTTGTCTAACTGATCTAATAGATATGAGCTAAAAATTTACATCGTAGTTTGTTTAGGTTTTAGATTGAATACGACAAGTTGTTTGATCAGTGGTAAGGCTGATGAATTGATAGTTTATTCGAAATTTGATTGATATTTGATTTTGAAAAATATCTACATGAAATAATATTGGTTTTTGTATGGACTTACATCTTTCTGTGCTGAGTTGTATATATTCATATTTAGTTTCCAGATAAAAAGATCATGATACAGTTAGTCAAAATAAACTCAACTGGATAGAATTAATTCAAGCAATATGCATTTTGATCTACAAAATATTATTATTTATTCAAGTCTACAAAATCATACATTTCTTATCAAACTGTACATTAATTCATGTAAATGTAAATCTTCCGTTCAGTCGTTTATATATGTTTTATAGTATTTAATTCGTTAAAATATGCAAATGTACATCTATACAACACAAAATAATTATATCGAATCACATGATAAAACCACTGAAGAAAACATGGATACATACTGTTTGTACTTCAGCAGTACTAATATAAATCTTAAGTGTTTATTTGTGCTGACTATGAAACACAACAAGTACTGAAATCTAGAGAGAGAGAAAAAAACAAACAAATTCCATGAAATCCTAATAGAAAGTAGTGACATGCTAAGCCGGGAAATGCTTCTTCTAGGATTTTAAGGTTTCCAGACCAGTTTAAATCGAGACAAAAATATTTCCGAAGATGAATGTATATATTTCATAGTATTATCGTAAAAACACTAGACAAAGTTAATAATAATAATAATAATTTAAAACTAGACATTTACAGAATTCTTGTGTACTTTATACTTAAGAAAATATCCATCAAAACAATCACGTGACATCACCTGATCAATTTCCAAAAAGACAGACAAACACCATCATCATAGAACAAGGCACAGATGTACATTGACCCAATTTGCCATATCAGATTAGCATGGAAGCATGAAAAGCAAGACAAGATAAACATATTATCCCTTTGTTTTAAATTTAACCAATTTTTTCAATGCATATGAAGTAATTTAAATCAATAAAAAATAGTATTAATGTAGCTTCTTCAAGTGTGTGCTATTTCTCAATTGGTAATGTGATTTCAGCTGACAATATTATTGCCTCATATGGAAAATAATTAATTGTTTTCAGGTTATGACCATGGACAGAGTAATTCGCTAAAAATATGTACATGATTTTTCAGGGGTTGACCTTCTACCAGGAAAGTCGCTTACTGATCTAGAATATGCCGATGACATAGTTCTATTCGATTAAGACGCTGACAAAATGCAGAGTCTTCTGACTACCATAAGCAACAATGCGAGCATGTTCGGGATGCGGTTTTCCCCGTCGAAATGCAAAATGTTGCTTCAAGACTGGGTTGCATTGGCACCTGAACTAGTGATAGGGAGTGAAGTAGTCGAGCGTGTTGACCACTTCACTTATCTGGGGAGTCTCATCAGTGCTGATAGCCTGGGGACTGACGAAATCTCAGCTCGGATACAGAAAGCTCGATTGGCTTTTGCCAACCTGCGTCACTTATGGCGTAGGCGTGATATCCGTTCGCTAACCAAAGGGCGGGTGTACTGCGCAGCAGTTCGTTCCGTTCTCTTATATGGCTGTGAAACATGGCCGTTAAGAGTAGAAGATGTTCGTAGGTTACTAGTATTCGATCATAGATGTTTAAGAAGCATTGCTCGTATATCGTGGGACAACCGAGTAAGCAATGCTGTCGTTAGGAAACGAGTACTAGGTAAGGATGGAAGATCAATAGATGAAGTGGTGAAACTTCATCAGTTGAGGTGGTTGGGACATGTGTTACGTATGCCTAACCACCGACTACCTCGACGAACTTTGTTTTGTGGTGTAGGAGTAGGTTGGAAGAAAGTTAGGGGCGGCCAAATCAAAACATGGCAATAATCCATAAAGTCACTGACAAATGGACTGAGTCATGTTGGTAGATGTAGACTACCTGGTTGGTGTCCGCGAGACGAAAGTCATCAATGGTTAGAGACCTTGAACGACATGGCTCAAAATCGTTTGCAATGGCGCGGGTGCATCCACTCTTTGAGCTCTCTCAAATCCTAATCTTCTGGATTCGTCAGAACCTGTACCTTTGTCTTTCTAACCTTATCTCACTGAATTATATTTCTTGAGTAATATCTTCGAACCCTAGTCTTCTTTATTAACATTAATACCTCTACTATCTTTATCACTATGGGATTTGATTTGACATTTGCGTCTCTGTGCTAAAGTGGTATGGCAACATGAACTTATGTACATACGTACGAAGTTCTACGTTGCAACTGACTGACTGATATACATGATAGAAAAATCCATTAATAGTGTTGTTTAGTATAATAGTATACTCGTTTTAATATATATATATATATATATATATATGCATATCTTTGCATAACCCAAAACAACTATTTCACCTGTCTCTTGTATTTCACTACTATACATGACAAAAAAAGTATGTTACGATCGGAATACTTCGTTCGGTGCATGTTCATAACTTCAACTAACTTATTTTTTGCGCTTGATTCCACTAATACTGAATACATTAGACGAGATATGCTGAAAAGTATATATGTATGCACACTTAACAGGCTCGATGCTCATATGTAAAATGTTGATAAAAATTACCTTACACTATTTTCACAACATACAAGAAAGTTGTATAGTATGGAATATCAAACAATCTTGAAATCTATATCAATCAAGATTTAATTGATGGTAAATCTATCACTTCCAATGTAATTGACTCTACATGCTATTCAGTTATAATTTTAATCAATATCAGCGGTTAATTATTACATTAGCATTTTCTTGTCTACAAAATAAAAAGTACAAATAATAAACACTACAAAATTGAGAAAAAAAAAGCAGCCACTACTGCATGTTTTATAGAATTTGATTTCATCTAGCAAGTATTACTGTACTATATTAATTATTTTTGCATTCTCATTCATGTTACATTCATTAGGATAACTTTTATCTACTAAAAATAATTAAGCTGAATATATGATAATAACCAACGAGTCATTAACATTCATCAGAAATATGAATTTGTAAAACCTTAGTGAAGTTGGTTAGTTAGTTTTGAAAATATTACTTACTTACTTACTTACGCCTGTTACCCCCAATGGAGCATAGGCCGCCCACCAGTTTTCTCCAACCAACTCTGTCCTGGGCTTCCCTCTCCAGTTCTGTCCAATTTTTGTTCATTCCTCTCATATCTTTCTCTATTTCTCGGCGTAATGTGTTCCTTGGTCTTCCTCTTTTCCTTTCGCCTTGAGGGTTCCATGTGAGGGCTTGTCTCGTGACGCAGTTAGGTGCTTTTCGTAGTGTGTGTCCTATCCACTTCCACCGCTTCTTCCTGATTTCCTCATCCACTGGAATCTGGTTTGTTCTCTCCCACAGTTCGTTGTTGCTGATCGTGTCTGGCCAACGAATACGAAGTATTTTGCGTAGACAGCTGTTAATAAACACTTGTATCCTCTGGATGATGGCTTTGGTAGTTCTCCATGTTTCCGCTCCATACAGTAGAACTGTCTTCACATTTGTACTGAAAATCCTTATTTTGGTTTTGGTTGAAAGTTGTTTGGAGTTCCAGATATTTTTCAACTGTAGAAATGCAGCCCTTGCTTTGCCAATCCGTGCCCTCACATCTGCATCGGATCCACCTTGGTTGTCGATGATGCTGCCCAGATATGTAAAGGTGTTAACGTCCTCCAAGGCATCTCCATCAAGAGTGATTTGGTTGGTGCATGTTGTGTTGCATCGGAGAATTTTGCTTTTTCCTTTATGTATGTTGAGACCTACTGCTGCAGAGGCTGCTGCTACACTGGTCGTCTTCTCTTGCATTTGTTGTTGAGTGTGCGATAGAAGAGCCAAGTCATCTGCGAAGTCCAGATCGTCCAGCTGCGTCCTAACTGTCCAGTTGATACCGTGCTTCCCTCCAGATGTTGACGTTTTCATAATCCAGTCGATCACCAGGAGAAAGAGAAAGGGTGAGAGTAAGCAACCTTGCCTGACACCGGTCTTCACCTCGAAAGAGTCGGTTAGCTGTCCTCCGTGCACGATTTTGCAGTTGAATCCATCATAAGAGTTCCGTATGATGTTAACTATTTTCTCAGGCACCCCGTAGTGTCGAAGAAGCCTCCACAGTGTTTTCCTGTCCACGCTATCGAATGCTTTCTCGTAGTTTTGAAAATATACTTAAATGTAAAATTGAGGATAATAAAACAACTGCATCTCACTGAGGCATAAGATAAATAGCCTTATGATTTGAACAAGTATCAAACTAGTCATCATATGTTGACGTTTGAACGAATGAATGAAACGTAGAACTTTGTATGCACATACATCAGTTCAAGTTGCCATACCACATTAGCACAAAGATGTAATTGTCACTTCAAATCCCATAGTAGTAGAGGTAGTAAAACTATTAGCAGTAATCCGAGAGATTTGAGTTCGAAGATATCATTGAAGAAGTAGAATCTAGTGAAATGAACTTAAAAAGAAAAACAGATAAAGGTGATGAGGAACTCTGAAGGTTAGGATTTCAGACAACACAAAGAATGAATGCACCTGTGCCATTGCAAACGGTTTTGAACCATGTCACTGACGAACTCTAGCCACCGATTACTATTATCTCGCGGACTCCAATCAGATAAGTCGACACAAACTAACATGACTCAGTCCAGTTGGTTGGTAGTGACTTCGTAGATTTCTGCCATTTTTCTGGTCTGACCAAACCCAAGTTCAAGTTTAGTGTTATCCTAATTATAACATCAACTACTGTAGAAAAAAAATAAGCAAATTAAATGTAGTTTTCCGGCTAGAAAAAAAAAACATTTAAAAATATTTAATGTTAATGATAGATTTTATTATTTTATGTATATACAAATACATTCATTATATGTATCTATTATGTATAAAAATGTATACATATACTTAATTAAATTGTACATAAAATAACTTCAAAATAAAAAGATGTACAAAATAAGAAAAGAAAATCATTTGATAAGAATTTTTTTTTTCTTTCAAGGAAACATGAATTCTTATACTGTTTACTAAACTCCAATATAAATGATGATGATAGGGCATGCTATATGTATGCTGGTATATATGTATGTATGTATGTATGGGAAAGTAGATGTTACTGCGAACGTTTTATTTTATTCATATTTTACCTAAATGAATACGAATAGATGATGTTTACCTTTTTTAAACAATAAAATTATTTTATCAGAATGATTAGAAATAAGGTTTATTCTGTTATTTATGGAAAGAACTAGGAAGGGAAGCCCAAGACAGTGTTGGTTGTAGAAAAATACTAGTCGGTGGCCTATGCTCCATTAGTGGGTAAATAGCCATAAGTAAGTAAGTAAGTAAGTAATGGTAATAATAAAAAAAAAGTAGAGAGAATTACAGACAGACAGACAGACAAACATAGATGCCTTATTATGAATACATTTATATTATTTATTCCAAATAACAAAATGGAAATACACGTATAGTTTTATCATTATAATGACAATGCATTAAATGTGCAGAAATTTTTGCTCTAGCTGATACACCATATGCACATCGCCATTCTTTAATTGATTCAGCACGTTGTGGAAATGACCATAGAAATCCAGTAATACGCCATGAAAATATATCTGAAGCACTATAATGAACTTTATCCCATTTCGGTGTAACAATTAATCTTGCACATAGTATTGTTTTATAAATAGTAAATAATCGGTTAGATAATTTTGATAAACAAAGTAATGATATATCATCTAAGAAAAATGATAAATAAATTAATAATTCTGCAGGTAATTGATCTAAATGAAAATATTCATTGTTTGTTGGTAATTTTGATGATGAATGAATAAATAAATCATGTGAATTCATTGTTGCTGATTCATAACGTGTTGTAAATGTAGCAAGTGTTGGATTATATAATAAATGATTATATTCACTATTAGGTCGAAGATTAACAACAGCATATTTACAACCTAAAAATGATAATGGACAACGTAATTCAATCCATCCATCTAATTGTGCTTGTACATTACTATGCAATTGATAATGTGATCCATAATTAGTTCGTTGAACTGTACGACCACAAATATATCCTGGCTATATTAGTGGATAGAAATTTATTGGTTTATTAGAATATATATATATATATATATATATATATATTTACATAATAACATGTATGGTCAACAAAATATTATATTTGGGCAAAAAATGGTTGATATTAATTATATGTACAATTTACAATCAATTTAATTCAAATGGTCGCTTCAATGAAGCGGTTTAAGCAGTTTAGTCTCATGAACACCGTAGATTTTTATTATGTGATCAATACATTTGGTAGGAGACAAATAAGAGGATGCAAAACTTTGGAGAATGTTTTTGGTAATATCAATGTTCATATTTGTTTCAAGATATATATTTACTTGTCGTTGCCCTCTTCTATTCCCATATCATTGTAAATTAGTTGTCTGCCGATTATCGCAAATTTTCAGTATGTGGGTTGTAAAGATTGTTGAGTTTTCGTGAAATCGTGAACTAATCAATGTTAGACTAATATTGAAAACCTTGAAGCACTGGACGTCCGTTTGGTTTTAGTGCATAGAACTCATCAGCAATGAGCATCCACAACTCCGAACACAGAAACTGGATCCACGAACTTCGGTCATGCGCGCGAACCTCTTGATTACTGAGTCGGTATACAACGATGTTGATGTCTGATTTCAATCAATCTACGATATTATGCGACCATCTACTATTGTCGTTAGTGGGTAGCTGTATCACACTCGAAACGGTTAAACTTCACTAGTCATGGCTTCTTACTAGAACTACAAGAATTCTCTCAAATTTAAATACTAGTGAGCATATGATAATTATCAGTATAGGGTTATGGAGATTGTTGAGCGCTGGGTTTGATTCCCGCGTGCAGAGTCGTGGGTGAGCACTGTCGAAGAGTCACCAACTAGAATGAAACAGTCGTCTTGTGCCTCGAAGTTTCCAATGCTAGTCTAAAAATGATCAATTCATGATTTCAATGACATTCCAATTTTGTTTGCCAAATGCTCAAGTTTGGTACACATTGTAATTTCGTGTTTACAATGCATTCTAGGTCCCGTAATTCATGCATTTAATTGTCAATTTATGAGTCCAAGTTACAGACGTTAGATCGTCTCGTCTTCTAACTGGTACTCGTAAGATGAATTCTGTATAGCCAATAAACCTTTTAATATCAGATTACCTAGTTAAGGCATCCGTGTATTAGTTTTACAAAGCCAAGTCAATCATCGAAGGTAATATACAAGATCAAAATGTTTGATGATGATTATAGCAAGCCCAAAGCACAAGAGAACTCTCTTCAAAACAATTGTAAAACCATTCAAATGTGTTTCTTTTTAATCATATTATAAATGTGGATGATAAGAAGTGTACAATGAACACATTCACATACATGTTAATGGCTATGCTGTGTGGTATACAATATCGTGTAGATGCACGTAATTAATCGCAGTTTTTGAAAACAGTACATCCAAAATTATAAATATATATATATGAATTAACCATAACAAATAATATCTGTGCATAGACAGAAAATCCAATCGTTAAGTTATACGTTTATTCATAGAGTTCGAGTCTCAAAGTATTAGTTGTATCAAAATTCTAGATAATCCTTGATGATTCCAAACTGATACGAATGTTAAGTAGTACAGGGTCCTCTATCGATTACCATATGAAATATGCTAAATAACAAGAATACGAAAATCGATATTCAATATGATAGTAACGTTCGCGTTATCCTTAAATAGCTAGCTTTCTTACGATATCGTTTGTCATGAATCTGTGTTGTAAAATATTAATTCAGACTATATTTCGGTTATTTACTATATATTTTATATTGTTGTTATTTTTAAATATATTTCAGTGTTATTTTCAAGTTGACAGTATATGACTAGCGTGTATATTTTGGACAGGATCATGTGGTATATATATATATGTGCATGTCTTTTTAGCTAAGTATCCTATTTCAGTGAAAAAATATAATTTATTTTCGTGTTAGTTAAATGAAAAGTTTAAAAAAAATTCTATGAGGGAAAGAATGATTTATGCCAACAATACTGTCGTACAATTTTTACCAACGGATTAACTACGTTATGTTGTAAAACAAGTTGAACATAATAAACATCAATAATAACAATCAATGCACTTACATGATCACACATGTAAGATGATAATGGGGATTCTACAAAACCGCTGTTTATTGTTTTATCAAATTGTACTTCATTGATCAATTTTAATACATTGGTTATATGTTCATCAGTCTGATTTGTAAAAGTTCGTTGATTAGGATCTGTATATAAAACACAACAAAATGTGCAAAAATAAAGTGAATACATGGACAGTTAGAAAAAAATCTAATTGATGAAGACAAAGATAGATAGATAGATAGATACAACCCAGAACTTCGTACGTAAGTACATCAGTTCAGGTTGCCATACCACATCAGTACAGAGACGTAACTGTCAGTTCAAATCTAAGAGTGATATCGATAGTAGAATTATTAGCAGCAATGAAGAAGATTAGGGAGCGAAGATATGATTCGAGAAGTATAATTCAGTGAGGTAAATTTAGAAGGAGAAAGATGGAGATGATGAGGAATTCCGAAGGTTAGAGTTTGGGAGAGCACAAACAGTGGATGCACCTGTGCCACTGCAAACGATTCTGAGCCATGTCAATCAAGGTCTCTAACTATCGGTGACTTTCGTCTCGCGGACCCTAACCAGGTAGCCTACATCTACCAACATGACTCAGTCCACTCGTCAGTGACTTCATGGATGAAGATAAAACAATGATTGGTATAACACAGCATCCTAATCTTTTCGATTAACGCCAATACTTCTACTATTTCTACTACTATGGGCTTGACATGACAGTTCGATCTTTCTGTACTAAAGTGGTTTGGCAACTTGAATGGATGTACATACGTACCAAGTTCTACATTGTAGCTGATTGAATACAACAAACTGTTATGTACACTATGATTTACACAAATATGAGATAAAAGCGAATGCATATATGAGCTACTAAAAGATTTGAGACATTTATCTGCTGATAACATACTGAGAAGTGTTTTTTCTTTCAAAAGGTTTAAGGAACCGCTTATAATTGCATGGATTGCTTCAATTTATTAGTTTGATTTAACAACCCACAGTATTTGCAGCGATTATAAATACAGTCGCATTAAATGATAACACATTAATAATATGGGCAATAGGGAATATTTACAAGATCAATGACAGTAATTTTAGCAAGTCAGTTTTGATTTCTTCTTAACTTTCACTCACTTTCCCACTGAACTTTTAGCTATTGAAGTTAATAATAGGTGCTACAGGTGTACAACAAAGTTATGATTTCGAATAAGTAAGAAAAACGATGTTTAGCGTTAACAGATTCTTTATGTTTTATTTCACAAACAAAGTTATATGTTTGTAGACTTAATGTTGAGTTAGCGAGGAAAGTTTTAATGATTTGTTCATTAAATAAGCGAAAGTTTTAAATAAAAGATAATTCTAAAAAGTTAGTTTTACATACTGAACATATTATTACAGAAATATCGACTCTCTTTGGTGGCTATGTAAATAGTATGCAGTCATTTACAATCCAATTTACAATCAATAAGTAAACCTCGATATGTCCTACAACGGAAAAGAGGAAGGAGAGTCCCCTCTTTCTCTCTCACTCTCTAAATGCTCTTGTATGGCCATGCGTATATAGCCACTGCAACGACAGTTTTGCTCGCTACCCTCTCTTTGCGCAAGTGTTGTCTGCAAAATTGAAAGAAAGGCGGATGTCAGGCCCTACAACCGGGATGATGGCTATGGAAGATCCATCTTAGGAAGTTGGAAAGCCCTAATTCCAAACAAACAGTGTACATAGAATTCGGGATCGCTGGAGAGTAAATGGGCCTTGAAACTATTGTCGGTGACCGGCTACCGAGGGAATACATCTCCTGAAGTCGCTCCACTGCCTTGTGGATTCGATTTTTAAGTCAAAGGCTCGGAGTGTGGCCCCCAAATTAAACAACTTGCTCCACACACAAATTCATCAGTTTGTATGGAGCATAAATACTGAGGTGCTACATTGTCTTTATATAAATAAATAATAAACGACTAGTTCTAGAATTAATTTACATAAAAAGTTATTCATATTAGGGACAAGTTACTAACGAATCAGTAGTATATATCCAATAAATCATTTATTTAATTCTGTACGATAACGTTAAACACGATATGATACTCTGTATGCTACATGCAGTAACAATAACTAGAAGTGAAACTTAACAGTATTAATTAACTACTAATAAACAGCGGGTGAAAATCAATCAATCAATCAAAAAAGAATTATGAGCAGAGAAATTTGATCGAAATAACTTACCAAAATTAAACCCCAATACAGATGAATCAATTGGTCGGTAAACATATGAATTACAAGAAGCATAATGAATAATTGGATTCACAGTACTAGTTACAGGTGAGATAGACTTTTTTTGAGTTTGCCTACATTGAAATGTTTGTTATATTAGAAAATTATGAGAAAAAAATAAGCTAAGAAAAAAAACAAACTTAGTGAAATAAAACAATTTTAATCACATGCACATAAATATGAATGAATTTAAAATGAAAAAAAAATAGTTGTCACGCGTATTCTAAAAGTCTATAATTGTCATAGAAAATTCATAAGAAATGACGAGAGTTTAGTTTGCATGCTTGTGTAGGTTACGGAAATAAGATAGTAGCTCTGTGTTAGGCCTAGAAATGATTGTAGTTAAACAATTGATATGAAACAATCTACTAGTTGATGATATTGAACTTGAATATGATTTTGAAATACAATAGTGTCGAAATGAAGGATTCGAACAAGTCGACGCATTTTATCGTTTGATAAGTAAACATTGAAAAGAAGTTAAAGAATTTAGTAGTCTCCATGTTATTCTCAGAAAACTGAGGTAAATCATCTATTCAGTGCCATCCGAGCTTTGCAAATATCATTTGCAGACATCAAATCTGAATCATTCAATGGTCCTGTAATCTAGCAAACATTTCAATTCGTTATGAATGTGTGAACAGGCAATTTGGGCGAAGAAATAAAGTATCTTTTTCACTGTTGTGAATTATTATGCATCATAGACGACTGATTGATGTAAGTAGGGATGGTGTTCAAATACGTTTGTCCTCAAGTTGTACAACAATTTAACAGCCGCCATCCAGGTATGAACTGGAGTCCATTTACAACAGTCGTGCCTATTTGTCATTAATGGATCAGCGAGTTGCAGACTTTTTGGACGGATGAGCTAAATATGAACAAACAACAGAACTCAGAAGTCCAAGACTGTCAGCCTCGCGGTCATTACTCAAAGATCCATCGTCCAGGGACCCCATAGACATTTCATGATCACTCAGCGGCATTACATATTTGGATCCCATTCAGGAATTCTCAAAATAGCCGGAAATTCTTTGAGTGGTCTCACCTACAACAAGTGAAACCCTCCAGGTACTGACGAAGATAATTTTTGCAACGGAGTACCAGATACTATAGTGTCAAAAAATGGATTGCAAGTTACTTCAGTTCATTTGCAAGAGTTCTACCGACAACATTTCATCACATATTCATTCACTCACTCACCCTTATACCATCTTTGATTAAATTGACAAGTAGAGAGGTTTGTGGACACTTTTAAAAGTATGGGAGGATTTTAAACGGAAACACTGTGTTCTTTGTTGAAGCACACTATTCAACAAACTTTATTGTTTTCCTTCAAACATTTTTTCTTTTGTCCACAAGACTAGTTTCACTTTGTGCGGTGCACACTTGGTCTTCATTTTCATGGATTATTTTTTAATGCGAATAAAATTAAAAAAAATTCAAAGCATTCCATTTGTTTATCTCAGTATTAAAATTATCTTGGTCGAATTACTATATTTAACAACTAATTATTTCCGTATACAATTCTTAAGATTTTTTTGGTGAATTATATTAACCCATTTATCAGGCACTTGAAAGTGAGAGACATTTTAAGTAAGAAGTCTAATAATATTGCTACATGGTTCGCTAAATCAAAGTAGGTAAGTCTGAGTTTGAACCTCGGACTGAGGTGATGGAAATCGGACGATTTAAGTTTGAAGTAGTACAGTCGGTTGATAGCCACATAAGTGAGATCTATTCGATCATAAAGCGTATGCGTAAAATCATGAAAATGAGCTACTCTAAACATTTTCTCAGTCTATGCTAGAGAGGTTTGAAGAAATCAGATGTAGAAACACACTTCATAATTAACGAAGCAAAAAGTTATACCAGAAAAGAGAGTTAATTGACAGCATTCTAACTGAAACAAGGTACCAGCAAATATTTTAAGAAATAAAGAGTTGAAGATATGGACTATCCTTTAAAAACCTCTTCTGCTAAATTATGGTCCATAAGGGAGGTAGCTAGTGATATCCTACAGGTTGAAGTGTTGAATCTTGGAAAAACTCTTAGCACAGCTAATCTACTCTTTGATCAGTGAAGTCAATCCAAACAAAGGATGTTACCTAACTTTTCACTTTGATGTATATCTGCAATCTCAGCTGCTTCTTCAGACACCTCTATAGTAGGTTTTCTATTAAGCAAGTTAAGGAGCGGATGAATGAATATCTCCCTGGGTGGTTTGCAAATTTTTATAGGATACAGGTCGACAGTAGTCGTGTAGTTGATAAAGCTAAATCATTTTGAATGATATATAGTATGCTGTCGTTCCAAAAGTGTCTGACCTAGTCTCCTGTGCATGGTAGAAGCTATAGTGATTCAAACTGACAACCCCAGTCGTGTTCAAAATAAGTTTGCAACATTTTCACCTCCTTCCTATTTGGAAACGACTTGATAAACAATTTCAGATTTAATTACTATTTTTTAATTCATTTTTGATTCGCGTTTCCCTGTATGTATCCTTCACTATATAGTTATCTGAACACTTCTTTTGATAATATTTAATGGTCATTACCTTGGTTTCTACTTTTTCATATATATTGAATATGCTGAAACTGACTGAAAATCCTATTATTCTTAACATTAGTAGTTTGATTTTCATCTTATTATCGATTTATACTTGTTGCCTACTATGTGAGGTTATATTTTTTACCAATGACATTTACGCATAAACTGCCTCAATTGATTTATCCTTTTTTGTACATGGAGACAGACATTACTGTACATTGAACTAAAACTTGAAGATCTGATTGTATGCAATAGTTTGCCTGTTATTCATAGTCGTTTTTGAGATCTTTGTTTAAAACCTGATATTATTCGACAGAAAACGATATAATTGAGTTATTAAGGTTTCAGAAAGTAAACTTCAAGCTATTTCTGAATTTTGTAAAACTCTTTCAGAAATAAGTGATGTCGCCAACTCGCCTAGTAATCTTAACTAGTAGTTTACTATCTAAAAAGAAAGTTAAAATATACGATTTTTCCAAGATATATTCGACAGAACGTTTTCCATTGAATATATTTGGGACAGTAAATCGACGCTACCTGTAAATGGTATTGTTCCCACGTAACTCGAATTTCTGTCACATAAGCACGTAGTTTAGAACTTATGTAGGATGAAGAACAGACTTTTTTCATTAACAAGTAAAAAAGAGGACACAACAATCAAGCACCTAATTTAAGGGGCCAATTTCATCCGAAATTCCGTGCAGGGATTATGTGATGAATGGCAAGTCAACCAGTCAGCTTTTAATGCCAATGAAACTAGATATGTCTGAACAGGTTATGAAAAGATTAGGTGGTAGTAATTCCGAATATAATACATCAGACTATACAGTGAAACATTTAGACATATATTGTACTACCTACCTGAAAAGCCAGGGGCATCGAGCATTACAGCTGACGACACTAGCAGGACAACTGAGCAAGTGAAATGACCTGTCCTCACGGCATATTAAGTGTGGACAACCAACTTCTTTGTTAATACATGGAACTATGGTTTTGGGGCATATGTGATCCACGTGATCTTCAAGCTTGCACGAATGCATACGCATACCACAACCATTTGGACAGTCAGTGACAATGCATTCAACCGCGTTGCATGTCAACATAAGACATCCAGAACAGTGACTTATACAAAAAGGTAGATCTGGCATCCAGCAATGTACTTAAATAAAACCTCTAGATCCAATAAAATCGCAAAAGTAATATGTTTGGCTGAGAACGTCTACTTGATGGTGAATTTATAAGTTCACGTATGATAATGTAATAAATAAAACGTAAGTCGATGATTTCGTCATTTATTTCAACTTAACATAAAGTTTGAAATGAAAAAGTCGTGTGAGAAGAAAAATTGGAGAGTACATTATTTAGTTGCACATAGGAATGGTAGCAGCTGACATTAATTCACCTCACACGATGAGAACTTTACGATGGACATTTTATCTCTCAATGCCCCTTATTTGAATAAGTAACTTTGGGTTCAAGGTCAAATCTCATTATCCAATAACTTTGAGTTTACTATTACCTAGTTAATTAATAGGTTCTCACTTCACAATGTGAAGTGATTACCAGTAGTTTTCCATTTCTAAATTAATTGTTTTCTCTTCGTTCTTACTCAAAATTTGTTTGATAATTTTCGATGTAGGGAGGTCATCGCGATTTACAAAATCTATTCTTTGTTGTTTCCGTGTTTATTCAGTTAGGGACGATTTAAGTAGGAGGTAAAAACGTAGGGAGCTATCTTACTGAGGTTTCATTTGTATATTATGATTGCTTATTTGTTTAGCAATTAGACTATCGACTAACTGTATTCCTGTTTTTATAAGTTTTCTGATATTCGATAGATTTCCAAAGTACGATGAACGGTTCCTTTTTCGTGTTGACAATCTATTATGTACAATTTCCAGTACTCACAGCCATCTTTGTCCCATTCATGTACAGTGTTTAATCTGCATATGATGTGATGTGATCTGACTGAGAGGGTATATGAAGGGATTGTGGTGGAGTTTTGTCCTCTGAGCTGGATTTTTTAGTCGTTGAGTTTTCATTGTTCTCCAGAGTAACATTATCATCTGAAGTTAGTGCTGATAATTTTTGTCAGGGGAGCACTGAAAGCTCAACAACTAAAAAATCCAGCTCAGAGGACAAAACTCATCAACAATCATCCACTTGAGTTACAAATATGAAGAAGTGTCTGAAATATGATGAAAAAGATATCGTGGAGTGGTTGTGCTTAATTTTCGTTCTCCATCGTCGATTATTACATGGTAATATTCGCTGGTCGTTCAGGCGTAGAGCATTCAAGTGTTCCTACCTTGTTGCTAATTGGTTACTCATGGTTGGCGTAAGTTAATAACTGTGCAGCGTTTTCCTATGCTTAGTTACCAGTTTCATCGGAGTTGCTGATACTTGAAACGATCAAAAACGGCTTTTTTCACTAGGCTTCTAACGTTTTTATCAGTTAATTTGAAGTGGAATAAAATTCTTCGTGGCTTTTCATCATCGGGTAATTCAGTAGTCTGATAATGTTGTCGATTTACATGTCAGGAGTGTCAAATAGTGAATTTATTGTTTAAAAAGTTGGGTTTTCAAACTGGGATGTTTCATTGTTCGTGTTCAACCCTGCTACATTTGTCTGTTCTTCTTTGAGTTGGCGAGAGCTATCACTGCTATCATGAAGCATTTTGACGGCCATCATTTTGTCTACTTATGTGCCTTAAATCCAACATAAACCTTGATCTATCGGAATTCAGTTTATTTCGGTTGAGTATTAAAGATGTTATCCGGGTCACTGAATAGATTTTGACTGGGTCATATAAACGATATCTGAATCGATCAAGTAAGCATATCGAAATATTCCTTTAGTGTTACTGTGGTTACAGGTTAAAGTAATATCTTGACGACTCTTAGGTCCCATTCAAGTAAGCTAACAAGTTAATCTTGTCATAAAGCAGTAGATTCATGAACCAGGGACAACTTGAGCATGTGGAAAATCATTGTATTTTCAAGTCAGCAGCATGGTGTAAGGGTACCTTTCTCTATTATGTTTTTTTCACTTCGCAGAGAACCACAGTACAATAAATAGGAAGTTAGTTTAGCTAAATTTAGAAAAGCCTGAAATAAAATATTGATCAAACGAAAGAGAATAGCTTTCCAAAGATGTAAGTATTCGTTAGTACTGGCTGGAAATGGGCAACTATACAGTGATTTTTCTGTATTGAACTTCATCCACGGAACTAAACTTGAAATTAAGAAACCATTCTTTGAAGCATTTGTTAAGAATATAATAAATTGATAAACGTCTCCTGTAAGTTTTTGTTGAAGAAGCCAGTTTATATAAGTAGTAAAGGAAATGCAAAACATGGTTGATGGGTATTAATGTTGCAGAAGGAAATTTTAAATAAGGTGGCCCGGAATGAAACGTAGTCAGGCAGGGCTTCGTGCAGAACTGAACAGAATTGTCATATCGTTTCATGGGAACTCGATGGTCACACTTTTACTTGGCAGCTGTAAGATAACGCTTGACGGACATTATATTGTGAGCCATGAAAATATTGGATGCGTTTAAAGCATAAATTTCAGATTCATTTATAGGAATGCGGTGTGTACATCAGAATTTTTCACTAAGTAAAAATATAGTGTAAGTTATTACGGACGTTTCTGTTTCAACGTAAGGTAGTTCTTGGCGATATGTTTGCTGCTCACAATAAAAATGCCTTTCTTATCTATGAGGGTCTTAGACTGGCAGTTACTCATTGTTTCGAACGTATCAAAACCCCGTAACATGGTGGAAGTAAGATATATTATTCAGGTGCTGGCACAGCTTAGACGCAGCATGAGGTTCTAATTCAAACATACAGTACGTTTAACATTCATCATCGGATATTGGTAGTGCCTACGTAAAAGAAGTAAGAAAATTATCTGTTCAGCAATAATATTATGACACTGTCAAGAGATATTCTAGAAAATCTTGACCACCCAAATTGGGCTAGTACTGGCGTAATAGAATATTCAGATAATATCTACAGTTACTTTCAATACTTTACAATTGGTGTCTGAATTTCCGTTCATCGTAGCAATCTGGCCTTTGGTTTCCATGTATGACATGTTGACAAACCTGGGAGACAAAAACATGTCAATGACCACAATATCAGAAATCTGTGCACTTGCACCACTGATGGAAGCCAAAATTATTTCGACACGAAGCCCTACATGAATAATCCGCCTGTGAATAATAATAATGACATCGTATTGCGAAAAATTTAGCTATCTCCTGAAGGGTTTTAACTTTTGTTTGTTCGACAATACGATTAAGTAGTCAGATTTTTGAGTGATCTACAATGTGAACTGATATCATCATGAACTTTTCAAGAAGAAATTAAAAACCATTTGGGATGTACTGTTGCAGAAACCATGAAAGGACAGAAACAGACAGAGACTTAGAATACTTATATCCTTAGTCTGGTCTTATTATTTACCTATCAAATTCTTTTTCCTGTGCCGTTGCGATATATCACCAAAAACACATATAGGACATAACACTTCATCCTTCACTTTTGTCAATACCTTAGTTATTTCATAAAGATTTACGGTTGTTTTAAGTAAAGCATGTTGAAATTGTTATCAAGAAAACGATCATGCAATAACCGCACCACTTCACTCGCAATAGTTCTCGACCACCAGTCGTGTTTGACAACGATAAATTAAGGCATCAACGGTTAAATAAAATGCACCGAATGTTGAACACCTGGTTGTCTATCTATTACGTATTGGTCTCTGCTATTCCCAACAATATCTTAGCACGGATATAGAAAGTTCGGTTGGATGTTGATAACTGCTCACTTCATTGCATAGGCGGGTTTTCGATCCCTGAGCCAAAGGTGGACTTTATTCGTTAGTAATTTACTGCATTCTACGAAATGGGTGTGGATCATAGTCCTAAAGAATAATGCATATTCGCAGGTTACTGATATCTAATCACAGGCTTATTTTAACCATTGTTCGTGCATTTTGGAAGCGCCTAATAAGCGGGGCTGAATTTAGATATAGGGAACCAGGCGACGAGGGCAAATAAGTTGGCAGAGTAGTGGATATTCATCAAATGCGGTGGGTGGAATATATGTTGTGTATGCTTAACCAGCGCTAACAGAGATGGACGATGTGTTAAGAAAAGGCTGGATGTGAGCCAGGAGCAGCCAAAACAACAGGTGACACCTGTTTATGAATTTTCTGACAATTGGATCGATCTTTTATGGTGTTTAGTGCGAGCATGTTAAATCTACATAACTGTATACGTATTTCGCAATAAAGGAGGTGACAGAACTTGACTTTCAAAAAGCATTCATTCAATTCTGATGGTTAACTTATGTTTATATGTTCGATGAATTCGCGTAGCCTATGTAGTCCAGGTAATAATTCATTGTTCTTTGCTATTGCAACGACAGGCTTAACCCCATATTGTGGAGTTGTGATGATATGACCATCTAATATATGTAAACTTTCATCTAATTTACACCACTGTCAGTTTTCACTCGCCCTATATTGATGGTCAGTGGTATTCCTTGTAAGAACCTTTGGAGAAAACATTCAGTTTGATGACGGAATATTGAACTGAATTAAAAAGAACAAAGGTTTCCAAGGTGACTACATCTTCATGACCAAGTTATTGTGTATCAATCAAGTGTTTTAACATTATGTATTTTAGATTCAGCAGTTAATATAAATCATCTGTAATTGTGCATGGGGCCTCAAAGAATATTTGATTAGGATGCAGTGTTATACGCCTGTCGCTAAACATCCTTACAATACGATTTGTTCGTTTGCACACTTAGTCATCAGTTGGTCATATTCCATTATTATGTTAATTTATCAGTATTTCAGACACTGATAAAAAGACGTTAAGTTGCTTGTACTCGTCTTAGTTCAGTGTAGACTAAACGTTTGCTATGTAATTCTGGATTCATAGCTGGATATTCTATCACTATTTTTTTGTTATTTTACCAGTGATGTTGGTAACTCTAGTACCGTTGATGGGAAAGTCCATTTTAACTACAAAAAGAGGTCTAGCTTTGGTGTTAACCCGACATTACTATTAACTCAATCAATTTTCGTCCGCTCAGCCATACTAACCTTGTATTCATTACTATTGTATGTCACTTAAGTTAGCCACTTAAATATGCATTCACCAACATTTATATTTTAGAATATTAAAGATTCCCATTGTGAAAAGTAGAACAACACATAAGCGAGCAATTAGATCGTCATCAGGCTTTTCTCTATTATACATGAATAATTATGTGAAAATCTTAAACCAATCAAGGCAATTTGTGTCACTAGTCACAATGAACTGAAATAGATTAAGTCACTACTCATAATAGGCAAAAAGTACAGGTTGATAATAGGAAGACGGGTGTACTGATAGTAGTAAGAAAAATAAAATACGATGACAAAAGTTCCATCAATAATAGGTCGAACGTGGATAAATAGACTTAAAATAATCATTACCCTGTCATATAAACATTCATGTATATTAGAGTAATGCCTAATGACGATCTAATCCAAAACAATATTGTTCGCTTATGTGTTATTCTAACTTATATTTTAGTTTTTATTTGGCTAATTCACCATCAGTCAACAAGTTTATCAACCTGACTGAGGATCACACTGGCTTTTAGAAAGTAACTGCTTTCGTATTCCATAATAATTTCTGTAAGTGATAGGAGTAAGTGGAAACAATTGAACTGAAATAATATTAGACTCGTAATAAAACTAGAATTAGACATCTTTATAGTTGACACTGGTACTTAACATATTACCATCAGTCGTTTAGAAGTAACACTGAAAATAGTTTATCTAGCAGTTGTATTGTAATGATATAAATTCAGGACTTCATTAGATCGGTCCAATCTCCATTGTATTTAAGTGAATTCAAACTGTCCAGATTATTGATTAGTCAGCATGTCTTTAGTTTTCACACAACAATATAGTAAAGGGATATGGTTACCAGGTAGATAGATTCATGGACAGACGTCCAAACAAAGAAATGTTGGAACGATTCACACAACATGCATCCGAATCAGTCATACAGTTTAACATGAGCTAACAAATTTTATTAAATAATTTCGTTTAACAGTCACAGGTCAGTCAAGTAACTTGTTTCAAAATGAGTATACAACTAAGTAAATTTGCCATGTCTGTATTAAATACCACAGATGGCGCAGCATGGATGAGATATGGAGTTTCATATAAGATTGTTTGTTTCCAGGAGTTCCGGACACAACAATGTCTTGACAAACTATTTATCTGCCACCAGTTGGATAGTAAATGGTTGAGCTTCATTTTTACTTTTCTTATGGGATCAATATAAGTCCACTTCAACCCTCTCAATGACTTTGCTATATCTGGGATGTTCTTTTGAAGAGTAGTTGGCTGCCACAGAGAAAAAGTTTGGCATATGTTTCTTTAAGTGACGGTAGGATCGAATACACCTCATTCTATTATCAACCTTTTTAAAATTTCTAGTATGGTGATGCTACTCCATGAGCCTTGTTTATACGCATATTCAGATCCCTTTTATGTGTAAAGAAGCGATTTATCGTAGACTTGAATCTGCCCTTGTGATCTTAAAATCATTTTAACAACATTATGTTACCTACACTTGATAATATATATTTATTTAACAATAATAAATGTCTAGAAAATAGATAAGGATAAATGTTCACATTTCATATGAGTCATAAGAACTAAGGTATAAAAAAATATTGAAAAAAATGTTATAGTTATACTTCTAATTTGTACTGTTATGTTCTTGTTTAACTTCATACTTTTCTCTTAGTAGATAAAGTAGATCACTTCGATCATGAACCATTTTCGTGAGATACGTTTGACCCTGTAAAATGAAATGAAATCATTTAAATTAGATGTATGATATTAGATTAAGAATCGTCTATAAACACTGATAAAAAGTTTACGAAAATCACATCATAATTTATTATTATTATTATTATTATTATTATTATTATTACTCAGGTTAGCAAATGAGGATAACTTTCTTCACGAACTTATATTGGCTACACAACCTTTGAAAATCAGCAGAAAACTATTGCTTTCTTGCTAAGTGCATTATTGTTGTGTATACTCACTATTTGACATTGAATCGAGCTTAGTGAATGTTTGGTGTGACACGATTATCATCCAGTATCTTGACTCACTATCGATTCAGCTGACTCTCTATACCAAGGTCTTGGAGTGGAACACTTTTGTGAAGAAAACGCGATTGGTGAAAAGGAACATTTAATATTGTACTCCTTTTCTTTAACTGTACTAAAAAACATTTACTTACGCACAACTTTCTGCTTTTGCATTGCTGTCATCATTCATAACTTGCTGCTCGTTATGTTGCCCACTTTTTCCTTCAAATATATTCTTTACCGTGGATTTGTTTGTATTCATTGTGATGGGATAGTAATTAGTACTAAGTGGTGATCATAGCCACTTTCGACTCGGTCAGCACTAAAGTCTCTTCCTAAAATCTTTGAAAGTCAGCTCAAAAAATTTACTATGGCACATGATGATCAGTTCAGCACATTCGAACATTTCTTAACTTAGTGAACTTTTATCACCCTGATTATTCACAAGCAGATTCTACTCAGTTAGATATTACTATTAAGAGTGATTCACTTTCCAATAGAACCATGTTCATTACCTAAAATGATAACTAAGAACTTAATAAATATTAAGGGGAAAAAATTATCTCATTATACTTAATAAATCGTAATTCAAAAGTAGGAGTTATGTAGTTTAGATGATAAAATAGAGGTAAATAAAATATTACCTAAAGAAAGACTGAATTTCATCATCAAACGAAGAAGTTAGGCAGTTAGCTGTAAGGTGCTCTACTTAGCTGAATCATAAACATGAACTCCTTGTCACATGTATACAAATATCAGTGTTTTAAGAGTTCATTAATGTAAATGAGAGACTAATGACAAAGTGAAAAAGTTTAAAGACTAATTTTTTTCTTCTAGGTGTCGTGTTACTTAATATGATGCTATTACTTACTTACTTACTTACGCCTGTTACCCTTAATGGAGCATAGGCCACCGCCCATAGATTGTTTTTCTGGTTAGCGTTTTTTTGGCAAGTTAGTTTTTGACGGAATGGGGTCACCAACCCCATGTCCAACCCTCCTCCTTTATCCGGGCTTGGGACCGGCATTAGCCCCGAGGTTCTACTGGCGGAGTTAATATGATGCTATATCGAATGATTAAATTTCAAGTCACAGAATGAAAGAAATATATTTCAAAAAGAGATTAATGTTGCTATACATTATTTAAGTATAATTTTAAACTATATGTAATTTGTTCTATGCGATTTAAACTAAGAACAATGATAAAAGATTGAATCTTAAACGTATGCACTTAAGAGTTGTTGGCATTAATAAAATTGAATGTCAATTCTCTCAAAATACACTTTTCCTAGTTCCTATTTCTTTTAGTTCATAGTGACGATTAACTACTAATGTTATATTAGAAATTTAAAACAATTAGTCCCTTTCTATAAATTTTGATAGAACAGTGAGAAGACGTGATTGATCTGAAAAATGTTGCGATGTATTCGCGCTATACACATTTTGAACAATATGGTCACACATATTTACTTGTTAAGGCATTTTATCTGAAGATTAATCTTCATATAAAGGTTCTGTCTTGCTAAACAGGTCGATTGGAGAACGATGAGACTAAAAGTAGCTACTCAGGGCGAAGTCGTACTGCTGACTGTGATTGAGGGGTGTGACAGCAGTAAGGTGTTTCCCTCGGACAAGGATCATCTGCAGCGATGCTGCCTTCTCACAAAGAAGGAAGGGTTAGAAAAGGTCGACCCTAACAATGTCACATCTCACCCAAATACATCACATTTTTCAAATCAATTACGTCTTCTTACTGTTCTATCAAAATGTTATATCAGTTAAATTTGTAAATTTATAACTCCGTGAAATAAGCACCTCGAACACCTTCGATATACTTCAAAATGAAATAATAATAATAATAATAATAATAATAATATACCTCATGTTTCGAGTTAATAATGACTTACGTTAAATGTCAGAGTGTAATTAAATTTCATCTTCAGTTGCTTGGCAACAGATTCGATCAGTTTCTCCAACTTGTTGAATTTCTATAAAAAAAAAATATATTTCTGAATATCAAAACAGTGGTTCCCTTTGATAAATTTGAATAGAGAAATGAGAAGACATATTTTGTGAGAGATAGTACCATTTCGTGCTTTCTCGTCAGTCACATATAAGCAACATGTTATTTGTGTAAATACAGTTTTGAAGAAAAGGTCAAAATTTTCTTATTTAGCATAACATTCACTCACTAGAACCATGGTAAACAAAGGTCAACATGCAGTTGTTTTTGAACACATAAAGTTGGACTTTTCCGACCAATCAAGATAGCTTCGAGTAGTCTGAGTGTGTGTGGGTTTTGATGACATGTCACAACTCTAAAGGCTGATTTTGGGTCAATTTGATGACCACTCATCATTAGATGTTTTGCAATGGACGAGGCTGGGTTTCTTGATCGATCTTGAGATGATGGGCTAGGTTGATGAATCATGGATTTGATTAACTATTTGGGAATATGTTCTCCTATCCTGTCCTCCAATCGGCGATCTGTCCTCCCTAAGTAACTTTCTCCGCAGTTACATGTGAATTGGTAAATACAGTGGGATTTGGACTGAATCGGTCTTGGAGACTTGATTGGGGTAACTGAGATCGATTGAGTTGTTGTGATAAGCCTCAGATTAACTGCATTGAGGGTCTTTTTTATTGCATCTGCAGTCTGTTTGGTTGTAATTTTCATGCAATGATCAACCTTGAAAGGTAACTGTAGGTACACTGGTTTCTTGGGTACATCAGTTGCTATCAGCTTCGTCGTACTTGTGTTCTGATGACCGATAAACGTTTCAGAATATCCGTTTGATTTAAGTATCTCAGTAATAAGCTTGAATTCGTCGTCCAATGTATCAACAGTGTAGATTCTACTTGCTCGAGCGAATAAAGTTTTGACAACAGAACGTTTATATTGTATGGGGCAGAAACTAGTGAAGTGGAGGTACTGTCCCGACCAGGTGGGTTTGCGGTGTACTTTCCGTCTGATTGATCCGTCTGGACGGCGATGGAGCAGGATATCAAGGAAAGCTAGTTCATTATTCTTTTCTTCTTCATAAGTGACTTTCAGATTCAAGGGAAACGCATTAAATAAATCATTGACTTCATTAATATCTGTAGAATGTGGTAATATGACAAGGATATCGTCGACATATCGTTTGTAAAGTGTAATACCATTGATGAAGTGACTCACTTGCCTTTCTATCATTCCCATGAATATGTTTGCTAAAACAGGTCCGAGAGGGCTTCCCATAGCCACTCAATCGATTTGTGTATATGCTTTACCTTGGAAATAGAATTTTATATTCTTTGTGCACAGCAAAATTAGATCTCGAAGATAGGTAGTCGGAATGGGTATTCTTATGTTGTGTGAAGTTATGAAGTCACAAATAAATCCCACAGTCTCTTCGAGAGGTACATTTGTGAACGAAAGAACACATCCGACTATTAGAAATATTCAAGTGTTCCAAGGTTGGGAGAAGTTCAAAGGAATAAAAATTTCTGAGTTTCAATACATTAAAAATGTTCAGGGAAATATTTTACAATATAACCATACTAGAAATACAATTTTATTTTGTATTACAGTCTATAAACCTTAAATAAAGGACTTCCAGGTAGACTTAAGTGAACTAAGATGAGTTAGGCATTACCTCATGTCTTTAAATAAAACCGTAGTTTATTTAATAATCTTAATGGTATGTCATTAAATAATCATTCACCTAGTGAGATAATTTATTACTAGTTCAAACTATCCATGGTTCGTTCATAAAGAACTTTCTTAGCCAACAAAAACGATCCTAGAATTCTTCTGACAATTAGTTCATGATAGTCTCGCTGATATTGTGGCTTAATGCAATGAAACAATCCCAAGAGCAGCTATCAGCCAATCATATCGTATCACCATTATACATTGTCTAACAAACAGCAATCTACTCGTCATTTTAACAGTAAACACATTTTGAATCTTTCAGTAAAAAGCTTTATCACATTACTACAAACAATTTCCAGTAAACCTTAGAAGTTCAAGTTCTTTTGTGTATTTTCAGTCTAAGAAAGTATCATTTGAATTTAAAAATTTAAATTTGAAAAAACTACCTTTTAATTTGAAAGAAAATCAAATTATGAAGTAATTGATCTTTGAATGTACTTTAATAAAATTAAACCTTCAAATCGAAGAATAACCAAATAATTCAATACATGATATAACAAAAAATATGTAATAAAACAAAGTCAAAAATCCTACTTACCTTTTCAACTTTAGAACGTTCATCTGAACATTTCAATTCCGATTGATTACCATCTAATACAAGAATGGAATATTTTGATCAATAAGCAAATTTTATCTAAATAAATACTGAGTAGACAGACAGACAGACAGATACTACGTAGAACTTCGTACGTAGGTACATGAGTTCAGGTTGTCATACCACATCAGCACAGAGACGTAACTGTCAGTTCAAATCCAAGAGTGATATCGATATTAGGATTATTAGCAGCGATGGAGAAGATTAGGGAGCGAAGATATGATCCGAGAAGTATAATTCAGTGAGATAAATTTAGGAGGAGAAAGACAGAGATTATGAGGAATTCAGAAGGTAAGAATTTGAGAGAACACAAAGAGTGGATGCACCTGTGCCATCGCAAACTATTCTGAGCCATGTCGTTCAAGGTCTCTAACCATTGGTGACTTTCGTCTCGCGGACCCCAACCAAGACAGCCTACATCTACCAGCATGATTCAGTCCACTAGTCAGTGACTTCATGGATTTGCACCATGTTTTGGTTTGGCCGCTTCTAAGTTTCTTCCAGTCTACTCCTACACCACAAAACATAGTTCGTCGTAGAAATAAATACTGAACCATTTTAAAACATTAAAAATTTAGTAAAACTACAAATGTTTTATGGTATTGTAGCTAGATAATAAGACGTTAATGAATAGTTTACATATTTTCAATTAGAGTTATGGAGATTAGTGTTTTTACACATTTGAAATCATCAATAAATCATTGTTAGACCACCATTAGAAACCTGGAAGCACTGAACAGCCGTTTCGCCCTGGTATGGGACTCATCAGCAGTGCGTAGCCACGACTCCTGTACCGCTCAGGATTCGAACCCTGGACCTTCGGTCTTGAGCGCGAACGCCTAACCTCTGGACCACTGGGCCGGCATCCAACGGTGTTAATGCTTAACTCTAATTGATCTAGGGATTTTGCGCGACCTCAACCATTTGTCTTTGCTAGTTACTGTCTACATCCGACAGGATTGAACTACACTGGTCACGTATTCTCCCTAGAACCCCGAGAATTTCCCCCACAGAGCTAGTCACTAGTGAGCACATTTTACGATATTTTCTATAAAAGTAATGGAGATTAGTGTTCTTACACATTTGAATGGTGGTCTAACAATCATCGATTGATGATTTCATATGTGTAGAATAGTTTATAGACGTTTTGAAGATTTAGTCTTTTTAGTTGATAATTGAATATAATTATACAAATTGGAATATTTTAAAAATGCTTCATCAAATTTCATTGTGCTGTTTTTTTCTATATTTATTTATATTATGATCAAACTATCAGGTTATAATAATCCGGTGAATGATTTGTCTTATACTTATCATATATAACTTCATATACCTAGGTTCACTTTCGTGGTGTTGAAGATTAGCGAAACGAGAATAAACGTCTATCCGATAATCCCTAGTTCCTAATAATTTTCTAACTGATCTTAAGCTTTGACAACGTTACCAACTGTATAATTCAATGTAAGCTTAAGTCAAAATCAAAACATGAGAACAGAGAATCATATCGTTCAAAAATGTCAGGTAAACTCGGAGAAAGAAAATAAAATTTCACAATTAAAAGTAAGATAAACAGTGAAATCATCTACGAAGCTTCTATTAATTTTTTATTCTGACTAGCAGTTGGTGAGTGAATTTATCGTCTAACAATAAGTCTTTCTTAGGTCTCTTTTAGTATTTCTCCAATCTAACATCAAGTTAACTAGCATAGAGTTGTGTGAGATGGTTGATAAGTGCTTGTAGAAAATATGTCCTAACTACCTCAGTTGATGAAGTGTAATAAGTCTCAATAAGTTCGAATTGTCCTCCTTTTATAGTTCACATCAGATAAAAAAGGTTGAGAGTTCATACAAACAAAACAGTTATGTCTCCCATCTTTTTTCATACTATATACTTGAATGTTATCAGCTATAGAGTTAAAATTGTCGCACTTCATCACCGAACTTGAGAATGTAGAGGATATAAATGGATTCAACAGTGATTTACTTATAATATGCTGAAACAAAAAACACATCTTGCTTGAAACGTTTAGCACAAAAATTAACAAAAGTGATACGATTTTACAAATAACCTAACGGTAATTTTGAAATGAGGTAACTTTCTAAAGATTTCATCATTTATGAAACGAATAAAATGTTGAGAGAACAAGTAGAGTTTTTTAGACATCAGTTAACTTTAGAATTATCACTCATTGGGGTTTCGTAAAGATGATTATACTAGAAGTAGGTTAATAAGCAATCAACAATTAGTTATCTCAAGTCTTAATCCACTATATTATAACCTTCATATAATAGTGGGATGAAACAAGTGTAGTTACGAAAACGTTTAGAGCTTGATGAATTACCGAGAAATACTTTTTTGATCACCAGTCAAAACTGATAACAAATAATCATACTCTAAATATGTAATTCTTATTATAGTAAAACAGATTATCATTTAAGTCAGGTGTGATTACTCATTATCAGTTATTGAAATTAATCGATCGAACTTTAATTGAATTAATTAAAAATAAATTATCTATTTTAACGACTTTAAAATTCTGTATTGAACATTAATCGGAGGCTTAGGATTTAAATGAGTGAGAATGATTTGATGAAAATGGACAATCTATTTATTGATTCGTAATATCTAGAGGATACGTACGTATATCAGTTGATGTAAACTTTTACTTCAAATGTGTAACTTAACAATCTTCACAACCCCGTAATGCAATAATCAGAGCTCACTAGTGACTAGCTTCGTGAAGAATCTTCTCCGAGTTCTAGTGAGAAGTCGTGACGAGTGAAGTTCAACCTGTTCGGGTGTAGAAAGTAACTACCAAAGACAGTGTATGAAATTGCACAGGACCAAAGGTCCTGGGTTCGAATCCTGTGAGGTACTGGAGTCGTGGATGCGCACTGCTGATGAGTCCCACACCAAGACGAAACGGCCATCCAGAGTTTCCAGGTCTCTAATGGTGGCCTAACATTGATCGATTCATGGTTTCAAAAATGTGTAACTTAACAATCTTCACAACCCCATAATGCAAATACTTATTCGATTTTCATTTCATTTCAAAGAACAAACTCTACTATATATATATGTATAAAATTATGAAATAAAATTTTTTTAAACAATTCATGTATTTCTACATTCGTTCTAATTTTAACTGATTGGTCGAGTAATTGGTTTCAATGTTTAATAAATATTGTTTAAGTTTTGCTTACGTAAACTAAATTCTTCCGATTGATTCAAATGTTCAGCTTCAATTTTGGCCAATTTATATAATAACATTTCACGACGTTCAATATATTCCGCTGCATGCTCGAGTAATTTTAATCCTTTAATAATACTTTCCATTTGTAACGTTTCATTTGAATGTTTCCAACAAAATTTCAATAGACAATGTTGTCTATCAATTTCAGTAAGTTTTAATTTATTCCATACAATAAAAAGTCTATCTTGAATTGTATTTCTTACACTAGTCAATTTGTGATTATACTAAGAGAAATAATAAATATATAGAATACCAAAAAGAAAATTAGTGAAAGATTTTAGAAAAGTAATTTTTTTTATATATTCATCAATAGAATTAGTCGATATTTCTGTTTGATTTCAATATTATGTGGACTGTATGTAATTGATCGAATATCATTCTACTTAAATCCTATTTTTTAAATAACTGGTTTTTTGATAAGAAGCTGTCCTGTATACATGAACCATCTACCGTTGAACTCTTTATGCATGAATATAAGATTAATGAGTACCTAAATAAAGTAAGAACTTGTTAGGATATTCATCCAATATCCTAAGAGAATTATTGATCAATTCCTATTGGTTAATTCCTACTGGTCAATTTAATGGTCGTCCTAGTTATCACTGTCATGTACTCGAATGTTGTTTCGTATTGATCGTCCTGACTGTCAATGTCACAGACTTTGATGCTATTTTATATTCGACCTAAATGTATAAATAGGCATTATCTGTAACGTTTTATGACCCGGATCCGGATCTTTAGTACAGGATCCTGATTCTCTTCTGGACTCGGACCTCGTTCTTCCTGGTTGCTTGTAGAATACATGTTCTGCTTCATATCAAGACTTCTTCTTTCTCTCAATGAGGGTTGTGAAACTTGGATTAGAGAAGCATGTCGTGTCACCAGATCCTTGATCCTCGCTCTCGTTTTCCATCTAAGGCAAACTCGTAATAGTCCAAACATATCAAGTTGACGTGTTTACGTGCGTGCGTAACAGAACTACATTCTGGATTGTAATTGTTCAAAATATTTGCAAGATTCTATATATTTTAATTTTCTTTATCGGTTTGCGGAGATTGCTGAATTTCAGTGAAATCACAAATCGATCACTGTTTTTACTCACACAGTCTGCATAAATACATGATAGAATCTTTGTAGCATTCATAAGTAGAAATTGAAAGTTTTTTAAAATTAAAAAAAGTTAATTTAGTTTGGTCTACACTATAAGATTTAGCTGTCATTACTAAACACTTAAGCATATTTTTAAAATACATTTCATAATCTTAAAACAAAGTGATTAGTTTTTTTTTCTTCAATTACAGTTACACAGATCAGTATTTTTACTCATTGAAATCATCAATCAATCAATCATTGTTAGACTACTATCAGAAAACTGGTATGAGCATTTGCACACAAGACAGAAGGTCCTGAGTTTGAATACTGCGAGGTGGTGCAGGAGTTGCAGATGCGCACTGTTGATGAGTCCCATACCAGGATGAAACAGCCGTCTAGTGATTCCAGGCTTCTAATGGTGACCTAATAATGATTGATTGATGATTTCAAATGTGTAAAAAGATAAGAAATATGGTGAGTATATATATATATATATATATATATATATATATATATATATATATATATATATATATATATACTAAATGACTGGTAATGTTTTATACGTTGTACAAACTAGTTTGCATTCAAAAATGAATTGACCGAAAACTGAATTAATAAATTTATGTATGCATAAATAATGACATACTGTGTCTTTCCCAGTTTTATAAATAGTACAAATCGATGATGTATTCACCAAATTTGTCAAATTAAATTTAAGCAGGTTGATTTTCTCTTTACAATTTTTCAACAACTCATAGTTATCTGAATACAAATAGCAGACAAAATGTATCGTAGTTAAGTCACACAATCGACAAGGACAAATAATTTATTATTATTATTATCATTATTGAAATCAACAATACGAATTCCAAGATAATTCTGAGAAATATAATATGGAAGCTCGAAAATATTTCGTAAACGTTCATCGTATGAAAAGGTTCAGGTTTGCATTGTCATATTCGTTTGGTTTTCATAATGGATTCATATCACTCAATGAATACTGACAATCAGAAAACAATAAGGCCAAAGTGTTTCATTATAGTTTGTGATATGGAGAAAAAACGTGAACTCACGGCTCTCAAAAATTGTCAATCCATGGGGACTTCAGGATTTTTATTAAGGGTAATTACATTTAGGCTATTTATCTACAGACTAACCAATTCAATGACGATTTGTATTTCGTTAACAGACTAAATTTCAATTGATTTCTTTACAAGTTTATTTACACATTTATGATACATGGTGTCAATCAAGTCTGAACTGCAACAGTTATTTGCTTTTGAAAGTTGATGATATTTTCTTCAGTTGACAAAGTTATCAGGTGTCTCTAAATTTCAGATCAATGTATGGATGATATCATGATCAGTGTATGCAAATTCTATCCATTATGGCGTAACTGTTTCTTGATTATTGAAAAATCTTCAACTGGAATGAAAAACTAAATGGACATTATATGGAATAGAATACAGTAGAATATACAGTAGTAGAATATACAACTAGTGTTTATTCCCATTTAATACTTGTCGACTAAATGCATTTGTGACCCACTGTTGGTGTACATACTGAAACTTAAACTCTATAGTGAAATAATACTTTTACGAAGAGAACGTAATTGGTGAAATGGAAACATTTATTATTGTACCCAATTGTACCAATCGTTGTTTTATTGTAATTCTTTTGTTTAACTGTACTAAAAACCATTAATTGCGCGTGTCACGTGACGCTACTATAGCTCGCTTGCCTCGGTGATTTTATCTGCGGTGGTATTGCTGCTATCTTAATATCTTTTCGATATCACGAGATCATCAATCAATACACCTCGACCTCCAATCATAGCTGGTCTTTTGACTTTCGACCTGAACGGGATTTAACTTGATTATCTCGTGATAAATTGTCTCAATTTGCTACAACCTATTCCATCTAAAGTAAATGTTTTTTCCGCTAATCTCCTAAATCAGGATAGCTTCAATCTTGTTCAGCTAGTATTAGGTTATACCTATTGACTTGTATTTATCTTGTAAATATAGACAGCACAGAACCAATGACTAAGCGGGTTGTTAGTAGATGCAGTCGTTAAGTGTTAACAACCGAAAAATACAATTTATCTCAAACAGTGTATCAAGTAGTTGCCCTAATGAAACTTATATCTGCTTATTATTATTAAGTCAGTAGAATATATTCAAAGATTTTCTTCTTGGTCATACAGTTGATGGAGTGTGTATTTCATTTTTGTAGTCGAAGCAAAATGCGTAACTCATTAAATTTCTTAATAACCTATGAAAGTCTCAGAATATTAATATTATAACGCGACACCCGATAGTAATTAATTGGTGATATATTTTGACTATATAACTGACTGTCACATTTTATTTTTCGAGGAACCAGAAAATAAGCAGGATATCTATTCTCATTTTAAATGAATACAGAAATACTCAGTTAATCAGGCGTATATTTTACAAGATTATGCATTGATAGACTGATGATGGTTTTTGAGTAGTATATGACATAGAAAGTAAAAATTTTTAACATTCATTAAAAATTTGATAATATATTTTTGTAACTTTATAATAGAAATCTACTCAATAATAAATGTTAAAGATTACTTTTGTAAAGTTCTAACATATATCTGTTCACTTACTACTGCCATGATCAACTATTATATCATTGCCTGTATTCCATAAGGCAACTTCATTGGAATTGTACTGATTTTCGATTAACTGTAGTTTTAACCTAATTGAACATATATGCATATATGGAACTTGCAGAAATAACAGAATTTAAAAAAAATACTAATGGCTTGTTACTACAAATAAATAATTAAACACTTAATAATATTTAACTGGAAGTATAATTAGTGAGCATCCATTTGAATCATTGATTTATCCGTTATTTATAACTAACAAGAAAAGAAATGAAACTCAAAGCTACAAGTTTATTGCTTCATATGTGGTGTGTGCTACTTATAAGTAGTAGATGACACGAGCATCAACGTAATGTCTGGCAGCAGAAGATCGGGGAAGATCAAGAAAGGAACAGTTAGAACACAATGGAATTTGTATGAAACGCAGGAATAGTGACAATGGATTGATGTTTTGCAACAGGAACAGTCCAGTTCAATATGATGGACTGATATTTTGCAAATGAACGATTTACGATATGGTTTTCCAATTTTACTGAGTAACTCTGTAATTTTAGTTAAATACAATCCGGTTGTCCACCTGTGTTCTCGTTCACAACACATATATATGTAAGAATGTACGGAATTTAAGTTTCAGTAGTTCGAAATGTTGAAAATAAACGAATACATTATTCACATTATGTAATGTATTCAAGTAGGGGAACGATTTTGAACAGAATACATGTTATTTAGACAATACTCTGTGTCTAACTAAACTACTACTGCTACTACTATCTAGCCTAATAACTGATTTTCAATTGTATTTTGTGAATTATGCTGTTCTCCCTTTTTCATGGTTAAACTCACTAGATCACTATTAAAAACTTGGAATAGCTGTACTGCTGTTTCGTCTTAGTGTGGAATTCAACAGCGGTGCTCATTCACAATCCTGCATACGGGGGTCCAAGTTTCTAATGTTGGTCTAGCTAAGATCAGTTCGTGATTAGTACTGAGAAGATAATACAATCTTCAGAAATCCTCTTCATTAATAACAACCAAGTAGTTGTTTATGATATCATAAAGTCTAGTGTATTGAATTGCATTATCCTGTTATATACTAGAAACGGAAAAGTTCCTAATTAATCAATGATAACATTATTGATTGGTTTACTAGTCTACATGGCCTAGTAACGATAAATTAATTGATAACCTAACTTTCAATCGCAATGTGACATTTTCGAACTGTCCTATGACTACCTTTATTCTAAGTAATGAAATTATACTCATTAGCATTCATATAATTATATGTAGTTAGAATTCTGCTAGATAAATACCGTTCTTATTTATAATTTTTCATACCATTCATTGCTTTCGACAAACTATCAATAAGGTTAATTAGCTTGTATTGGTTGTTTAAATTTCGCTATGCCGAATCCTTCGATACTGCTGCCGTGAGTACATGCCAAAACAAAATCGATCAATTTCAATCTTGAACATTAATAAAACAACCAATTAAAATGAATTAAACTTCACATGCCATTGTACAAACCACTGGGTGTTTGTACTCATTAGCTAAGTGGATAACACAATAGCACTGAGTTCGAGTTTCAAAGTGAACATTAACTTTGGGATGCAAGTACATCGAGCTGACGCATCCTAAACTGGAAATATAATTGCATCTTGGATTCTACTACTTATCACCACCTATCTCTGCTTACAAACTTAGCCACAATTGTACATAAATTAACTTTGGGTTTACCTTAGAAAAGAACAAAAAATTGACTGATTGGTGGATTTTTTTGTTGTTGTTTGAAATAATCGCTTACTTATTGAATTTTTGTTCTTCATGTTTTAATTCTGTTAAAATCTTCTCGTATTTTTCAGTAAAATTGTCTATTGATTTTTCACCAATCATGTCATTTCGGTTTTTTTTATGTTTCTCTACTTCTTGAATAAATAATTCATCTAATTTACTACTTGGCTAAAGTGAAAATACATGACAATAATTTAAACTGTGAGTAATTTCAGTAAAAGGAAAATAGTTAATAAACTTACGAGAAGTAGAGTGCATTTGATGAATGCCTTGAAAAGGCTAATTTTTAGATACCTTTTGTAATCAATCATCAGTCAATCATTGTTAGACCACTCACTATTAGAAACCTGGAAGAAGCACTGGACAGCCGTTTCGTCCTGGTATGGGACTCATCAGTGGCAGTGCGCACCCACGACTCCTGCTCCTCGCATGATTCGAACCCGGGACTTTCGGTATTGTGCACGAACGCCTAACCATCGGACCACTGGGCCGGCATCCAACGGTGTTAATGTCTAACTCTGATTGATCTAGGGTCTAACAGTGATTGATTGATGATTTCAAATGTGTAAAAAACACAAACCTCCAATAAGTCTGCCCCAAAATACCTTTTGTAACTGGATAATGATTAACGCGCATAAAGTGTAAGCTCTCTTTTGGTTTAGCATGTAAAATATAACTAACCATTAGTGTATCCAATTTCATCTCTGATTAACTAGTTTTTTTGTTCAATAAGTTAAGTTAGTCAAATTATTTTGGTTGAATATAATGTATATACACATAAACAGCTTAAATATCATCGCATTAGTAGGTTTATCCGGTCACTTCCATAGTGGTTCTAACTTTGAGTGGTTATTCAGATGATATGAGTCCATGATAGGAACGATCTCCTATGAAAAAAGCCTGAGATTCCTGATTATCATTTACCAAACCTAAATCATTAATTCCAGTATAATTTCATGTTATATAAACTGGTTAATGTAAGACCACCATTAGAAGCCTGAAAGCAAAGGACGGCCGTTTCGTCCTGGTATGGGACTCATCAGCAGTGCACACCCACTACTCCTGCACCTCACAGGACTCGAGCCTAGGACCACCGGTCTTGCGCGCGAAACGCCTAACCTCTGGACCACTGAACCGGCGTCTAACAGTATTAATATCTAACTTCGATCGATATACGGAGTTGCGCAACCTCACACATTGTTTTCGGTGGTTACTGTCTACATCTGACAAGGTTGAACTTCACTGGTCACGACTTCCAACTAGAACTCGGATTGAAGTTAGGCATTAACTCATTAGATACCGGCTCAGTGGTCCGGAGGTTAGGTGTTCGCGCGCAAGACCGAATGTCTTGAGTTTGAATACTGCAAGGTGCAAGAGTCGTGGATGTGCACTGCTGATGAATCCCATACCAGGACGAAACGGCTGTTCAGAGCTTCCAGGTTTCTAATAGAGTGGTCTAACATTGATCGATTCATGATTTCAATCTTCACAACTCCGTAACGCAATAAGAATTGGTGTAAAATAATACTATTTAGGTAATAAATGTTTATAATTAGTCAAAAACAAATTATTCATAATATTCGTTCGAAACTCTTATCAATTACCAGTGTGTTTGTTCGTTGAAATGCAGTTTCTTCTTCATCCGTATGCAACTTTAAAATCCTGATAGGTTAATGAAAGATAAAAACATTATTGAACATAGTTTTGTTTAAAGTAATTATTGTGTTGCACATAAAATGTCATTATCAAAAGATTGTATATGTCATCTGAATAAGCAATCAAGAATAGTTATTTACAACTAGTTTAGTTAGTGGAAAAATATTTGAATAAAAGTCTTGAGTTATAAGTTACAATTACTGATGATCCAATCATTAGCCCAGTCGTGTCATATTTATTCATTGAATATGCTTACACAGAATAAATCGATCGCTTCTACTTTTTATCTGATCAGCTGCTTAGAAAAATCGTGTCATCGAAAGAATCAACTATAAAGTCTTCAAATTTATATAAAACCGATAGGAACATGAAAGCACTGGACGGCCGTTTCGTCCTGGTATGGGACTCATCATCAGTTCGCATCCACGACTCCTGCACCTCGCAGGATTCGAACCCGGAACCTTCGGTATTGTGCGCAGGAGTCGTAGATACGAACTGCTGATGTGTCCCATACCAGGACGAAACGGCCATCCAGTGCTTTCAGGTTTCTGATGGTGGTCTAACAATGATTGATTGATGATTTCCAATGTGTAAAAACACTATTCTCCATAACTCTAACTGAAAAAAAAAAATATATATATATATATGAATGAACATTTTGCCATAAAGAAAGATTCTAAAGACTAAATTTACTTACGGTAAAATCCATTTTGATTTATCCATTAAAAATGATTGACTAAGATCGACGAGTACAGATTTGGAATTAGGATTAAATAAATGACAAGCTGTTTCATAAATTGGCTTCACATCAATTTCACTGGGAACTGGTATTTCGACAAATTGAAAATTTTCATTGTTCTTCATTTAGAACATTGTGATATGGTGGTAATTAGTTAAGAAAGAAAACACAACATCATCAGTATTGATTGATTGAGATTAAGTTAGAATATAATTTTAATTCTGTATAGTAGTTGTATTTCAACAACTTGATTTATTAGCTAGTGATGTACTGTGAACTGAAATTATTATCTTTAAAGCTAGCTGTCAAAGATATTTATTTGGAAGCTTTATTATTTTCAAAAATCATACCAAGCTACATAATTTAATATGGACAACTTGAATATCAGTTGAAAGTTTCATTGGAAAGCGATATAACTAGTTGGTGATCAAACTCATAAGAAGTCATGGGAAAAATAATGAGTTATTATTTGATAATCTAAGATGAAGAACTTAAAATAAACAACAAATGAATTTATGAAGTTTAGCAAAGTCATTGGATTTTCAGTGCCAAGTATTCGCTGTAGATGACTATCCTTAAGTGATAGATATAATAGAAATGTTGAAATCATACGTAGAAATGCTAAGCGGAAAACAATCTTTTAAATTTTTCAATCATAGTTATGGATAACAGTGTTTTTACACAGTGAAATCATCAAACAACCATTGTTAGACCACCATTAGAAACCTGGAAGTACTGGACGGTCATTTTGACTTGATATGAGGCTCATCAGCATCCAACACTCCTACTACTCCCAGGATTCGAACCCAGGACCTTGGTTCTTGCGCGTAAACAACTAACCTCCTTTAATTGTCTATAAAATAATGATTTTGTCAGTTTACTCTTAATATATCGATATTTATTTGACAATAACTAGAAATATTCGAAAGGCATTTTCACTTTCTAGTGAAAACATCCGGAGAATCTTTAGAAACAACGAGAAAGTTGGTCGATATTTTTTCTCACCTTAAAACTCAGCATGAGCACCCTAAGGTGGAAATTGTATGGAGTCTGAAACCTTGAAATTAAGCCCCAAGCGATATGTTATTTCATAGTTGATATGGGATATCACAGTTCACACTTATAAAATACAGCTGACAAACTGTATGTAGCGACTATTATTCAACGTTTGTTTTCACTATCTAACCTCAATTTTTTGTTACTCAGCTATCTTCTATATCTTATTTCATGCTACTTATTAATTATATTCAGTAGTCCATTTCATCTATAATAACTTCAAAGCACCTAATGCAGCATTTGTTGTTGCTGGATATTCTTGAGAATTAATATAAGGTTATAATATTTTATTTATTCATTATTGTAATTACATCTTATTCACACTTGCTAAATATAATTTCAACCATAGTGAATCTTTCAAACTTCTGTTTTATTGTAACAGTCCCAATACTTTGGAGTTCTTCATTGTCATTTTAACTTTGTCTGATAAATACTCTAGCTGTCAAACGTCTTATATAGTTACAAATAAACTTGTATATTCATGTTGGGAGGCATTTGACTTTGACTGGGTGCGAACTCAGTGAATACTGTATTATGTATACTTTTCGACTACAGTACTATTGTAGTGAAGGAGAACACAGGTGGGGCAACCGAATTGTATTTAACGAAAATTACAGAGTTACTCAGTAAAATAGGAAAACCATATCGTAAATTGTTCATTTGCAAAATATCAGTCCATCATATCGAACTGGACTGTTCCTGTTGCAAAACATCAATCCATTGTCACTATTCATGCGTTTCATACAAATTCCATTGTGTTCGAACTCTTCCTTTCTTGATCTTCCCCCATCTTCTGCTGCCAGACATTACGTTGACACTCACGTCATATACTACTTATAAGTAGCTCGCACCACAATATCATTACAAATATTCTCGTTTATTTGGTTTGACACGTCACTCGAAGGTGTTCTTGAGGCTTCGGTTCTTTAAAAACAATCATTATATATTCGCTTTCACTTGCATATCACAAATTTCCAACTGAATATCAGTTAGCGATGAAAATCACCTTCGGATTTAATCAACCGTTAATTTTACACTTTAAATATATATTTAACAACTCCAATGAGTACTGATTATATTTGCTCTAACACGGTTAAAATCTTTAGCACATCATCTAGATTTTTTGTTATCTACAATCAATAGGATATAAGACAGTTGTTGAACAAAATTATCCTCACTTGATACAAAGTAGAAATTAATCAGTGCATACTTTTCATAGTGTTATTATAAAGTAAAATAAATGTTAGAATTTGGAATTACACAAGTGTAGTGTAGTGCCTCCACATATATTTCAGTTCTCTCACATCTAACTTGGTTAAGCCCTTTCGATTAATTTATTTAACCAAGCCATTTGTAAAACAATAACTTATATGTACCATTGGCTTTTATTATTGTGTGGTTTGTATGCGCTGGTATGATTGAACATTGTTTACACTTTCGCGCATATTCATACTTTTCGCTTTAATGTTAATCTCTTAATATCCTCATGAACTCACATGATTTGTATCGCTTGCTTTTGACCTTGTCAATCATTCGTCGCTTTTATTCATGTGTGTGCATACCTATTTCGCTTGTCATATATCTGTCTTATCCTTCTCTGACTATATATTCTTAGTCATACTCTATCTCTTTGAGTTGGCTCAACAGCCTTCTCCTATTCGCTTCACTCATTCGCTCGCATTGTAATCCAAAGAGTTGGCTCTTAGCCTTCTCCGCTTCGCTTTGTGGTGTGCCTCGAATAAACGTATTCATCAATACGAGTTCATCTTCTGATTTATAAACCGAGCTTAAGAACACGCAGATATTGGCACACTACAGCAGAATATTTTTTACACACTGTTTAAAACTTACACTGTGAAATTTCATTTCATTGAAATCATTTGTAAGTGTTTGTTGCATAAGATTTGTAAATATTTCAATATTTTCATCAATAACAGGTAAATTTGTATCCATCTGTCTAGCAGTTTCTTCATCAATCTAAATATGATAGTTATTAATCAAATATATTTTAAATGTAAAAAAAAAGTAGTTTGTTGTTATCAAATATAAAAAAATACTCACTGACTGAATAATAAATCATGAATAACTCAGAATATATTTTACAGATAAGTGGCTGTATAGATCGCCACAATAGGTTGCATCAATACGATGAGAGAATAAAAAGGACTGTACATCAAAAAATACATTCGTGATCGACTATATATTCACGTAATTTGAATTGGTCATGTTTACTAGTTGAAGTTCAATAAAGAACAAACTACTGTTCAGTATATTCTCCCATTGATAGAACGGGGAATAATAAATATCTCATTTGTTTCAAAGATGGAACAAGTTAGCAAAAATTGAACTAGATCTTTTGAACTTGTTTCTGAAATTTCATCAACTAATAACACAGAAGTGTTTTAATGATAAGTGAAGTAGTCTGCAACCAGGACTACTTTATTCCCTATAGTAAGATATATATATATATATATATATGTATATATATATGAATTCTACACTAATTACTGATAAAAGAACACAGGAAATCACACTACACAAGCTGTAATATTGTTACGCATGCACGTAAACACGTCATTTTGATATACTTGAACTATTACGAGTTTACCTTAGTCGGAATACGAGAGCGACGATCGAGGATCTGGTGACACGACATGTTACTCTAATCCGATTATTCCAACCCCCATTGAATAAAAGAAGACTTGATGTGAAGTAGAACATGTATTCTACAAGCATCCAGAAAGTACGATGTCCGAGTCCAGAAGAGAACCAGGATGCCGGACTAGGAATCCGGGTCATAAAACGTTGTAGATAATGCGTATTTATACATTTAGGTTGAATAGGAAACAGCATCGAAGTCTGTGACATCGACAGTTAAGACGACCAATAGGAAGCAAGATTGGAGTACGTGACATTGATATCTAGGACGACCATAAAATTGACCAGTAGGAATTAACCAATAGGAATTGACCAATAATTCTCTTAGGATATTGGATGAATATCCAATGAATATACAACGAAATTGTGCAACTAAGTTACAGCGAGAATATTTGCTTAAGTTTAATAATGCTATCAAAGTTATCTCAACGACCGGATTAAAATCTATCGCAAAAACCTCCAATAAATATTATTTTAATGTAAACACATTGGCCAATTATATTATTATCCACTCATATGCATAGAAATGAATATATGCTCCGCCTTTTTCTTTCAGTCAGCAATGATTCTCAGAAACTATAACGTTTTAGTGAACGTATATATTGCATTATACATCTTGTCAAGTAAAGTCTAGAGTTTATTTTCATGGGTAAGACTTCTCAAAGATAAGATGAGATTCATACTTTCTAGACAGTTTGTAAATATGTTGATAGGATTCTTAGTTAAATAATAATTTACAATCAAATGTAAAACTGGTCAATACAGTTCCAATAATAGACTGTGCTAAATACCTAAATCAATCGAAAAATGAGTAATTTTCAATTAGCTCTATCACAAATAAGACCGATATTGTTAAATATTTATAAGTGTAAATGTTTACTTGTACTCTAGTAATTTACTTATCTAATCAGTCAACCACACTGGATATTATAAAGAATAATTTACTTCTTTTGCATATTCATTCCATAATGGACCCATCGGCTGCAGTAAATTTTCGGAGACACAACGTCTGTCAGTAGGCCTTACATCAGGTGTTAATATAACCTAAAATAAATCGATATTATTCAGTTGAAAAATTATCCAATCGGATTTTAACAAATCATGAATAAATATTTAAAAATATTCCTATCACAAAAAATCCTAATCAGAAGAGTTGTTGACAGTCACTCAGCACCATATAACTGTTTCACAACAGCATGATAATAAGTAGAAGTATATATACATTTAAAAACTTCATATGCGAATCAGCATTCCAGCCTCAGTTCCTATGATGGGAAAAGTCCAACTTAGCCTTCTAAGCTTAAAAATCCAGTGATCATTATATTTTACAAAATCAATCAATATATCTAGGTGAAAAATACCTGTTAGTTAAACCGCCACTAAAGTATTTCAAATCAACAACAATAATTCACATTCTACCTATCTACAAAACTGTGTAATTTTTTATCGATTTTCTACATATGTAATTCAATCAACCGGACAAACTTAATGCAAATGGTAATAATCTGTCTTTAAAAGTTATGTGTCGAAACATGAACATTGATCAGGGGTGAATTTTAATACTTTACTTTCAATCGAATTTTTGGTGCATACAATTTAAAAGTGTAAAATGTAATTTGTTACTTCAAGTTTATTGAAAACAAAGATTTATTATTATATGACTAACATTATTTATATTTGTTCATAATTAAGAGAATTTCTATGCTTTGGTTAGAAACAGAGTTAAAACTGTCGGGTATCTATTACTATTAACCACACTAATTAATATATCAAGTGACTGTAGAATCATTGACCAGTAGAATCATTGCTGGTTTTCTTCTCTCAGTCAGTCAGTCAGTCAGTTACAACGCAGGACTTCGTACGTACGTACATCAGTTCAGGTTACCATACCGCATTAGCTCAGAGACGCCACTGTCAGTTCAAATTCAAGAGTGATAGCGATAGCAGAATTATTAGCAGCAATGGAGAAGATTAGGGATCGAAGATTTTATTCAAGAAGTATAGTTCAGTGAGATAACTTTAGAGAGAGAAAGATTGGGATGATGAGGAATTCAGGAGGTTAGAATTTGAGAGAAGATAAAGAGTGGATGCACCTGAGCCATTTGCGAACGATTTTGAGTCATGTCGTTCAAGGTCTCCTAACCATTGGTGACTTTTGTTTCGTGGACCCTGATAGGTTTTCTTCTCTGAGACATTTTAAATCGATAGGCCATGAAAATCATTTGTTCTTATTTACTATTAAAGAGCACGCAGATGTGAGTTATTTTTTAAAAATTGTATTATTGAATTTAAACAAGTGGACAAAATATTAACTTGTTGTCATTAAATAATAATTTTAATTTCACAAATGTTTTGTTTTACCGTATTTTCAAACGATTTCATCAAGTAACTTGGCTGTTGAGATATACTAAGAATAGGTTTAGCTTGAAGTTGATTGAGCAGTATTTCATCAGATGGTGTACTCAATAAATCAATCTGAAATAATAAATAGTAAATTTTGATAAGTAAATCTCTGACTTTCTCTAATTTGATTTGTGAATAAAATAAAAATCTAAGACAATTTATTGGTAACTCTTTTCTTTTAGATTAAGCAGAAACAGTTGGTGTTAGAGAGTGAATTTTAAACATCACAAAGTATTTACTTTACACTTTCATTATTTAGCTTTTACTCTGCGTCATTTATTCTTATCCAACCTGTTCTTCCGTTTAAAGGTGTTTAATCTTTTCATAGGTACTAATTTGTGATGGAAGTAATCATCTAGTCGACCAGTGTAATTACGCTGCAGCATTTAGTTATTTAAGTACATTTAGTTGTGTTCTGAAGTCATTTTCATTTAAATTTCTTACGTGTTAAGGATTGGTCAATTCCTATTGGTTAATTTCTACCGGTCAACTTTACGATCGTTTTAGATATCAATGTCACGTGCTCCAATGTTGTTTCTTATTGATCGTCTTGAATCTCAATGTCACTTCAAATGTTGTTTTTTATTGGTCGTCTTAACTGTTAATGTCACAGACTTCGATGATGTTTCCTATTCAACCTAAATGTATAAATACGCATTATCTGTAACGTTCTATGACCAGGACCCAGTCCCGGATCCTTAGTCCGGGATCCTGGTTCTCTTCTGGACTCGGACATCGTACTTTCTGGATGCTTGTAGAATACATGTTCTACTTCATATCAAATCTTCTTATTTCTACTCAATATGGAAATTGGGACACTCGGATTAGAGTAACATGTCGTGTCACCGGATCCTCGATCCTCGCTCTCGTATTCCGACTGAGGTAAACTCGTAATAGTTCAGGTATATCAAAATGACGTGTTTACGTGCAGGCGTAACATTATGAATAGCAGGTACAAATCACACTCAGTTTTTAAATATTTCCCTCTTTATATGTTTGGCTCAGTATTGTATGAATAGTTATTGATGTGAATGATGTACATTGAACGTATTACTCGATTGACTAACGAGGTCCTTATTTTCTATATATGTATATGTTGATCTTTACAAAAATCTAATTATTTTCATGTACAGAAATGACTATCGTTCATTACTTATGAATCTACTTCTTATACATTGAGTAGAGACAAATAATTGGCACAAAAATAAAAACCCACTTTCGAATTATCACATTTGGAGTCAGTATGAAAGTTTGTGGACATATCAGTGAAGTTATTTATGTTTGTGTTCAAAAAGCTACTCCGACTTTCTGGAAGAGTTCGTTATTCATGTATGCTTTGAAATCTGAAATACCTTGTAAAGATAGATCGTTACTTTTATTACTGGAATGAAGATTGGCGTTGGAAACTTTCGATTGAAATGGTTCATAGTACGTGTACTCCTGATTATTAGAGCACAGTATTTGATTGTTCTTGTACAATACATCTCTAAAACCTTTCAAAAACTTAAAAAATTTTGAACATACTCTTTTGAATTCTCTCCTGTAGTGATGAAAATGATGAGGTTTTTATTTCATTTCCGCCAGGTTCTGAAGATAGTTCATTAACAATCTTTGCTAGATTTTTAATCATTTCGGACCATTGTGTCCCATCCAAGCAGAATGATGTCTTGATAGACTTAAGAAGGCGAATGAAAACGTACTGGATCTCTAAAGGAACAAATAATGTTCTGTCTTATCTTTTCAAATTCTTGCATAGCTATGGAAATCTACAAAATAATTTCATTTTATTACTTAAGAAAATACTGTCTAACCGTCATTTGTTTCAAATCTTCATCAAAATTGTTATCTAGCTCCTCCATCAATAAAGTTTTAAAACCTAACAAGGTGATACTCATTGTCAAATGGTTCTCAGTTGTTGTTTTTTCCCAGCTAGCTTTCAAGTGAGAGTCAAATGAGAACAATTTCTGTATATCTGGAATTATCAAGTCAACTCAATCGATCCGCGAACCTGAAAAACATAAGGTTGAATAAAAAAATGGAAAGGGCCAGCAATCGGGCACATCTGTAACTAAGTATAACTAAAAGATACTTACAGCAGTCAGTAGCGTAAAACCAGAAGTAGAAAGCAATAAGAAATTCAAACATTTTAAGAGACATAAAATTGTAAACCATAACCCTACATGATAATAAGTAACCCCAGGAGATAGGAATCTTTTTATGTGATGCAGGCTCGTTCAAGCTTGCTAAAATTACGCTAAATCTTAATCCATGCTTTGTAACTGATCTTTAGACGTACAGACAATTTTTTGATTGACTGCCTAAGAAATGACAAGTCAACCAATAACTTCCGATTTCTTCAGAATTTTTCACCTTGAATCTCTATGACTTACATGCTAATTAAACTGGTAAACTTCTGGTGAGTACTTAGACAAGCATATGCAACCATAAAGAACGATAAGATTTCTATGTGACTAGATTATCATGGGTATTATACTACCAGGTCATATTCGTAATTCATATATCGGACAAAAATCTTCCTAATTTCGGTGGTCCTTTTAAAGTATTTCTTAATTCTATCAATAAACACAGGAAACCATGAAGTTCATTGGCACGTACATTTGACTCAGTGCTTAAAATATTGGGAAGTCATTCCTGTATTCTTAGCCAACTTCTTCATGCACAAATACCCCGAATGATTTTTCAGAATTGAAACAGTCCTTGATATGTACCTTGATCACCGGCAGGCTATAAGTATACTGGTTTGTATAAAAGACAATGTAGAAGCCATATTATTTGTAGAGTAGACGAAAATCTCTTTTCTGTTGTCCGAATAAATGCATCTAAGTCAAGCATTAAGTTTGCTGTTTGTTCTAATGTTTTTCTATTACGTAAATAACAAAAGCAATCCGTTATTTCAACTAGAATAATAATAATAGAGAACATCATCTTCTTTATCAAATTTAAGTGTCCTTTTTAGTTTGCTATACTATTTATGTCTGTTATTGAATCCATGTATAGTATACATAAAAAGTATATGAAGAACACAAGTCACAGTATGTATTACATACATTGCTGGCACATTCTTCTTCATAGTAACAGTTGACATTTTTGGCCTTATTCAGCAATAGATGAAGGCAATCAAAAAGTTTCTCATTTGAAATCTGCCTTCCATTGAAAAACATACCTCTGTACGTGCACTGTAATCGTAGTCTTTTCATCAAATAACTTTTCACATAAGCAGAAATGTATTGTTTACTGTCATCAACTGATAGTCATTTGTAAAGCAATAATTTATCTCTACCATTATGCTTTTATTGTTGTCGTGTTTGCACGATCACATGATTAAGAATTGCTTACCACCTACATAAATATCCGTTCTACTCGCTTTAATGGTGGCTGCTTAAATAATCTGATGACTCATTCATTTTTCCATATATATATATATATATATATATATATATATATATTTATTCCAATCCACCAGCGCACTCGCTGGCTCGCTCGCTTTTTTCGTCGTATACCTGTGGTTTTCTGATCTAAATGGTGCAATAATAAACCTCTTCAATGCTTTGCATCCGTCTTCTAATTTATTAATCGTTAGGCGTTATCTCGTAAAGATTATCAGGAGGAGCAGCATACGAAGTTTAGGAATGATATCTAAAACCGATTTCCACAAACCTGGTGAGCGCATATCGATCACAAGCTAAATTATTGTTTACGAATGTTATTTTTGTAGTCAGAGATGATTCTGGTAAACATAATATACAAGTTATATGTTCTTAAAGTAACTCCAGCAAACCTTCAGAATTCTTCGGATCAATTCATTTCAATCATCGTTATATTAACTATCGGTATAAATTAGACCGTTAATCCAATCTTCTGATATCAGTATCTCCAAGGTAAATTCACTCAGATCACTCAAAATTAACGGAGTTGTTCTATGAAGCCTCTTCAAAATGCCGGAAAACACATCAATTTACTTTTCCCATGTAGTGTTGCTCAGTATAAACTTAGAGTGGTCGGAAACATATAACGTTTTCCTGGTTCTTGGGTGAGTTGCTAATTAACAAACCAATGACTATGTAAGGACACTAAGCAATATTTTATCAGCAAAAATATTAGTGTCATGCATACAATTTCTTGGTTACAAAACTGGACATAAAACACTGTGTAAACTTCTTTTGAGCCGCTAAGAGAGCTAAAACGATACATTTTTGAACCATATTCTAAGTATTATATCTCTTTATCATCATTGGTAATACAAATTCCGAATGCTTTTTCATTTCATCTCGTCGGTAGAAACTGAGGCGCCTCTAGCCTGATACGGCTCCCAAGTTTGTTAGAATTGACTAATTGACCGACGCTGCTTATATATTTAGTCCTATGCCTTATATCTAATATATCCATTGTCTTTTTCACAAGCTAATATGAACCAATCGATTTCTTTGCGCTGAAATCTTGTTCTTTCAGGACAGTCCCAGGTGTTTGGTAGTGTCCAAAAGAAGAAAATCAAACATATTTATATCGATTTTTTCTAAACAAAATTTTTCAAAAACCTATGTTTTCAGCAAGGAAACATAATTAAAGTTAATTTACAATGATTATACGCAAGAATTATTATTAGAGTTGAGGGTTCTTTTCAACAACAGATATCAGCTATATTGACAAAATGCCATTTTACCATATAGATGAATAAATTCTGCACCGAAATGTTAGACTTGCTATCTCGGATATGATTGTCCCGCTAGCAAATTAACGTCTTTCTGTTCCGAGAGACATAAATCAACATTTAAATTCCCTCGCACAACTATAGTTATGACAACACACTAATTCGGAACGAATTTTTCCAAATTTTAAACCATTCGATGAACAACTGATTATTTCCAAGTATCAGCCTACGTGTTTCAAATAATGACCTAGTAGGAGCGTTGAAGTGTCACAACCCCACACAAATCATCCAATGAGCAAGTCACTGGAAGTAGAACAGTTTATCGATCCTCACAAAAGTTCAATATCCAATATCTTTTTCATTAGCTGATGTAAATCATTCGATTTCTTTGTGCTCGATCCGTGTTCCGTTGGTACAGTTCCAGGTGTTTGGAAGTTGAATTCACTAATTTTATTGAATTTTCCAGTGTCGGAATGTAGCTTACTAGAAGGTGGAGCCGGCTTTAGTAGTGAGCAATAGGCTAAACACTGTCCAATCCCCGGAACGTGCAATACCCCAGCAAAAATATGCCGCCGTTTCAAAGGCCATAACATCTCGAAAGTGAAAACCCCGCAAATGAGGGTGACACTAGACTCGTCACAACTTGCCAAAGATATACTCTCATCCCTGAAACCGTCAAATTAATTGTCCTCTCCGATCCACACCATGCACGATAAACTGTGGTCACTGAGAACGGCAGACAAGACAACACCAGGCACTGAAGAGCAGACTGCTTTGGTAGTTCACGGCGTTCCCGGACTGGCCAGTGGTAGTTCGGATGAGGCTCATGTGCATTATGTGCAACAGCGGCAGTGGCTATCAAGAAACCTAGACCTTCGCACCGCGATGGTCATTTACATTTCTACGCAGCCTCGCACGTCATATCTCACGTCCAGTAAGTCACCAAGTCTGATGGCTGTGGAATTCAGGAATCGGGAAGACCTGACTGAGGCACTTCAAGCTTGATTTAGTTCGAAGAACGACCTGTCAAGCCACACTAGGTGGTTCGAAAGCTGGCCTAGATCGGTGAGACAACAGCAGGAAGGCCACAATAAACGCACAGAATCGACCTCAATCAACAGCCCCTGGCAGAAGACACTAAGATAATAGCCCCACCGACTGCACTAACTGCACAGACAAAACCTGCAGGGGCCAGTTCCCACAGAACTAGCCAACTCGGTTTCAATAACTTGTTTGAAAATCCGACAACGGCTGACTGAGGCAATACTGCAGTTGTTATTCCTGTGGTTCAGAATACTACGCAAACCCAGTGCCAGCTGACGGCTTAGGGAGTATCTTTATTACTCCTGCCTATGTACTAAATAAACTAAAATACTTACGCCCAGGGAAGTGACAATATTCGTTTTGAAACAGTGTGCAGAATTCCCCTATTCACCGATACGTGATCTGTTCAGGCATTCACCGGAATCACACCAACTCCCAGCTGAATGGAAACAAGCTACCATTAAATCTCCAGAGATAGGAAGGACCCAGTATGTTACCAACCAGTCACATTACTACCAATACTATCAAAGGTCCCATAGCACCAGATAGTTGGACATCCTGCTGGGACCGAAAAATACCGTTGCTCGTAGTATTTCTCGACTTTGCAAAAGCCTTCAACTCAGTACCCCGTGCACGTCTAATCGCAAAGGTTGCGGAAGTGGGCTTCATTGACCCACTCATATATTGACTCAGAAACTACCTTAAGAATATAGTTTCATATAAATGGAATAGATTGCACACGAGTTGACGAGTGCCCACATCGGGCGTTCCACAGGGGACCATCCAATTTCCACTTCTTTTCCTGATATTTAATAACGACCTGTTAGGCTTAGGTAGCTCACGGCATTGATCTACGCAAATGAATCTAAGATCTGGAGGTCCACCAGAATCGAAGAGGTTTCGACTCCGTTTTAATTGGACTTTACATCTACTGAGGAACGGGCAGTGATAAACGGTTTAAAACGCAACCAGCTGAAGTGTCACGTCATACATATTCTGCCTCCTATGACGAAAACGATTTACATCCTCAATGGAAGTCCGCTTCCCAATGTCTCCCCAGAGTGCAATCCCGGTTTAATAACTACTAAAATCCTACACATCAGTTCGGAATGTATACGGGACACAGCCAAGGCTAATGAAACCCTTCATTTTATGCTAAGATAGCTCGATGCTGTCACTCCGGGATAATTCTTAACGCTGTTTTAGACATATGCGCGCCCACACCTGAAGGTTCGCAACGTCGTCGCACCCTCTCTACTAAAAAGAGACATAAATCTTTTGGATAAAGTATTGAGACGAGCAACGAAATAGGTGGTTGGTTTGCACAGTAAACCTTACGAAGATGAACCCCAGCACTTGGGATTATTGCCCCTGAGTTACGGGGGAATCAGAGGTGGTCTGATAATTGCTTTCAAGATATTAAGCACGCCAAGTCATCCCAGCGTGAGCATCTTACAGATGCATCACCACCACTCCCCTCACGGCAATCCTCGAAAAAATGCTCATCAAAGAGCGAACGCTCAGGTTTGTGCACACTTTTTCTCATTAAGATTCGTTACAACTTGGACTGTCCTCGTAGCCGAGGCGACCACAGCCCTTTCAGTGGATAGCCTTAAGAAGAGACTTGATAATCACGTACGGATCACGTACAGATCGTTATCACCCTCTTGGACATGCTATGCCTGATGCATGACTTGAGACTTGCTAGTTGTTATCGTTGCCATCTCCTCAGATCACTATCTTAATCTATCTAGCCTATTATCTGTGTTTTCTCTCCCTTGCTAACACTTCGACCCTCTCTCTCAACCTTCACTAACAATTGATAAACTAAGTTATCCATTTATCTACATGGTTCTGAAGTCTTTTTAGCATTCGAATTTTCTTATTATTCTCTACATTGCAACTGATTAGTCTCCGGTCTGGTAATTTAACAGCTGCTGGCATCCAGAAACCCTACTGCCCTGAAACAAACGTATTCATTCGATTCACTGGACATACATGCTAACAACTAAATGCCTACTGACTAGAAGTAGACAGTCGAATGGCTAGATCCCCATTCACTGGACACTATCAAACATCTGGATAGGTACCGAAAGAACAAGGATCGAGCGCAAAGAGATCAATCGGCTTATACTAGCATGTGTATAAGATATTAGACTTTGGACATTGTGCATATCTCATATTTAAATTCTTATTTCTACGTTGTAGTGTATTAGGTTAATAGTAAACAAATGTTAGGTACATTTCAATTAAAATTTCAATAACTTATTTCTGGTATAGTTTCCGCATACATATTGACATTACTATGGTTTTAGTTATATGGATGAAGTTATCCTTATATGTTATTAATGTTTAAAACCTCCGAGGCTCAGGGATTCTGAAGTTCAGGAGTTGAACCACATAATGTCTATCTTAATCATTTCAGAACGCTGATCGTCAAAAACGTAACAAATTGGATGAAATGATTCTGAGGAATTTCTAAGCCATATTTGTCAATCTGTCGCCTAGTGAAGTTTGCTTAGGCAAATAATATGTGCCCGTGATAACTATACAGTTCAGCCGCCCAATTTGTACCAAGATCCATCCTACTACCACAAAAGTTTTTATATCCACTTATTTTCTACTGAGATTTTGCCAGATTCGAAGGGGATATTATAAAAAACCAGGACGGGTGTGAGATAGATTCACTACATATTTCTTCTAGCTGACTCGTCGAATTTTAGATAGAACTAGAAGCCTGTGTACAAGCAGTAGAGAAAGATTAAAACAAGTTTGTCAGAATTCTCTAACTTACTAGCGAGCCATAAGTTTATGATCTCATGAGTTGTAGACAAGTTGGTGACTTTTTGCAAAAACCATTTCAAGAATACATTATCCAAGCAATGGTATTCTGATGCCTACAGCTAATTACATCTCCTGAAGCGCTTTAGGGTTACTGCGATCCCAAAACTGGATGAAGGAGTAAGTTTGAGCGAGGGGTAAGTAACCCTCTCCCATCGAAAACGAACTTGCTGAAAATATCGTCAACCACAAAAATAATTCAAACCACTTAACTCTATCCTAGGAGTTGGCAGGTCTTCTTTTGCAAGAGTTCTGACGCCTCATGATGAGGGCTGCGTCTTTTCGATAGAAATGCACTGCTGTTGTCTAAAGAAGCACAGATAGAATTGATAGGATGAGAATTTTATGATCCCGGTATCCTTTAAGACAAAAGGAGGTGATTACGATGGACGTCATTCAGTGCTATGCACCCACCAACAGTCAGAGCGAAGATGATGCCGGTGCGTTCATTGAACGGCCGCCATCAATCGTCAAGAATTACCTTGCAAAGGATCTGAATACTGCGATGGTAGACCTAAACTCCAAGGTTTGAATGGATAGCACTGGATATGTATACATCATGGGACTACATGGAATTGGAGAAAGGAACGAAAATGGTGCGAGACACGTCTTTCTCCAGGTAGCTACACTAATACCGGTAAACTTGACAAGTCGTGGTATTTTTAAATCATTTAGCGCTTAAATCTCCGTATTTGTGGCTCTGGTTGTGAGGGTTATCAAGTCCAGTATTTTCACCATTTGTGGCTGGAGCCTTTGTTCAATAACGGTGACCCAACAACGGGCGATATTTGTTCTTATATTTGTCGTTTTGACAGCTGCTGTTAATAATTTTTGGTAAATGATTTTTATTATATCAGTAATTAGTGGATGATCTAGTAATAACAGATGTAAAATCTGCAAAAGAACGAAACATTAGGCAAGTACGCGATCCAATGGATATCACTGGAAAATATAGTAAACCAGGATGACTGTTCACGAACAGAAAAAACAAATCAGTCATTGAGTTCCAAGAACAGTAGAATAGGATGATAGATCACTTTGATAAGCTGTTGAACAGACCAGTCTAACTGAACTGATTCAACATCGGAGCAGCAACACAGACTTCTCAACTGTTGTTGATTCACCAACAGTCAAAGAGATCAGCAGGGCCATCATGAAATCAAAAGTTCAAAAGCAGCATGATCAAACAATAAACCAGTTGAGAAATTAAAATGAGATAAGGTAGTAACTGCAAAGATGTTCTGTGTTCTCTTCAGCAAGATTTGGGAATGAGAACAGTTACAGACAAGGGTATCTCATCGGAATAGCTCAAAAATGTAATCTCAGCAAATGTGAGCAGTCTATAGGTATCACTCTTCTCTCAATATCGATAAAAGTCTTCGACAGGTAGCACAATCGACTGAATGGAATTCACCACTCTACACCAACTTCATTAACTTAGAGAAATCATTCGATAGTGTCGCCAGAATGACACTACAGCGGCTCCTTCGACAATACAGCGTGCCTGAAAAGATAGTCGACACCGTACGAAACTCTTTCGATGGTTTAAATACTAAAATCATGCATGGAGGACGACTCACAGATTCGTACCAAGTGAAAACAGATATCGAGCAACGTTGGTAACTCTCACCCTTTCCCGAATGGACTATGGGGACGTCAGCATCTAAGAGGAAGCACGGATATAATGGAAATCTGGGATGCATCTAGACGGTTTCGACGTAGCAAATGATCTGGCTTTACTGTCCCACATAGAACAGCTATTACAGAAGACGTCTGCAGTAGAGGCAATAGTAAATTTTGCAACATGATCGAGTTCGTTGGAGAATACTTGTAGGCCACCTATGCTGTTGGATAATTAGCTAGCTTAAGTAATTTAGTAAGTGAAAAAATGAGTGAGCAGGTTCAGCTTCTTGAGTTGTAATCAATGAGACGTTTACTCTTACTTCGATTTACAGTGGACCGGGGTATAAGAAGATTGCATTAATTCTTAAAAGATTCTTGCCAGATACCTGAAACCTCACAGAAAGTATGAGAAACAAACTCAAAGAAATCACCCGGCTCAAACATCTCTAAGATATAAACCTGTCCGGCACTCCACTACCCCTTATTAGAGTTCTCATGCAACATTCTTAATTGACTCCCTTATATACTTCAGTGGGCAACATTTTTACTGAAGTCTCTGATAATAATTAACACAAGTGATGTTGTATTTCGAAATATCTGACCTTGAAACATGCACCGTCCCAGCGAGTGGTATGAATTTTGATCACTAGGTCAGTGATACTGACGCAGATTTCGGTCTCTTCCCATTACTATTTGCATTATGTTCATACATGTACATCATGGAGAATAATTATATGTATATATATATACAGTTTTCTCCTTCAAAGCCCACAAGAACAAACAATATTGTCCAACCAATAGCAACGAATTTCTCTGACATATAAATAAAGTTAGCTTAATATCTTTTCAGCTTACTTAAGCAGCTTCCCGCTTACGTCTTTTTGCGCTTAGTTGACGATATTATATTAACACGCTGAACGAAACCGAAATAGATATAGCTATGCTAAATGAGACAAGGTTTGGTGCAGTGTTGCATAACTGCATTTATCACTCTCTAGATCCTACATAATCTGTTAGTAAGAATCACGAACAAATCTATCATGAGGTCGCCAAGCCGAAACCTACACAAAATATTAGTTGAGCCGGAAGTAGTTTCTTATTAAACGTTAAATCAACATTAGGAAACAGCCTACCTTTCTCCAACTCTTCTGTCGCCTGCATACAGTTAGTTTTGGCCTCCAAATCACCGAAAATTATTTAAAGTTTAAATTTAAGGGTAATAAATCTGGTTTGGCGTATTTGGGTTTAGCCTCCACAATCCTTTAAACGTAAAAGTACTAGAACCGATTAGTCTGTGTGAAAATTCTTTGGGGACTAATACAGTTACTTGTTCTCGGGTGGTTTGTGTACAAGCTATTGTTTATACAGACAAGCTTCCCCACTCCAACATTTTTCAGTCCGTCTCACTAACGAACGTCCTTCTTTTTAGACCATCTGATATCCTTGCCTGCGTAGAAATCAACTCATCATAATGTTTGGAGCAAATAAACGTAAGTTTTGTTATGGATCTATTTATAATTATCTCAGCAGCTGCCTTCGGTGCAACCTCTAACTCGGCTTTTGGACAAAGTAAGTACATCAGGACTGTAAATCATTCTTCTTAGGTTCCTCCCTGTTCGGAGCCACCTCGATTCCCCAAACACAGCCTAGTTCAAGCCTCTTTGGTCAACAGTCTAGTGGTCTCAGTGGGACAAACAAACTTTTCACTGGAAACCAAATGAATACGTTATCGTGGGGTTCTACGAATATGACCTCTAACGGGACAGCGCTTGCATTTAATCCACCAATTACAACCGAAATAATTCAACGGGGAGGTCAACCTTCACAAGTAAATGCAAAGCATATGTGCATCACCGCCATGAAAGAGTATCAGGACAAAAGCCTAGAGGTAATTGAGTATAAAATTTGTTTGTATCATACAAAATATTTTATGGGCTTGTAAACTCCAAGTGCTACATCTATCATCATAATTTCAATGTATTTTATTTGTTAGTTTATGTTAATTTTGGCTAATGTCAATTAAGTGCAACCATAGCACCACTTCATGCATTGAAATTTTAAAACTACTGTTTCTGCCTCACATCTTCATCCTACCATTTGCATATCTTGAATACTTCAGATTAATTTCATAACTTCCAAACCATATCTATCTATACTTCTGATTTATCCAAAAGTGTTGTTGAAAGTCATTGGAAAGTTGGCATTTCTGGGTGGTTATGTATTAGTGGTTTCGTAATTATTAAAATCAACCTGCACATAGTGAAAGCTATGGCAGTTTATCACTATCTGAGTTGTCTTTTGCGCCATCGTGAAGTTGATATGATCATAAAAGATCGGGATAAAGCGGTTTTGATCTGTTTTCAAGAAACCTGACTTCCTAGTTGTTGTTCGACAACTCTGTTTGATCACTTATCCCCATAGGATTGTTGACTTTAAGTGACAACGCTATGTTAGTAATACAGAGATTCAGCAATGTGTTTTAGGGCTCAGTGACCATAACTCACTTAATTTCCCTATTTTGAAACACCGACCTCGGTGACCTGAACATGTTTTGTAAATGTAATTCCAGTGAATTGGATATCTTGCATTAATTGCTGACCAGTTGGAAAAAGCTGAGTTGGTTAGCATGTGATGATGATGTTTAGTTGTACCAGTATTTATGTGCAGTAAATAAAACATAATATAAGTTAGATAAAACCCCGACCATAGTATCTTTGACTAACTAATACTTTAGTCACGAAGGCAATGTCAGTTACACTGGGTTGTCAATACTTTAGGTTAAAATAAAGTTAAAAGGCACAATTACTGAAACAAGCTATTATTAGCAATAGCTAGTACTAATTCTGATTTTTGGTATGGCAACCTGAGCTGATGCACGTACGTACGAAGTTCTACGTTGTAACTGACTGACCGACTGAATTCTGAGTTTTCTCATCCACTTTAATTGCAAGAATTCCTTTCCTTTAGCCTCTTCACAATTTTATTCCCTTACCTGTATAATGCATATTCAAATATCGTTATACGAACAGTAACGCGTATTTAATAAACTATTAACGTTTGTTGATTTGTAGGAACTTCGTCTAGAGGATTATTCTTTGAATCGCCGTGGCCCATCAACAGCAACTAGTGGGACTTCAATCTTTTCTGCCTCATCCACTGCAAAACCGTTTCAATTCGGGTCATCTCAAATGAATGCAACAACATCTATTTTTGGTCAGACTAATAAACCTACAAATACTTTGTTTGGTGCTTCAACCAGTGGCGTTAGTAGTAGCAATAATATGCTTTTTGGAGGTACTGCGACTCAATCAGCTTTCGGACAAACTTCTCAAGGTACTATTGTTTCTTGACAAGTAATTTTTATGTATTTCTTCTATTGACAATTTCGACTGTTAGTAGTCATTATTTTGGTTCTCTATTTATCCTATACTCTATTATCACTTATGTATTCTGTGTGTATTTGTTCTCTACGTTTATGTAAACCTGTTTCATAATATCCATTCATTATAGTTTCGCCGATAAGAATGGCGTAATATTCTAACAGAATCATTGCTTTAAATTCAACCATTTGTAATCTAACTACCTAATCAGTTGTTTAGCAATCATAAAAAAGTATAACTTGGTCAATACAAGAACTCATGTTTAATGATTGTTCCAAAATTTTGGTTGTCCCATCAATTTACCAATTATATCACTTGCTACTTTTTTATTTGCTCCATAAGCAAATGTTCATATCTGTACGACAAAACTGTGGTTGATATTTACGCAGTAATTATGTACTCAGTCAGTCGTAATCAACATAATAGTATGCATACTTACTTGTTTTTAATTACGGAGTCTTAATCTGACACTACACACTCGCTTTTAAGACTATATCGTATGTTACTCTTTTTTCGGCTTGTATATAAACATAGCTATTTACTAAAACCCATCTTTCCCCCATGGTTATGAAATAAATTGATTATTTTAAAGTGTTACCATTAATGATAAATTCTCAAACATAAACTATCAGTTGCCTGACAGTGATTACATTTTATCACAAGAAATAGGTTTAGCCATGAGTAACATTTATCTGTTATCTTCTTTACCTCAGTTACACTTTAGAATTCGTCTACTGGTTCATAAGCATCTTCCGAATAAATTTCTATCTGGTTAAAAATGTAATCAAAGCAAATTACTTTTCTTTACTGAACGATTCATTTAATGCAACTGTATATTATTACTCTAGGTCTTTTAGGTTTGAAACCTCAATTTGGTGCTTCAACTACTCCTAGTATATTTGGTTCAACTCCAGCTTCACAGTCCACTGGGTTTGCCTTTGGTCAAACAAATCAAAGTAAATACTATCATTTTCTATTATTATATATAATATTTGTATATCATTTCTGGCAGTAAATACTGGCTTTTAAGAAAAGTCTACTTATGGCCATCTGTTACCTCAGCTTGTTTTCTGCAAATATTCAGTCTTAACTTCCAAGCGTTCAAGAAAACTTCAATAACACCGATGATTCAATAAACTCCCGTCGAATTCAGCTACCTTTTGCTCACTGTTTTCTCTATTTTCTTCAACGTTTCTTTACTTCACGTAGTTCTTCAGCTGTTACTTAGTACTTTTAGATTACTGAGAATCCCCTCTCTTTGATTCCAGTGTGTGTGTTATCTTTACTTGATATGTGGAAACAGTTATCTTGGCATAGTCAAGCATTCATCTTTGTTATCTGTTGTAAAGCTTTTTTGAACAATCTTTTGGATCGCTCTTTTGAAGTTTCAGAAAGTTGTCTAAAGTGTATGAAACCATAGCAACAGTGTCCCATCAGTTTTGTTTTATTTAAAGAGATCATAGCATCGGAGAAAAATTGAACCTTAGTTAAGAATGATAGATCAGACTTCGGATTGCAAGAAATCTCTATTAGGCTTACTCTTAAGAAATGCAGATTTATTTTTCTAATCCATCTATAGGAGATCCTGATCGATCTCACTTAAAATCGAAACTTACTATTTAATGTAATGAGAACATCGCATTTAAATGACCTGGAACGCTTGAGGATGGGAAGAGTCCGCTCTCCCTCTCTAAATGCTCTCTTATGGCCACGCTTATATAGCCACTGCTAGAGAAGTCCCATTCTTACTGCTAGGGTGTTGTTTATAAAATCGAGAGGGCGGAAAGCGAACGGTCGGCGCTTGAGTAGAGTTGATGGTTACGGAGGATCCCCTAGGGTAGTCTGAAAACCCTGATTCCAGATCACTGGTGCACATGAGTTGCAGGATCCTGATAGAACGAATGGCGTATGAACCTACTTATTCACCGACAACCATGAGACTGCGTCTCCTGACGTTGCTACACTGTCTTGTGGATTAGATATTTGGATCTAAGGCTCAGAGAATGGCTTGCTAAGAAAACCACTTAATCCCATATTCCAGCTCACTCATAAATGCAGTAATTTGTGTTGCTCATAAATATTTAGGTGTCCCATTTGTACCAGTGTCTATGTGTTCAAATAAATAAGTTCAGAGGTTTCGACGTTGTACACAATAGTTAATTTATATAAACACATCAAGCTGTATGCAATGCATACATGATTCGTATTTAACCGAATTTAACTGATTAAGAACAGTTGTTGTATGTTTAATCCGTGTTAAAAATGTCAGTAGCTTTCTCATATAATAACTGCATATTTCCTAGTGTAAATCAAGTCATCATACTTTAAATTAGGTTATTATCTTATCATATTTAAATCAAGAGGTCTTGGTCACTCACCCACCCTATAACTTGATAGGGCTAAAGCAGTAGGTAATTGTGTCGGCCATAATCGATAAATTGGGCAGTAAGTGTAAAACCCAATGAGAATAAAGCATCCCCCTACTCAGATTGAATCCAGAAAGACAGCATTTAATTGTCGTGCGAAAGATGTGGTTCATAGCCTGCTTAAAAATTCTGACTTCTGATTCAAATTATTTCTATTTTGATGACTCAACGTTATTGTATGTGGCGATAAATTATTTCAGGTAGACTTGAAACATCGTGACTATCTCAGCAACCTGCTTGTTTGACTTACACAATTTACAAATCCTAATCCAACGACTTTCCGATTGATTTGTAGCTATTTCAATAACTGTGATATAAACTCATATATCTCTTAACAACTGCAACTACCTTCTCTCCTTATATCCATACCACGCTAATGAATGTTTTTGTTGAAATTTATTTTTTCCAGCTACTTCTGTTTTTGGTGCGAAACCCTTGTTTGGAACCACTACGACTGCTGGCACTGGTACTTCTCTTTTTGGAACTGCGCAAGCTACACCACAACTTGGAAGTACTGGATTCTCATTTGGTCAACCGCAACAACAGGCCACTGGATTAGGCACGTCTACTAGTTTTTTCGGTCAGTCAAATCAGGCAACATCTGCTGCTAAGCCTACTCTTTTTGGGACTCAGCCAACGACTGGTACAGGTCTCATGTTTGGATCACCGGTATGCATAAAAATGCTTAGATTTCCGAGGCTTTCATTTATCGATTTTCTAAACTGTATTTTTTACCTTTTAGTCTACCGGTATTTTCGGTGGAGCTAAACCTGCAGGAGCAACGTCAGTATTTGGTACCCCCGCTACTGGGTTAACGGGTTTGCAGGGTACTCAACAGCAGACTGGATTTACATTTGGTTCCCCATTAGGCACAGCTGGTGGACTGAAACCTGCTGGCACAACAGGTATATTTGGAACGAATACAGCGGCTACAACTTCTAATGCACTTAATCCCGGTGGTCTTTTTGGATCTGGTACGTCATTAAATAATATGTTAGCTGTTGTAATTTGTGCGCAGCGTTATCTGTCCTGATCGTTTCTTGTTATGTAACTGTTCTTCACTATTACCCGCCTATTATTCAAAACTGGTCGACTCTCTTTATTTAATACCTCAAGACTAAGGAGGTTTCATCGTTTTACAGTTCGTTTGTGTAGAGAGGCGAAAATCGAAATATTATAAAATCGATTTTCTGAGTTCACTGTAATATTATGAACTAGTGATCTAGTCATTAATTTTATTTACTACAGCTTTAAAGAAATAAAGCTTTACTGAATAGTTTTCAGAATATTTAATGAATTTATACACCGATATTTGTTGCTATAACGCTTTTTACATGTCCAATAAACCGATTTGATTATGAGCTAGGTCTAAAATGTACAGTAATAACACTAGTAAAATGACTTATCATAATGTCATATCACTTTCTCACTATAAGTTCATTGTATCCCTGTCGATGTTTTTACCTTCTAATTCACCCCTGAATCTCTCTATTACTATTACTATTATTAACTAGTTATAGTCAGATCTTGTTGCCCATAAGATGATCTTCTCAAACTTCGGGATCACCTTTATTCCAAATATATAAGTGCCTCAAAAAATTTACTATTTTGGGCCTGTTTTAAATGAATAAGTATGCATATTAATCATACATATGTTTTTATAAAATCACAGCCTATCGCAAAGCGGATTAATTCAAAATGTAAGCCTAACAATCATGGCTTTCGGCATATTTCCCTCCTGACCCTTTCCTCTTTAGAAAAAACATTAGCACGTTTCTTTTTTGTTCACTCTTAAATACATGTTCTTTGTTCACTTAGGTTTATATGTGATTTATATTATTATCAAAAATGGAGAATATTATTCAGAACTTTTTTGATCACATTGATTTGTTAAAAACATGATATTTATCTATCATAAACATCTGTATGAATAACATGTTAAATGTCTTTCCAGGGACCTCAACAGGTTTTACTTTCGGGGCGGGTTTAAATAATCAACCTACTGCATTTGGTAGTCTTGGCACAACATCTTCCGCTGGAACAACACTTTTTGGTCAGCCTGCTGCTAATAGCCTAACAGCTAAGAAGCCTTTTGGTTTTGGGACAGCTAATGCTACTGGCATTGGATCGTTTGGTTTTAATCAGCCTAATACTGGAACTAGTTTGTTTGGAGCTCCAACTGCAGCTACAGGTTTCAATCTAGGAACTGGGACTACTTCAGGATCGTTGTTTGGTCAAACTAGCACAGGTTTTGGTCTTGGTCAAAAGCCTTTGCAAAATGCTTCTGCTGGTGGTACATTTGGTGGTAGCTTCGGTTTCGGAGCAAGTACGGCACCAACTGCTGGAAGTTTTGGAAATAGTCTTTTTGGTACTAATGTTGGTACTCAAGGTTTAGGCGCTACCGGAGTTCAACCCATCGGTTCGTCACTAACTGGATTTGGTACTGTAAGTTGAGTTTTTTCGTTTTTCCTTTTAAAGCTTATCATTTAATTCATTACTGTTTCATGATAAAAAAATATCTTGGTCGCGGGATATTGTTGAAATTAATTGCGAATTATTCGTGAGTACAGCGAATTATATGGCATATAATACAAAAATGTAATTCTCTAGTGTTGCCTTTGTTTGTTAGTGGATTACTTCTAGATATGAAGGTTTAGACAACATTAATTAACGTAAGATTCATATAATCAGTAATGTGATTAAGTGTAGTTTAGAATATCATGTGAGTGTACAATGTTAAAAATGTTTTTCATCTCATCTATTGTAAATTTTGTTTATTCTTGACCAAGTTGCTAGCTGTAAGTTTTTATTTAAAATTTACGTCACAATATTCATTTGTCAATCATCTGACAATGATTCTATTAATGTCAGACATTAAACTGTTCATCTTGGTTATAGTGTGTGACATCTTCTCATCTGTCAATTTCCATTCAGTGTAATTTGACTTGACGAAAGTCGTTGTAACCTTGTGTTTTACATGTAAATCTTGATAAAGATATTTCCTTACGTATAAACATGAAAATGTGGTATAAAATATATTTGAATTGAATTTAATACCAGCTTGTATTTAATCTGGGCATACAATCTCTAGTTACTCATCTGATTAGGATTTTAATTCTGTATTTTAAGCGTACAACCTTCAATTATCAAGTTCAAAGTTCTTACCTTTTTCAATTTTTGGATTTCAACCTACTATCTCTGGCTGTCACAAACCAGGGGGACTTATAATTAGGTTACTGAATTTCAGTACATTAAATATCGGATAACCAACTTGTTAATTGTTCATGTAGTTTATATGTTTACTGTGTTCTAACTGTAAATAAATCACTTTTAATTTAAAATATGTTGATGGCCGTTCTAACTGGGTTTTAGCAGAAATTTTCTGTTTATGCTTAATACTTACTTACTTACGCCTGTTAACCCCAACGGTGCATAGGCCGCCGACCAGTATTCTCCAACTTACTCTGTCCTGGGCTTCCCTTTCCACTTCTGTCCAATTTTTGTTCATTCTTCTCATATCCTTCTCTATTTCTTGGCGTAATGTGTTCTTTGGCCTTCGTCTTTTCCTTTTACTTTGAGGGTTCCATGTGAGGTCTTGTCTTGTGAAGCAGTTTTATTCTTAATAATGGCTTTAAAAATGTACTTGTAAATGGGGTAATTATTTTAAGACTAAAATTTATTAATTTCTAATGTACATATTATATTTATATTATTTTTTGGAAGGATTGTTATTGCCTATTTTATGAATTTTTTCAAATTTATGCTGGTGTGGTTCTTGTATTCATACTTAATCTACTTTCAGTTCTGTCTATTCTCTATTTTATGTACTTTCTGCATGTTTTTTTAGATCAATGCAACAGGTTCTGCTCTTGGTCTGGGTTCAAATGACCAAGTTGCTCAGTCTATTAAAGCTCAACAACAAGTTTTGGAAGTTGTTCGTAGTATGCCTTATGGTCAGTCTTCACTGTTTCGTTACTTAAACTTACCCACAAAACCTGCTTCCAACGCGGATTCAAAAGCCCAAGCTCCTGGAGCTATAGCCCCCACTACTTCTACTGCTGGGGGTGTTATTGTACCAGCTAAATATGTCGCCAATGTATTTGCTGAGCGTAATAAAGCTGCAGGGCTGTTAATTGGATCTAGTCCAACTAGTTCTGGTTTAAATGTTTCTGGTTTTCGTCGCCCCGCTAATTCTAATGCTCGTCTCCTGCAGGTAGCTAATCGCAACAAGGTAAGTGGACTTTATCAACAGGACATGACAGTATTTTAGTATTATCATCTGAACGTCACCAGCCTAGCAAGTTTTACATAGACTTAGTAAACTTGACTATGTCTAGCATCTCCACCGAATATGAGACGAAACTGAGTTTAAAACTAAACAGCAACCTACCGCAAGGAACGGATAATTATAGGCTTGTTATTCCAAAGAAATGTCTTAAAAATGGGCTAAACTGTTATAAAACTTTTACAGTTGAATCTATTAAGATCCAAATCACGTCGCAATTTTAATACTTTTTAGCATCAAAAAAGAATATAAATAATCCTGTCTATCTATCTATTGGACATCTACAGTTGGTATTTAGTTTTTCGAAAACATTCCTACAATAGATTCTCCTCATTTTATTTGTGTCAACATAATCTGACATTGAAAATCCGACCACAAATCACTTAATATTCATCGTAAAATGAGAAATTTGAGTTTGTCTACTTCATCTTCACTGGTTGTATAGATCGCGAACTCACTCAATTGGTGTGGGTTTTTTGTAATTCCACCCAAAAAAAACGCCGTCGTCCTTAATTGATGAGTAATAATTGTGACCAAAAAACTAGTCTACCGAATATTGTTTAGATTTGCTTAAGTATGTTAATATGTTATTCTACTTGTAGATAGATAAGTGATTGAATAACCGTTTATTTTTCTGAACCAAAATACTAATTAGTAATTGCTTTGTAAGTAAACATACTTAATATATTGACTTCATAAATATTCATTATCCGTTTGTCTTTTTCATTTTCAGTTATTTTCAGGTTTCTATGAAGAAGATGCTTTAACTAATAATAATAATAATTCTCCTTTATCATCAAATCTTCGACGTACCGCTTCATTAGGACCGACTAATGTTTTAAGTCCTGTCAACAATAACAACACTAGCAATTTCTTTGTTAAACGCGGAGAATGGAAACATTTACATTTGCCTGAGAATGTAAGAAATTCAATATTGGAACGATCCAATGCTATAACTAGTGAATTAAATCAATTGGCCGAATCAACTTTGGATACTACCACCAACACCAACACCACAATGCATTCTGATATGACAATGAATAATAAACAAATTCCTACTACCTCTGATAATATCCCATTAAAAGAATTGAATCAATCTATTGGTACTATTGACAAGAAAGTGAGTTTTATTTTAATGAATAATTCATTATGCTTCACTCCATTAGAGTATGATAGCATTGCTTGATTCAAGGTTTTGAGCCATTGAAGAATAAAAACAAAGTTTAGATTAGGCACAGAGTAGGCTAAGTAAAATAGGCAAGTCCATTGAGACTACTATAAACCTACGTCAACTGGAAGTGGTTAGATTATGTGTTACGTGTATCTAATCACCTATTTTCATATGTAATATTAGTCAATATAAAATAGATTGAGAGAAAGAGTTAAAGTGAAGAAGAATTCTCGACATAACATCAATCCAATGTTGATCATGAATGATTGAATGAAATAGACGATAACTAGATTACAGTTTGGTATTAATATCTTCTTAGTTTATTCAATTTGTAAAAATCAATACTAAATAAGCGTTAATTATGAATCAAATTAATTACTGTTCAGTAAGTAGTATAATAACGTACAAAACAGTCAAGACTAGATGGAATATACATATTTGAAGAAGATATCTGTTTGTTATCCAAACAAGGTATTGACTGTCTTATATCTCTCCTGGTCTTCAATATACTTCGATGAGGCCATGCATTCTGATTGCTTGACCCTCTTCTATTGGCTAACGACTCGTAGGCGATGCTCCACTGCATACTACTAATATACCACAGTAGAGTATCATTATCTCAAACTACCTAATTTTTGTAGTACACAGATAATATTGTTTTGTTGTTGTCGTCATTATTACTATTGATCAATAAAGAAAGCTTTGCAATTTGAACAACTCAATTTTCAAAAAGCACAAATGTACACACTTTTTCTCTCTAAAAGTTTACATATTTCCGTTCATTTTTTTTCTATTAGAGAAAAATACACTCACTATATTTTTAATAAATGTGTAAATTTTTATTTCAATTATACTTTTTCATTATTTTTCTGATTAAAAAAAAAACTCTAACCAACCAACATTAGTCGACTCCAGTGACAATGAATGAATCATCAAGAAAATTATCAACTGATAATGTCAATAGAAGAGCTTTAAATTCTCCATTGAATAATCATATTCCTCGACAGAATAAAATGGATACTCCAATTCGAATGCATCATAATATATTACAAGGAAGTATTATCAGTGAAAATAATACCGATTCTATATTATCTAGTCCATCCAATATTACTTATGATGATATTTCTATACTTCGATCACCTAATTCGGATCAACAACAACCTGGTGATCGAGATACACTAGATTGGGATCAATTAAATCATTCCAAATCTAATACTGCCACTCCTACATTAAATGCTTCTGGTGTAATTTTAACAAAACCTGGTTATTATACTTTGCCGACATTAGATGAATTAGCTGAAATGGTAGATAATGAAAAATGTTTAGTAGAAGATTTTGTAATTGGTCGTCGTGTAAGTTTGTGGGGGTATTTTTTTGTTGGCTTATTAATTAATCGTTTACAAATTCTTCAACTTTTTTTCTTTTCAAGTAAATTTTTTATTTGTTCAACTAAAATTAATAAAACTAAGCGTGGTTGTGGAGCCCGTGTTAGTGAATAAAAACTATCCGGTTGATTTCTGCATAATTATCATAACCAGTGGTTGAAGACATGATATTGCCCTACCAGCAATCGTCTACAATGACGCAAATGCATTCACTCTTCATTCTCATATGTATCATAAGTTTTGATACGCTTTACTTATTTATTCTACCAATTCTTTCTTCTCGAATTATCTTATCTATACCTGATATATGGTTACTACCATTACTTACTTACGCCTATTACCTTTAATGAAGCGTAGGCTGCCGAAACAGTGAATTATTTTACTGGTTAGCATTTTTTTAGCGAGTTGGATTTCTACGGGATGGGGTCGCTAAGCCCATGCCCAACCCTCCTCCTTTATCCGGGTTTGGGACTCTGGCAGTAACCGTAGAAAGGTTCCACGCGGAGTTATACTATCATTGGTACTGTTATTATTTGTACAACTTTGTCATTTGGCTTGATAATTTTATCCCTCTGTACTTATTTGATTTGTCAACATAAACTAATGAACATTTTTTGTGTAGATTCATAGTAATAGGCAAATATGTCTGTTTTTTCTCCACTAGACAATCACGGTTTACTTCGACTAAATATATCACTATAAATTTGTACAATGATTTAAACTGATGCATTAAGTTTACGGGTCATTTATATTTCCATTACAAAACTTTTGAGATGGAAATAAATGCATAGATTGTAGGTATTTTCTTTGATTCGTTTCACTCTGTGATAGTACCACCAGTCAAGTAATATGAAGATGCAAAATTTTAGTTACTAAGATATATAATAATCAGTTCGGTTATGGACTAATACAAATGAAATTTGTTGTGTTATTTGTTTCCTTAATAAAGTTGACATTCACCTTGATATATATACTCTGCTGATTAATAATATGAGGTTGAGAAAAAGTTATCAATGGTCAAACCGAAAAGCTAGTGACTGTTTAGACCTACATGATATCCTTTAGACGATATGCTGAGAAATAATCGTTATCATACATAATACAATTGTTTGACGAATTGAATCCTTACCATTTTATTTAAACTGGTTCATTTCAATTGATCCTTTTTTCATTTTTGATGATGATGGTAATGTAACGGACGTACTGAGTACAGTTACGTGTATCGGGTTTTTTAACCACAATCTATGTGTGAGTACTGATAATACTGTCCAGTGGCCTAAGTTGAATTAGCTAGAGCGATTGTTGAACCTATAACCTAATGGTTAAACGTTGAATACCTTAAATACGAAGCTACAGCTTCACTTTGATTTATGCAGTTATACTACTATTCATATTATCATTTCTTTTTATACCATCATACTGTTATGTTATTCTTTTTTTTATCACTTCTTAATATTCAGCTTTATGGACATATACTATTTCCGGGTATTACTGATGTTTATGGACTCAATTTAGATAATATTGTACATATTCGTCGACGTGAAGTTGTTGTTTATCCAGATGATGAAAAGAAACCTCCTGTTGGTACTAGTCTGAATAAACGAGCTGAAGTTTGTTTGGAATCTATTTGGCCTACAGATAAATCTACAAGAGAACCAATTAAATCTCCTGAACGATTAGCTTTAATGCATTTTGAAGAACGTCTGGAAAAAGCCACCAGAAGAATGGATGCCAGGTAATCTTAAGTTATACTATAAAATCTTTAGTTGTAAATCGCTATCTCAAATTTCCATTCTATTAACTTGTTCACCATATATATATATATATATATATATATATGTATATTATTTTAACGAATGTAGATTCATTGAATATCGACCAGAATCCGGTTCTTGGGTATTTGAAGTCAAACATTTTTCCAAGTACCGATTAGACGATTCAGATGATGAAGGTGAAGGTGGCAGTTGTGATACAGACTCACTCAACAAATCACAAATTATTTCAAGAACGACTGATTTCAAAGCAAAAAGTTTATTCGATAACGATCAATCATTCAATGGAGATGAGGATGCATTCAGTATCACGCATAGAAATGAGGTAAATAACAATAGATTTTCACATGTTGTATACACATTTATGAATTGGTTAATTTCTGTTTGCATTAATCACTATTTTCTTATATTGTTCTGTGAAGTAGTTGTGTTGTGAAGGAGAACACCGGTGAGGGCAACCGAATCGTATTTAACGAAAATTACAGAGTTACTCAGTAAAATCGGAAAACCATATCGTAAATCGTTAATTTGCAAAATATCAGTCCATCATATCGAACTAGACTGTTCCTGTTGCAAAACATCAATCCATTGTCACTATTCATGCGTTTCATGCAAATTCCATTGTTTTCTAACTCTTCTTTTCTTGATCGTCCCCCATCTTCTGCTGCCAGACATTACGTTGACACTCACATCATATACTACTTATAAGTAGCTCACACCACAGTTGGAGGCAGTCGTCTGAAAACTGTGCTTTTTTTGTTCGTGAATACATTTGTTTTATTTACCAGTAGTTCGAGGTGTTTTTAATTTCTGTTAATATAATTTGTAACAAATGAAACTGATAGATATTTTTAATAAACAATGAATACACAAACTTTTGTCAACTACATATTGCGATGCAATCAGTATGGTGTTAGTGTTGATTTTATTAAACACCAATAAATTTTCCACACAAACATATGCATTGAATCCAAAAGTCATATACTGTTATTCAATTTACATCTGTTAGTAGTAGATATAACATTTAAAAAAATTGTATGAGCTATAATAAATCTAGGACTTACTAGGTATACATTGTTATGCTTCCCATTATCTCGTTTCTCTAATTTCTTTTAAGTTGAAAGCATCGATATATTGACAAGATTGATCAGAACTCATCATTTCATTATCAAGTATCTACATACGTGTTACACAGTAAACTATACAGCCTTTCAAATAATACATTTAACAAATTACCAAACTACTGAATAATAAACTACGTGTAGTGAGCACCTGATTAGAAATATGGCCTGTATGACCTAATAAAATAAATATTCAAATAAGATATTTAACATAGATTTAGATAATCATATCCATGTTCTATTTTTTGTTATTGACTATTTCACCCTAGAATAGCTTGTAATATAATGTGACTTCCTCTTAACGATTCCAGACAGATACATACAACATCATAAGATATCACATCCTTATGTATCAACTTCACTTAACACATTTCACATCAACATAGTGAAACAGAATTAACCAGATAAAAAGCAAACAAGTTACAGTTAATTTGTAGTCTAAAAAGAAAGAATGTAAGGTATTTACAATTTACGGATCATTAAGTTGTGAATAATGTCGTGTCATGGCAAACCCTTCTAATTGCTTGTCGAATTCTATCAATCAATTTCTATCCCTGTCCTACAGGAGGTTAGTCGTGACTTGAATAGCTCAGTATTAACATCTCTGTCTGTGAAACAGTTTCATCAAAACTGCAGGTGCACCTTGTTGATAAGTGTCAAATAACGCTCAGTAACTCCTGAGTTTCTGTTCGACTACTTCCAGCTACCACCATATAACAAAAAATATGAGATTATGTCAGAAATCAAACATATCTAACCATGGCTTACGGCAATTTTTGAATTCCACTTAGATTACCTTTAGCGTTTGATACCACTCAGACCAATGACAACAACTTCATGGTCTGGTCGTCCACACTCTTTTCAATCTGTCAGTATACTAACCGGCATTGGATATTCGAAAGGTGAAGAACAAGTTAAGAGAAAGTAGAAAACGCAAATTCATGTTAAGAAAAGGATACAATATTAAGTCATATAAGTAGTTGTTATAAATCAAAGCTCCAGCTCTTCTACAATGACCTAAATAACTGAAATTCTATCTGATTTTATTATTTTTAATTTTTTGCACTTATCGCTATCAGAAACATGCAGCTATTGATTCAGATCAAGAAACACTTAAGGATTTTCAATTGAAATCGTATGTGAGTATGAAGGTGATTGATCCTCAATTCGATGAAGAAGTAAGTTATTGGAAATTTATTCAACTAATTTATGCTAGATAAGATTGTTAACTTGTCAAATTCATTAGTTTCTTGTGTTTGATAGTAAATTCAGTATCCTTTGTCATAGTGTAATGAACAAAGACATTAAAACTGGATGGAATAAGTGATTTATTTGCACATATTATCCTCAGCAGAGTGTTTCTCATAAGTTATGGACGAAGCGAAGAATGTCGGACCCGGATATATTGGTGCGATCAGTGCTTTGAAGAATAGAAGACATGTAGAAAAAGATTGCCAAGAATATGCTTGTTTTGCAAATGGATGTGTGATGATAAGGTGTACATATTTTGACTAGTCAGTTGTGCCTTCGCTTGTTCCATCTGGTTTTACCGTCTTTATTCATTACATTTGCAGTCGCTCTCAACAGGTTAGAGGAGGTCTACGAGTCTTTGGGGCACTGCTGCGAAGACGGCATTAGGGAGAGTAGCCTCTGTTGACGAGGAAGGGTGTTGGAAGGCCTGGATGGGATTTTTTTGCACTGATCGACAGGCCTGGAGACTCAACAGTAATAACAGGAGGACGAGCGTGTTGTGTACCAATCACCGTACCTTTATTTTTTACGACACTTAATAGTTTTTAATGGTTTCGTATTTCACTTCCCTCTTAGCAACAAATCGTCTTATCGAAAAGTTGATCACGTTATGAATCTATCCGTTTACATTGATTCTACAGTTATGAGGAAGTTTTAGTCACTTTTTACGTTTGAACGTTACTTTAGTGATTGAAGCACTTTAGTTTCACCAAATAGATTTCAAGTTTGAAACCTTACTCCTGTCTAGTCAACCGAATAGAGAATCACTTGCCCCAACAGAAACATTGTGATTCAATGTTAAATGCGTAAACCTCCACATAATAATGAGTTACTCTATTTTTGTTGATTTTTTCACGTGAATATTTCACCGTTATTTTTATTTTTAATACTTCATAGAATGATTTTTACATTCCCAAAATATTTCGCACCTTACCATCGTATCCTCCAACATACGATGGTATCGCATTATATAAAGATGATAAATTAGACCAACGAAACGATCTACCACAAAGTCTACAATTGTCAATTATGGAAATGAATAGTCATCAATTGACCAATGATAACAACTTCCCAATGACTTTGTATCCATATGATATTATAACCAAATTATGTGGTGAGTTTATATAGGTTTTAATGTTTCTGAATACAATCCATGCATTTTCATAGCTTATCACTCTTCTTTTATTCTTTAAGTTAAGCCTTCTATTAATAATCAGATGAATAGACTCAGCCTTGTTAGTCATTGAATTTTAGATTTCAATCCAGGTGATAATGGTCTCAAATATGTATGTGATGAGTGAAAACACTACGAAAATGTTTGTAAAAATAGTCTACATATGCCTATATTACAGGAAGCGCAAGTGCATTTATTCTTTGTGTTCACTCAAATCGTAACCTTCCGAATTCCTCATCACCTTTATCTTTTTCTCTTTAAGTTTATTTCACTAGATTCTACTTCTTGAATAATATCCTCGAACCCTAATCTCTCCGATTACTGCTAATACTTTTACTACTACCTCTACTACTATGGGATTTGAATTGACAATTGCATTTTCTGTGCTAATATGGTATAGCAACTTGAACTGATGTACGTACGTACGAAGTTCTATGTTGCTGTTTTAGTAGAGACTTGTTTAATTTCATGATATTTTTTTTGTTGATTTGCTACATTTCATTAATATTTTTATTACTGATGAATCTCTCATCAATAACATTTATTATTAGCCCATTTAATTCAGTTATTTTTTCATTAATTTTGATACCTACTACTACTACTACTACTACTATTAATGTTCTACTATGATTGTTTGTAGATACATCATTAATGAAATCTATTACAAATCATGAGAATATAACATTGATAAATCATGCTTCACATTGGGTATTAGATTCTGGTCTTTGGCATGGTCATGGTATGCGTCCATCGTTTGGATATTCACGATTTCCTGAATTTCATTCGATGGTACTAATTTGTCCATCACCTGATGATGTTGTTGATGTTATTGATGATAATAATAATCAGTGCAATGGTGAAATGAATTTCCGACGAACAAATTCCATTACATTCTTCACATTATCATCACCGATTGAATTGTTTGATGAGGTTAGAATAAATGTGAAACACGTTTTTTTTAGTTTTTCGCATTCATTGATATTGTACATCTTGTTTTTTTCGTAATTATTTTCTTTCAATTAAAAATAAAAGCAATATTTTTAAATGCACAACATCAACTCAAAATTCGATAAATTAAGCCAGTGCATATCAATTCCAGGTTAGGACTGATTAGCACAAAACCTGGTACAAATGGGTACTACAAAATAGACAAGTAACACTTTGAAGAAATAAAGCTGAGAAAGGAAGTGCAATCAAAGAGAAGAAAGAAAGGGTAGGAAAGAGTTCATTCCACGTTTATGAAAACTAAAAAGAACCAAAGACAAATTCTGAACCATATCTAATGACGATCCATAGTACGAAGTTGTACAATCTCTGGAACTTCAATTAGTGAGTCTCCATCTACTGACAATACTGTATGTCATCAAGTGATTATCTCAGCTTTTTTCACCCAGTCCTGTCGTTGTCGTTCACACGAAATGTAACTCTTTGAAAGTGCGTTCATAACGCATGTCCAAGCCATTGAAGTCGGTTTTTCAAGATGACAATACCAATCAGATTGTCTTCAATGAGCCTGAACAAATTTATAGATTCTTAATTTTTTGAACAATTCATTTACCAGGTACACTTAGCTATGGGTTACGTGTAGGGTTTAGTATAATACCACATAGTTGCCAAGACTAAAGTAGACGGAGTTAAGTTTGAACCGAAGACTTAATATCTAGAAGTTCAACTCCCATAACCGCTAAGCCACTGTTCTATTATAGAATAATTTTAAATGTTTACAGAGAAATGCCTTTGTATTCATTATGAATTTTATTGTTGATACCTCCCTGAACTAAAGGTAAATAACTAGTGTCGTGATATAAATAATGCCAAAATAAACTAGAAAAACTTCAGGTCTTAGCGTAAATATGCAACTGTCCAAAATGCTACTTTAGAACAGTGCATAAAGAAAACGTTTATCGTCGTTTTTAGCTAGTTAGTTCAGTGCGCCAATCGTACAGTCTTTAGTAGTAAGTAGATCCATCTGTGAGGGAGTGGCTCCTTGAGAAAACCACCTGCTTAGATTTGGGGACGCGAGAAGTATCCCGGTCCACCTGTAAATTCAATAATTTCTGTAGCACATAGATATGTAGGTATTTTTTTGTAACAGTGTTTATGTGCTTAAATAAATCAATGGTCTTAAATCTGTTATAGAATAATGATATTAATGTTTTCATCATGTATATTTATATATAAGTTATCATATTATCTTGTTAATTACTTGTATTGTTCATTTACTAGACATTTTAATCTGTCAATAGATTTTTTTCCTTAAAAATTATTTTAGGATATGCTTAATTCAGCATTGACTACATCTATAAAAGTTATACAAACTAATGATAATAATTCATTATTAAAACCACCATGTGATCAATGTCCATTATGGCGTCCAATTATTGGTTTAGTCGCTTTGGAATCATATACACGTATATTGAATTGTGATCCTTTAAATAATATCACTATGAATTTTCATGAATTAGATGAAAATGAAAAATCTAGTGTTCGATTAGCTGGTTTTCGACGAATTTTCAGTCTTTGTCAAGCACTTTGGGGACGTCATCCACAAGAAGCTGTAGCTGAAGCAATGGCTGAAATTGACAGTACCTCCGATAAACTATTCAATGCAAAGCTAACCAATTCAGATTTTCCTATTTTAACTGAAACTAATCAACCTTGGAATGGTAGTGAATGCATTAATAATGATGTTTATCGTAATTATAATTTGGGCAATTATCCGGTCAATGGTTATCGTGAAATTTCTGGTATGCGTTCTTTGGCCAGAAAACAAGCTGTTTCAGAATGGATAAGGTTTGACTTTTTTTCCCCACATATTTTTCACATATAAAGACAATTTCATAATTTAATCTTTTTTGTTATTCGTAATAACTGTTGCATCAAGTTGTCTGGCTAATTTATTAGGTATTTAACTTTCCTTAACGCATATACGAACAGATCGATGTTCAAAGTAGTGTAATATGACTTTTTTTGTAAATTAACAACGTGTATGAAGATGATACAACTAGCCGTATGTTTGTTATTTAATTGTCTATTTTTCATGATGGTCAAGTGTTCTAGCGTAGAAGTGTTGGGGAGGTTATATCCCCGGAACTCGCCTGATAAATATCTTTATTTTGGATTTATTTGATGGACCGATCAGTTGATTTTAAGATCACATTTCCCACCAGGAAAATCCTTGGTTGTGATTGGTTACTGTGTCATTTTAGTGTGCTATTTTATGACTCTCCCAAGGACGTCTCTATGGAGTATAAGTAAACGCGATTTGTATGCTTGGATTCATTGTGTGCCGGCTGGGTGTTTGTAGAATACACTTTCTACGCTATCTCAAGACTTCTTGCTGGTAAAATTGGGACTATCGGATCACAGTAGCCTACCTGGGCGCTGGTTCATTGTTATGTTCTCGTTATTCGACTAAGGTGAACCCGTAATAGCTTTAAGCATACCTAGAGACGAATATAACAAGAAGGTGAATACAAAATGAATATATCCTTATATGATTTGTCCACACTTTCTGATTATTGTTTCTTGGCACATTAAGTACATCATAATCATGGATAAACAAGATTCCTATCTTGCTTTTCTTGTTAAATAAGTACTTCGATTAGTAGTATTAACGTTCACTGCTAAATCTTTATTTTCTGTCTTCATTGTCTATGTTATATGTTTACGTTTATCCTGTTATTTTATCCTATTTATCCTTTTTTTCTGGTTAATTAGAACACAGTCATTCCCATGGTTGAAACACAAACTGGAATCTTTACATTTAACTGAAGCAGCTGGTTTAAATGAAATTGGTACTGATTCATTTGAGCCATTTTCTATGTCTAAACTCAATTCCAAGGATTATAACAGTGATGTGTTAGCACAAGGAGTGTTTGCTTGTTTGGTATCAGGTGAATCTGGTGCTGCATGTCGTTTAGCCCTTGTATCCAATATGCCAGCTTTAGCTTCGTTAATAGCACAGTCAACTTCTGGTGATCCAGTTGTCCGGAGAGGTTTACAACATCAATTGAGTAAATGGCATGAGATAAAAGTTAGTTGTTTACTTTTTGAAAAAAATTCTACTTTTTTTAAAGGATAGTTAGCTTTTTGAAATGTATATGAGTACTGTCATGCTGATGATGTTTAATGTAATTACGTAAATCGAAATCTATAACGCCTTACTTCGATCTTCTGAAATCGAGAGACAAAATCTAGTATACGGCCACGTGGTTGTAAATAATGAACCGAACTCTACGAAACCCTAAACTGATAATTATCATGTACTCCCTGGTGACTTACTTCAAGACCCAACTCCTGGCGTTCCAGTGAGCAGTCACAACGAGTAGAATCCAACCATATCTAGTGTGAAACTGTTATCCACAATAGGCAATTGAAGGTGGTTGAAATTCGGACATGTACACCAATGGGTGCCGGCTCAGTAGTCTGGAGATTAAACATTTGCGCTTAAGATCAAAAGTCCTGAGCTCTATTCCTTGTGTCAGAGTCATGGATGCTCACTTCTTGGTGTTGGGGACGTTAGGTCCCCAGAATTCACTTGATTAAGGTCCCAAATTAGGATTTTGCAGTTTCACGCATGGGCTGATCAGTTGACCTTGAGATTACATTTCCCACCCGAAAAATCCTCGACTGTTATTGGTTGATGCATTATTTTTGTGCGCTATTTTTGTGACTCTCCGAAGGACATTTCTATCATGTATAAATAAACTCAATTTGTGTGCTTGTGAACCTCGATTTTCTTAGTGCTTGTAGAATACACTTTCTACGTTTTGTCAAGACTTCTTCCTCTACTTAGTGGGGCTTTGGGACGCTCGAATTAGAGTAACCTGTCGTGTCACTGGACCACTTGTCTTCGCTATCGTTTACTGGCTAAGGTAAACTCGTAATAGTTTCAAGCATACATATTGATTGACGAGCATACTAAGACGAAACAATTGTCCAATGCTTCTTGGTTTTCAATTGAAGCAAGATCGGTTCACAGTTTAAACTCTAAATAAAAAAGCTGGCCAAACAACTCATAAGAATCACACTTTAAACTAGAATGGAATTATTACTTAAATAATTTGTTGACAATTAAGCAATCAGGTACTGGAATCATAGCTAGTTACATCGTCACTGAGGTACTTCATCATGTATTCATATTAATCTGTAATCTTTAAACCTCATTGTCACTGAGTGTGTGTACATTATATCTACTTAATACCTACTTTACTTACCATCTTAAGTATGTTATCTTGTAAACTATTCTGCAGAAAAAAATAATATTTTTACTAAGGTTACAACGATCGTTTAAGGTGTTTGATTTTTTTTTCATCAAACATTACATTCTGATAGCGCTTTCGGTCAGTTACAAGGCAGAACTTCGTACGTACGTACATCAGTTCAAATTGCCATACCTCATCTGCACAGAGACAGAACTGTCAGTTCAAATCCAACAGTGGTACAGTTAGTAGAAATATTAGCAGTAATAAAGAAGATTAGGGTTGGAATATATGATTCGAGAAGTATATTTCAATGAGATAAATTTAGAAAGCGAAAGATAGAGATGATGAGTAATTCTGAATATTAGAATTTGAGAGAACACAATGAATGGATGCACCTGCGTCACTTCAAGCGATTTTGAGCCATGTCGTTCAAGGTCTCGAAACCATCGGTTAATTTCGTCTCACGGACCCCAACCAGGTAGCTTACATCTACCAACATGACTCAGTCCACTTGTCAGTAACTTCATGGATTTGTGTCATATTTCGGTTTGGCCGCCCCTATCTTTCTTCCAACACACTCCACCACCATTGCTCGTCGGTAGTAGGGCATTCGTAACACATGTCCTAACCACCCCAACTGATGAAGTTTCACTACTTCGTCAACTAATCTGCCATCTCTACCTTGTACGCGTTTCCTAACTATAGCATTGCTCGCTCGGCTGTCTCAGGATAAACGAGGAATGATCCGAAGACATCTATAATCGAATACTAATAACCTTCGAATGTCCTCTCCTCTTATCAGCCATGTTTCGCTCCCGTACAGGATCCTAGTAAAGTCATTAATTTGATTTATTTTGACATGGTTAAATCAAATTAATGACTTTACTAGGATCCTGTACGGGAGCGAAACATGGCTGATAAGAGGAGAGGACATTCGAAGGTTATTAGTATTCGATTATAGATGTCTTCGGATCATTCCTCGTTTATCCTGAGACAGCCGAGCGAGCAATGCTATAGTTAGGAAACGCGTAACAGCACGCAATAGAGCTTTAGTTACTACTATGTATCGCCCGACTTTTATCCATCTTCAAAATTAGTACAGATTGCTGTTTATAAATGCCATATATACTCAAAAACGGATTTATTATCATTTCATTTATAGCTTTAATGTCTTATTTGAAATATTTTATCCATATTTATCACAAAATATTTAATTGATTTTAGTTCGATCAGCATATTCCAATTAATATGCTTCGAGTGTATTGTCTACTAGCTGGAATTACAGAATTCCCACACCCATCAAATATGTCTGCTATCTCTGTTCTTGCTGAACTTTATTGGATTCAAGCATTCGGTGCACATATATGGTATATATGTGATTATCAAGCAAATTTAGGCGAGATTTTATCCGTCTACAGTGCCACTTGGCATTCTGATCAAAGGCCAAACACAACACAAGGAGTACCACGACCAAGTCCACCAACAGTTGACAAACTTCTCAATACAAATCAACCTGTTTCACCAGTCAAAGACTATCCTATTAGTGAAGAAATAGAAGGTACGTTCACCTTTAATTTCATACAGATTTTTTTTGTAAAATGTTCCTTGTCTATCTAGTTATTAAATATGTCTTGTCATTGATTTCATTATTTATAGGTCCAAATCCTGAAATCAAATTTCGAGATTGGCCTCGTGATACAGCTTATCATCTTCTGGAATTGTGTCGTAAACAGTTTCATTCCTTACACAGAACATTGGATCCATGTTCTTTCAGCCGAGGTTCTTCATCAACATGTGTTTTGGATCGTAATAATCTTTTGGATTGGTCTATGTCATGGCATTTATGGCGTTTTCTTGTATCATATGGATATCATCACTTTTACGATGATTTTTCTACAGACTTTTATGAGTTATCTACTCGTATTTGCAATGAATTCGCTACACAATTAGAAGCTGCAGGTCTTTGGGAATGGTCAGTGTTTGTATTACTGCATATAGATAATGCAAAAACTCGTGAAGCATCGGTAAAATGTCTTATCGGTCGACATGTATCATTAGTTCTACCGTCAGGTCTATTGAATAATTCTAATAAAAATTCTCCATCTTGTTTATCGGGTATAAATTTCATGTCACATGAAATCTCTTTACTACCTATACCATCGTTAACTAAACCGGAATTATTTGTAGTGAATCGTTTGGGTGTTCCTGTTCGTTGGATTCATGAAGCAAAGGTAAATTTATAATATTCAAAATACACATTTGAACATTATTATTCATTGTGTATGAGATTGATTTTTATTTGAAAACTTGATTATTTAGTTAGTTAGTGATGATTGTGTTTAACCATGTAACAATTTTGATTACCATCACCAGAGTGGCTTGAGTACAACATTCTAGAAATGGATTTTAGCAAATAATCATTAACTTGACAATTGTCTTCAATTCAGAAGAAAGTTTAGGTCTCCGTTAAAATTTACATTTGACTTTATGTATCATCTACTGATGACAGATCAATAGATGAAGTAGTGAAACTTCACCAGTTGAGGTGGTTGGAACATGTGTTACGTATGACTAACCACCGACTGCCTCGACGAGCTATGTTTTGTGATGTAGGAGTAGGTTGGAAGAAAGTTAGGGGAGGCCAGGCCGAAACATGGCACAAATCCATGAAGTCACTGACAAGTGGACTTAGTCATGTTCGTAGATGTAGGCTTCCTGACTGGGGTCCGCGAGATGAAAATCACCGATGGTTAGAGACCTTGAATGACATGGCTCAAAACCGTTTGTAATGGCTTAGGTGCATCCACTCTTTGTGCTCTCTCAAATCTTTATCTTCTGGATTCGTCAAACATCTACCTTTCTCCTTCTAAATTTATCTTACTGAATTATACTTCCCGAATTATATCTTCGAACCCTAATCTTCTGCATTAGCAGTAATACTTCTACTATCTCTACCACTTACAGCTGCGTCTCTGTGCTGATGCGGTATGGCGACCTGAACTGTTGTACTCACGTACGAAGTTCTATGTTGTAACTGACTGATCAATAAACTTCATGAGTGTCTATTATTTGGAACAGTGTCAAAGTATATCATCGTACTGACAACTCTTCAATAGAACACATTTTTTTCTAGTTGCTACTTTTATCTAACTACTATTTGAATTGAGTCCTTCACAATATTTATTGATCGATATTGTTTGCACTTCTAAGAGTGACCATTTCTTTGTTTGACTTCTCAAGGATCAGTCGGTTACACGTCCATCATGTCATATTCAATCGCAAATATAAAAATACCCATTTCGACGAGAATCGGTGCATCTTCAGTGACAGCGAAAGAATATTTAATTATGATCTTTTGAAATTCTAAATCATTATGTTGTATAATATCCTCTTCACATAAAAAGAAATCATTCATTAGGAATACAGTTATTGTGAATAAATACCTTTACAATATTTCTTGTAAATAGAGTAACCCTATTAAATCATTCGCTTCTTAATAGGATAATGATGGCAATTAAACTAGAAATTAGTTAAATACTTTGGAGATATTATTGCTCTCTATGAACTGATTCCACAAAGCACTACTATCTTAATTGTTTTTAACTTGATATTTACGTGAAAATTACAAAAAAATTTTGTGGATAAATCATGTTGCATTAGTTTAACATCTTCTATAAGCTAAAAATTACTCGTTCAAGAAACAAGGAAAGTCTTTAATAAAATATCGTACAAGTTATATTTTACAAATTTGAACAAATTTATTGATTAAGTAAATAGCACATCTTTAGAGACGTACAAATTCAAATCCATTCAGACTGATTACGTTTACTTGAGCTTCTGTGGTGGTTGTACAGTAAAAAAAAAATGATATTTTTATCAAAATATATTTGTAGAAACTGAAATTCTTGTCTCCTTTATTGATTATTGTTTTCTTCATGAAATTATACGCTTGGTCCTCCATATTTCCCAATTAACTTATTGATACATTGTACTTTTCGGATAAACTCATTCGAACATCAAAGCCTACGAATAGTAGTAATATTAGTCAGAAATTGGATATCTTTTCAAGCTTTTTTTTAAAAAATTTATTTCAGGCTATATTAGCACGACATCGTTTAAAAGCTTTTCTACATAGAACAAATGTCAACACTGTGTCACAACGTACTTTAATCTGTACGGAAGATCGTAGCCAATTTTGTATATTAGCAATGCTTGAAGCAAGTCATTGGTTTGCTGCTGGACGTATTCAAGCTGCAGATGAAGTTTTATCAAAGTATATATTACCAGAGCTTATTTTACATACAAATATTTCACCTTATTCAACTTGTCAACTAAGATTTGAATCTGTATACTCTGCATTAGGTCATCGTATTGCTCATTTACTTGAGCCATATAATTCCTTAGCAGAAAATTGTCTACCAAGTGATTTTCATTCGGGTAAGTAAATTGTTCTGCAATAACTTGGTATTTATATTTCATAGTTCTTGACGAAATAAAAGTACTTGTTTCGCTCACTACTTTTAATAAGAAGCTGTTAGTCCGATATGCTGTCGAAATCAATAAAATGGAACATCCGACGTTCATAACATCAAGATATATAGTCACTAAACATGACTATCTACTTCTCTAGATATGCCTGTTTGTTAACACATTTTCTATTCATGTGTTTGTTGTTTGGAAACAAATAGTGCAAAATATAAAGTTGGCTGATTTCCAATAAGTTAACATGTTAAATAGAATATATCTCTAGTATTTTTGATCTGTAACCATATTTTACAATGATAAATATTAATTGATTCCATAGATATGATACTATTATTCTCCTTTTTTATTCGAAAGGTGTCGGTGTTTATCGATCATTCGGTGAACTACTTTGTCTAGTAGATGAACTTACCAATTTCTGCAAGCAATCACCATCACTAGACAGTGTATTGTATAGTCCAAGCAAGAAAAAATGGAAAGAAGATACTGATTTCAATGGACTAGATAATTTAGCATTAATTTTATCAAAATTAAAATCTAAAGTTCCTAGTGTAATAGAAGAGATTAATTTAATGAAAACTAATTCATTTATTGAAAAGTAAGTTATCAATCATGTGAAATAAATGATATGTATATATAACGTTAATTAATTGATAGTCACTTTGTTAAGCTGATCATTAATTTGTTTATGGTAGAAATTTTTAAATAGCTATGTGGGTTCAACAAGTTGAGCAAAGAAAATTATTGCTGGAAGTTGTAGTATGTGTTGCCTTATACAAAAGAAAATTTGTCGAATTTCTAATTAGTACAATTTCACTTTTCATTCATTTCATCAACGAACACATTTTGCGCACATGTACACTAGTCAGTCAGTCAGTTGCAACGTAGAACTTCGTAAGTAAATACGTCAGTTCATGTTGGTATACCATATTCACACAGAGACGCAGTTGTCAATTCAAATCCCATAGTGGTATATATATTAGAAGAATTAATGCTAATGGAGAAGATCAGGATTTGAAGATAATATCTAAGAAGTATAATTCAGTGAGATAAGTTTAGAAAGATAAAGGTGATGAGGAATTCAGAAGATTAGGATTTGAGAGAACACAAAGAGTGGATGCACCTAAGCCATTGCAAACGGTTTTGAGCCATGTCATTCAAGGTCTCTAACCATTGGTGACTGTCATCTCGCGGACATCAACATGATTCAGTTCACTTGTCCGTGACTTCATGCATTTTTGCCATGTTTCGGCCTGGCCGTCCCTAACTTTCTTCCAACCTACTCCTACACCACAAAACAAAGCTCGTTGAGGCAGTCGGTGGATGGGCATACGTAGCACACGTCCCAACCACCTCAACTGATGAAGTTTCATTACTTCATCTTTTGACCTGGCATCCTTACCTAGTACCCGTTTCCTCCCGACCGAAGCTGCTACCTTGACGTGGTGGTTGGGCTTGCCTACCGTGATGACCCAACCGAGTTATACTGGCTGGAGCTTATGTTGCTGAGGATTCTACCATGCCAGGCAGGTCGATTGGAGAACGATGAGACTAAAAGCAGCTAGCGGATAGATTAAAAATGAATTGATACAATTTAACTGTTAAAAAGAGATTAAATTATTAATTTAAATTCACTCCTCAGATTAAAAGAATTTTTACTTGAATAAAATTATAATATTCATTAAGAAACTCCATAAGTACAAAATGATTAGAAGTCAATTGAAATTTAGAGATTTCAAATCCCAATAAAATTAGAATATGTCTATTCAGGTGTCGTACGTACCATACATTATATCGACATAAGCATGACAGTCTTTGCAGACTATATGAAATATAGCTTGTTTCCAGTGTATTATCCCTGGAAACGTAAGACGCAGGTGCATCCACTCTTTGTGTTCTTTGAAACTCTAACCTTCTGAATTCCTCGTCATCTCTACCTTTCTCCTTCTATAATTTATCTTACTGAATTATACTTCTCGAATCATATCTTCGCTCCCTAATCTTCTCCATTACTGCTAATACTTCTATTATTGCTATCACTCTTGGATTTGAACTGACAGCTGCGTCTCTGTGCTGATGGGGCGTGGCAACCTGAACTGATGTACGTACGTACGAAGTTCTGAGTTGTATCTGTCTGTCTGTCTGTCTGTCAGTGTATTATAATTGTCACTTCTGAATTTTGTTTTATCCTTTAAAACAGTTTACCATAGCCTAAAAGGATGATTCACTTCTGATTAGATTTCCTACGTATACTACTAACGCGAACTAATTAAGCGTACAATAATCGGCCATATTTGTAATATACGACAACAGCATGGGATTATTGAATTATTGATTGACTATCGATTTATATGTATGATAAACACCAAGTCCTAAAGGTTCGTATATTTTATCTTTTCGCTATTTCAGTAAGAAATATAATATTACGGTTGTGTTTCTGTTTATTCATTACTTCGAATCTTTTCTTTAAAGGAATATTTTCAATTTTTTTTTTACTGTTTTAGAGTTGTACGCACAGAAATGGCTGCCGTCTGCATACATTTAACTTCTGCCTTTCTTGCAGCCAGCTGCTTGGAGAACGTTAATGACGAACAAAATTCATCGACAAATGAATTCATCAATAATCAAGAACAAAATACATTAAACTACCTGGAGCATCAACTTGTCTGTATGACTAAATTAGGGTTGCCGGCAGATTATCGATTGAAAGAACTTCGTGCAGTTGCAGAAATTAAATTATCTTTAGGTGCAGTGTAAACAAGATATGTATGAACTTATCCACAGGTTGTAACTATTTTTTAAAACAATTTAATTTTTATGTCTTCACATTGTAACTTTCCGATTGTTTTTTTTAGTTCGAAAACAAAAAAAAACGAGACTAAGCATACTTGTATAATTAAAAGTGTATTTTCGTTATTCAGTGATTTTGATTAAAGCATTTCAAAAGCCAATCAAATGCACAACGGCCGATATTATTTCAGTTAATTGATTGGTACATGATCAAACAGTTAACTCTTTGGTAGTCAGTCTAACCGTATTATGCATACAAATTCTTTAAAGTCTGTCTTCTTAGTTCTCTGAATCGTCTGATTTTTGATCATCTTCTTTTGTTTGGATAAGTTCAAGTACATGTTGTACAGGTCTCACCCGTCCATCTTCACCGATAGTTCCTGGTTGAATTAATCCAGATCTGAAATGGAACCAACATGTCAAGTTATAAATCAATTGTTGAATAACTTTGGTTGTTACAATTACAAGTAGTGTTCAAGTTATTTTATACGATATATTCGTACTTCATTTCATCACCTGTCACAATAACTCACCTTTCAAGCTTGTCAATTTTCTGTACTAAGTCCATAGCAAGATATTCCTTTTGTTCTTCAGACATATTTTCCATTGGATTCGGTTGTGGAATTTCCCATCGACCTGTCACAGGATTCACATCTTCTTTCAACTTTTTATATTCCTCTGTTTCTGATTCCGTCGATGTATCCGAATATTCATCATCTGACTCTCCAGTACAATTAGATTCTCTATTAGCTTTTGATGGTTTCCCAAGTAAAGCATGACGTGCGAGAAATCCAGCAAAATTGCCAAAACCGGTGTATTTCACTGCTCGTCCAACTAAATACGTCAAGTAAAATATTAAATCTTAATCAGAATATCTTGGTAAAAACTACTTTAATATATCAATCCATAGATCGGGAAAAAGCCATTCATATAAGAAAAACAACTACATTGGTCGGTTCATGATTTCAGCGAAAGACAACATGGTAGATGAGACAAATAGTTACATTAAAAATCTTTATAAAATTCGATATCCTAGTTTACATAGTTCAGCGTCGAAATATTTCTTTCTTTCTTCCTAGTCACAGTTAATGTACTTCGGTCTCTATGACAGTACCAACTAGGTTTCTCCCAAGTTTCTTTCTAACCTTAGAATTTCGCACCTATTCTTGGACAGAGAGTAGTAAATACCATGATTAGGATTTTCTTCGCTGGTACGCCGTAATTTCTGAGTGTATACTCACTTTCTCTGGTTACAGTCATTTTTTTTTAACTAACTCTTTTCAATCACCAGACTATTTGGAAATATTTTTCCTGAACCTATTATAAGTATGCTAAGAAATTCCGAAATCAACATGACTTGTTCCCACTATTTAACTGAATAAGACTATTTTTCAGTTAAATTTCTAAATACAATCCTAATATCATCAGAAATTTACTCATTAGTTATAATCTCCTTTGCTACCATAACTCTGAATCAATGAAACATTACTTTTATGAGGTTACCCATTGAAAATAAATAGAAAGACTCATAATAATACTACTTACTGTTTTCCTTGCAAAGTACAAAGATAAATAATTGCTGCCGATTCACCAACAATCTGAACTGGATTTGTTAACAATTTACAAAGGCTGGAAAATAAAATTCAAGTTTGTTAGCTTTTATCAAATATGGGCAAAATTAAATAATAATCCACCTAGATAGACTCTCCTACTAATCGTTGAGTTTTACTTGTGGAAAAGTGGATCAGTATATTGAACTCATGAGAATGGAGGTTACCACCCCCAATGTGTATCTGCATACGATATGTTTTTTGAGGATAGGCTGTAGTATCTATATACCTAAGCGATGGTTCTGCTGTGTCTGCTCTGTATAACAGGAAGCTAAATAAATTCTAAAGATGTGCTCCGCGTTGGATATAATCTACAACTAGGTACGTAGTGAATTGGCTTCGTCTACGTAAAGAATGACATTGAGTTTAATATGCGAATTTCGTAAACGACGCGCATCTACAAAGTGATGCTATTGGATAGAAACTTGTCTCCATTTGGATGATTAAGTCTATCCTAACTATATTTTACAAAATGATTCACCATGTAGTACTAATTTCTGTATGTATACATTTTGATCAACAATGCTATTCAGGGATCACATTTTGAAAAAAAATACACCTTAG